CAGTGTGTCATGATTTGAAGTATCATCGAAGGCGCCTTACCCCTGAATGGTCGATATAGTGCATTGAAGCAGAAACTTGACACCGAGTCAGACAAGTGAACAACTGACTAATATTCTGATTTCCTTACCTCTTGGGTTGCATTCTGAAAATGCTGTTATTTCAGCACAGGATCAGTAATTTGCCGCTTATCACTTACTGCATCGATTCGGGCAGCGGTATTTGACAAAATGGAAATGAGAACTAACATGTCAACCTCAACAACGACCCCGTCATCATTAGTAGTGAATACGCACTAGTCAAGAGAAGGGTGCCTGACAATGCCGCGAAGAACGTCATTAAGATAGGACCGAACAGCGGATGGAAGCTTTTTGCTTGGGCAAAACTGAGGTACGTGCTGCCGAACCAGATCTGAACCATCAACCAAGCAATATTGCGTATCGTCCATGTACCTGACGCTTGGATAGAACAGTCAGTCTCAGTTTAGCGGTGTAAATGATTTAAAAAATTACCCAAGATGTACAAGGTCAGCAAAATACCAGAAAAACAAACCACCGCTATGCCAATGAAAAAAATAAATTCAGCTATCATTGCGCGCAACGCCCTTTCAGTAGAGAATTTAGCAGGAATACAAGAGAAGGATGAAACAATTTACAAAACGACAACGTTATTAGTTATTGCATAAAAAGCTAGCCTGTAAAAGAAATTAACAAGTCATGATGTGCAAGGGATCCAATTATACCGAGGAACAAGAACGCAACAGCCGCAAGCTAGTAGGTCAAAAGAAAGCTGAGACATCTCTCCTAATAGCAACTTCTGATTGAGTCTTAATCACATGCACGAACGACACAACTAACCGTCATCGTTCCACAGCCCTTTGACTCGCAAAACCAGATAGCCGAGAAATATTATGACAAATGATGTGTCAAAAACGTTCCATATCTAGAGAAGCAAACTTCAGCCAAGGGGGCTTGGACCCAGGGATGAAATTACGTTGGCAATGTAAACTGCACAAGTACATTAGAAATCAAAATGTGACAGCTGAACATGTACTGACTAGTCCACCCATACTCCTTAGAAGCCGTGTACTCTTGCAGTGTAAAGGCAATCGCAAAGACCAAGAACACAGACTCCCACAGAGTCACATGAGAGACATCTTGCGCTAAAAATCATTGGCCACTCTGACTTGCAGTCAAGCTGTAAACCCACTCCATATACATGCAAAGAAAACTACCAGAAGCACGGCTATGTTGACAAAATGCAAGATCGCAGAATATCGTGGAACTTTCAATCTGATAAAGTGTGAGCTCGACGTGTGAAAAGTACGAATGTCTGATGAACCTGTAGTGATCGAGCATCGGTGCCGTACGCGGGTTGTACACCATGATCGCCCTCTGCTTGTAATTGTCTGGCACCATCGACCTGTTGCCAGTGATGGAAACTATGATGCGCCCATTGTATATGTCAGTTACAACGCTCTGAACAATTGCGGAAGCTAGGAAGGTCTTTGCCTTCGTGGCGATTGCCATCTTATCAAGGGCCATTAATATTGACTGAAGAAAAAGATATGGCCTGAGCTGACCTCAATGGCGCACTGAGGGTCATCGACATACTCATCTTTCCCCCCAATAGCGTCTTTCACCTCCTCGATCACATCGTCTGGCGCTCCTGCTAACGGACACCAAAGGGTCGTCAAAACAGCTACCAACTGTATCTTGCTCGATGCGAAGTGGCTCAAAAGCTTCAATGCCATGATCTCACAAAGGGTGGCGCGCGAATACATCACCCCGGCGTGAGCCAAGTCCGAGCCTGACTGTGCTAAGAAGTATGAACGAACAACCATGCACGCGTACACTATAGCCATGTTGCTGAGCTTCGCGTACTTCGTCACCAGGGGGCGCACTATGGCAAAATTGATGTCCGAGGCTGTGAGTTGTCTGTGGATATGTCATGAATAGCCCAGCCCGAATTACCGCAAAACATAGCAACATCAACGTACTCCCAACTAAGCGGACTATCTGAGACGTTCGTCAACCACGTGGATCAATAATATAGGCATTTCAATAAAGTCTCTCACCGATAGTGTTCTACATTGATGGGCCCATAGCCAACCAAAGCGTCAATCATAGCATGTGCTCAAGTTCAAAGATGAAACTCACAATCACGTCTTTCTTCAAGTAAGGAATAAGCGGGAACACTTTCACAGATGCCAAAAAATCCTGTGAAGGAGCGAGCAACCCTTGACTTATTTGATCCTCCGCATCCATGTCAGCCAAATCAACTCGCAGGTGGCTTAGTTAGGGAGTAGCGTAATTCTCCTGAGAATCCTAGGTCTGATCACTCGCACGAGTGGTCAACGTTAACGTTAACTCGGAAGGGGTCAAGTAGGTCGTCGGGGTCAGAGAGGTACTGAGTGTTGCTGAGTGTTCAAGGGATTAAGTTTGTGTTGTTATTATTTTATGCCGTAAATAACATAATCTAACTTATCCGAGTCCAGCGGTTCGGAACGTTCCTTATTGAGATACAAAGTCTCCAGGCGAGTAATATCCTTTTGTTTTCTCTCCAATAAAGTCCCCTAAATTCTTCTCCCGCTCGTTAACCTTCGACGCCATCCTGTGATGAGCCATGGGATGCTGTTTTTCTGAACCTGTGGATTTTGATTCAGAAGTCAATCTCTTTCACTTCGACCTCCATAGAGCAGTGGGCAAAGGAGCTTTCGGCAAGGTCGGCCATCTTTGATTCTCTGTTCCTTTGTGTGGTCACCCATAATGCAGTGTCTGCTTAGGTCAGGGTAGTCGAACACAAGCGTTCTAAGAAGCTTTATGCCCTCAAATATATTGATAAAGCGCGATGTATCAAGCAAAAGGCTGTGGCGAACATCATACAAGAACGCAGACTACTTGAGGAGGCGCGTGTTACCTTTGTTGCTTGCGTTTTCAATTCTCAAACTCCTTTTTTATAGATAGACCACCCTTTCATTGTCAACTTGCGATATGCATTCCAGGATGACGAAAACTGTTTCTTTGTGCTTGACCTCATGCTAGGTGGAGACCTCCGATGTGAGTCAATCAAGGCCTTGTTCTACTGGCATTATTTTAAATTGTGTGCCACAACCAGTCCATTTGGAAAGCAGAGGATGCTTCAGCGAGAACGTGGTTCAATTTTGGGCTGCAGAGCTGGCCTCGGCTCTTGTTTATTTGCACAAGCAGCGCATTATTCATCGGTAAGATTTTTTTGCAGCGGAATACCTTGGTCATTAACTGGAGCTACAGTGACCTTAAACCAGATAATATCGTACTTGATGCAAAGGGTCATGCACATATCACCGATTTCAATGTTGCCATTCATTATTCGGAGCGTCGGTTGCATACTAGTGTCGCTGGTAGTATGGCATATATGGCTCCCGAAGTCGTTGGAAGGAAAGGATATACATGGTGTGTCGATTGGTGGAGTTTCGGTATTACAATCTACGAGTTGTTGTTCCGACGACGTCCGTTTGATGGACGCACATCAGAGAAGATGACCAACTCCATTCTCAAAGATCCTATGAGGTTTCCCGATGATGCCAATAAGAAATGCAGTTCAAACTGCGTGAAGTTTGTGCAAGCAGTGAGTGCCGACACTCGCTAGTATTCCTTTGTTTCTTAATCTGGTCGCAGTTGCTCGAACGTAATGTTAGCCAACGTCTTGGATGTCGACCACACGGTCAAGGCTTCCGAGATATTCAAAACCATGCATGGCTGCAGGGTATAGATTGGCAAAGAATGGATATGAAAGATACTCAGTCTCCTTTCGTTCCAGACGTGAGTATTGTAAATTGTTGATCGATTCTATAATCATTCCCCATGCAGATGAAGAAAGCTAATTTTGACGTAACTCATGAACTCGATGAGTTCCTGATGGTTGAAAAACCACTGACCCACACAAAACGCAAGGCAAATCTGGATTTAGCCAAAATGAAGCCGGAAGTGAGGCAGTTGGAAGAGCAGTAGGTTCGCCATACAAGTTCCATGATAGTTCTAACTCGGTTTCGTCACTAGGTTCACCGTTTATGACTTCATGTCCACCAAGCGCAGGTCGTATTATCCTCATAACGAGCCCATTACCACTGTCGTACGGAGCTTAGAATCTGACCAAATCCCGGTTGTTCAGTCAATTTCAAACACTCTTGTTCCAACCACGACGATGGGAGACAGATCTCAAGCCGGTTCTCCAGCTTTGGATACCACTTGGCACCAGAATATGTCCATACCTCTTTAGCATATTGCTGTTTCTATTACCTTAATATTAACGGTCCGTCCTTAGCTCCCACTACCTGGACTGCATCTCATTTGTATTCGACTTTTCAGATGCCCAATGTGCACTTAATGTTGTATTTTCTAACTGAAGCATTCATATCATCTACATTTCCTGAAGCCTTTTGCATTAGTCAATTTATGCACATTTTCGTACTTCCTAGCTCGCGTCGTGGCATTTATGTAGATACTACCATTGGTAGCAGTGTTCTAGCTGGTGTATCTACCGTCGTAAACGATAAGCTTGCATCCGTTTGATCAACTGTGACTCCATTACTACAGGTGCCAGTGCTAGCTCCATTCTTTTTATACTCGACTCGAGCGAGAAACTATAAGAAAAGCGATCTTGCGATACTTTAGCTCCTACTAGGTTCCTTGTCTTGCAGTGCCACGCTAGTCAGTTGATCGAGCCTGATAGTGCACGCGTGGGTGACGTTGCAACCATTCATTTGGCAAGGCAAATTTGGGGAATGTACAAGCTTTTGACGAATCCAATAATGGTCCTAGAGATTGCCTGAACGTGTGTTTGATTTGCCCGGACATTTGTAACATTTGCAGTCTCATGATAGTATATTCAATTCGAAGAACTGATGAGGCACTTGTCGCACTTCTATATGGCATCAGTCACCTCAGTATAGCCGCCGCTTAGTCAGCCAATTAACTTGAATAAACACCGTTTATCGTTTACTGTGACTCAAACTTCCCAAATGTCCAATCATCGAATTCAGCCGCAAAGTATTCCTACTGTGGGCGAACTATTCGCGAATGCTACTATTCAGAACGTCGAAACGCCCATTTATCTACCCAAGCGATCACTTCTGAGTCGTGTGCACCTCTAGTTAGCCAGTGGTCACTGCACTCCTGAATTCCTCTCTTCTAACTCTCGTATAAGTCAAGGTGACATTACTGAAATCGAGGTGGATGCAATCGTCAACGCTGCCAATTCAACATTGCAGGGTGAGTCGTATCATGGTCCATAGTATACAATGAGTCAGTGCTCAGCTGCTGACATGTGTGAACCATCCATAGGCGGGGGCGGAGGTCTGTCGAGCTCTCATGTGTGCCCGTCATATGATACTCACAAGGTTTAGTGGACGGGGCTATCCACATGGCTGCTGGCCCAGCACTCGCCAAAGCGTGTACGATCTGCTCCCCTTCACGGCGCTAGTCTCAATCTTACTTTACCCCATTCACTTGATATAGGCAGGGAATTGTATCCTGGGCGTCACCCTTGTCCAACGGGAAACGCTAAAATTACTCCAGGCTTTCAGCTCCCTTCGTAAGTGCACTGTTTTTGGCAATCGCTCTGCTGTCCTCACTCCAATATCCTACCCGTCAGGAAACACGTTATCCATGCTGTAGGACCAAGATGGAGTGTTTCTTCAGACACAAATACAATGGCTGGTCAGCTTGCGTCCTGCTATAGAATAAGTCTTCAGTTAGCGGTAGATAACAACTGCAAGAGCATAGTAAGCCATCAACAATTCTCTAGTCTGGCAGGCAATGCCATCATGCCACTCTAAATGACGCGCAGGCCTTTCCCTTGATTTCAACCGGTATCTATGGATACCCCATCGACGAGGCAGCTCACGTTGCGCTCAAAGAGACACGCATTTTCTTAGAAGGAAATAACCAGGTAACTGGGAGCTTTTTCGTGACTTTTGGATGACCATAACTATAAAATTTCAGTTGGACCACGTGGTATTTGTTATTTTTACTGGCAGGAACGGAGATCAGAAGGTATACGAGTACGTGGCATTAATGTCCTCGCACATGTCTTCGTTCATAAGGCGTCAATCAGAAAATTCATTCCGTATTATTTTCCCCTTGGACCAGAAGATATCAAAAGCATCGATCCTCTGTCGAGCGCGAAAGGTTCTGTAGATGAATGATGTCTACGCTGCATAATTTCTCTCTACTTCCAGATCCCAATAAAACAGTCCGAGTGATCATATCAAATACTTAGATACACAGCTGATAAGCTATCTGAGACAGTCTGACAGATGATGGGAAGACGCAACAATTCGGTTCATGGCTCCCCCTGCAAGTTCAAATTGACCTGTTCGCCGGTCGCAGGGCAATGATGTTTCGTTTGCTTATTACGGATCGCCATCATAGTAGGACTGGTGGGTCGCAGATACTGTCAATGTAACGCACTTTTGGAAGACTTGCAGGTTCTCCGATGCAACAAATATTCACGCAACCGTGACATTCGTCGTTTTTTCGGAGATCATGGCAACTGCACAAAGGGACAGTGACTCCCATCTTATGTCACGGACTCACGGTAGTTTTTGTGCAACCTGCCTTCACCTTTTTTGCCATGTCCATTGCTTCAACCTTTTCTTGTCTCTCCAATCGACTAGTTCTTGGACATTATCCTTTGAGTCTTGATTAGTATTTAATAACATGGCATGTATCATCTCGAGCAGTAGCAGAATTCACCATTTGACATAATCGTTATTCCCACGGTAAGACTTAAAGCTTGATGAGTCATCAAAAACTTGTTCAATCCTACTCTGCGGAACATCAGATGTCATCGCGGTAAGCTCGAAAAACTCAACTTGTTTGCAGAACATTGAGCAAAAATTGCGTTTGATACAGCGACGGACGAACGTTTGGACATATAAGCGGCGTGGAGGTTGGCACAAATTTCAACTCAAAGTGAGTGCATAGAGTACGATTATAATATCGCAACGAACTCACACTGCTTTTTCTATACTTGTAGAGCTATGTTAGCTGAGGCAGGCGTACATAAACTACCCCAATCTGGCATACACGGGGATAAAGAGCTCGGCGCATTTTCCATATGTTTGTCCAAAGGGTACGAGGATAATGTCGACAGGGGAAATACCATGTACGCCCGTTTGTTGCTTGGCCATTCCACATACTGATATTAATTCGATTTTGTTCAGTACATATGTTGGCTCAGGTTAGTAATCGCGTTATAGTGCCCGTGTTTCGCTGTTAACCCTTATTCAGGTGGACAAGATGAAGATGGAGTAAGCATAATCAAGTCCTCATCCTATAAACATGTTGTCATTGCGTTTCAGAAACAAATAGCCGACCAGTCCCCTGATTCTGGAAGTAATAGAGCCATGTTTGTAAGTAATCTCATTTGTGACAGTTCTCCCTAGTAATATCCTGAGTAGATCTCGGAAGAAACCAAACGTCCAGTGCGAGTCGTACGCGGAGCGAATGACGACAATGCTTATTCCCCACGCAAAGGGTGAAGGAAGTGCGCTTGCTCCTAGTCCGATTTACTGATTCACATTTAGTTTTCGTTACGACGGGTTGTATGTCGTTGATGAGGTGCTGGTTCCTTTCTTCATGTCATGAGCTATTACTGATGCGTGCCAGGCCAAGATGATGGACGGAAAGAAAGGCTTTAAGATGTGCACCTTCACGCTGAAAGTAGGAAACACCGCAAAAGCCCATGATTGTGACTGATTTCTGTCTCTAGCGAATTGAAGAGGAAGGCCAGAAGCCGATACCAATAAGGCGCACCCTCACCAAAGGCAAACTGGCAAAGATGCTGAAGAAAACTCGTACTGGGTAATCTGCCCGTCATGGTTCTGATATCTTGGCTTTTCAATTGTCATGTACTATAATATCCTCATACCCATGTAGTGTGTACAGTCATCTGCTTGCATTTGTAGTTTTAAGACGTTTATTATCAGTTTACCTGAAGCAATCCATATATATGTATTTTATGCGGCAGATCCCGTGACAGACCTACCTTTGTATCTGTTTAAACTTGAAAATGAGACCTCTCTCTAGTCTAATACTAGTTCGGGATTCCGACATCCCGCATGTGGATTCTATTCCTACACTAATCCGACCTGGCTATTTTCTCGTATCTGACATCACCGGTCCGTTCCCCAGCTGACCGTATCACCAACCAATGACCTTGCTCTCGGAACTCCGCCAGAAGATGATATGCTTGCGAGAGCAATGTCATATAATTGCTAGAGCGGCCGTTGTTTCCTTTCGCCAACCCAATCGATTGGTTTCTGCAACATGCCAGCTGCGGTACCCCCTTCCGGAATTTACGTGCCTGCTGTCTTGTTCTTCAAAGAGAACGAGGACTTTGATGTCCCTGCTATAAAGTCTCATGTTTTGCGGCTCGCTCAGGTGTGAACAACCTTATAATTACCTGATGTCAGTCGATAACATTTCAATCTGCTCAGGGAGGTGTTACAGGTATCGTCGTGCAGGGAAGCAATGGAGAGGCTCAACATTTGTCACACGACGAGCGCAAAGAGGCGATCAGCCTTACTCGAAAGACGTTGGATGAAAACGGCTTCCAGAACGTCGTTATCATTGCAGGCTGCGGCGCCCAATCTGCACGAGAGACAAAGAAGCTCTGCGCAGATGCAAAAAATGCTGGTGCTGCCTTTGTACTCGTGTTGACACCTTCTGTCTGGCCTGGAGAGATGACGAAAGAGAACATAATCCGTTACCACCTTGAAGTAAGCCTTCCATAAAATTGACTGGACTGAGTCGCTGACTTCCTCGAATTCGTAGGTTGCAGATTATTCACCTTTGCCATACATGGTGTATAACTTCCCAACTGTCACTGCTGGCATCAACCTGGATTCCGATATCATCCTCGCACTCTCAGAACACCCCAACATTGTGGGCACTAAGTTGTCTTGCGGAAATGTTGGAAAGCTCCACCGAATCACTTCTGTCAAGCCGCCTTCTGAATTTTGCACTCTTGCTGGTGTATCAGAGGTCCTCTTACAAGGACTCCTCTCCGGAAGTGCTGGGGCAATTGCCGCGCTGCCGAACCTCGTGCCCAAGCTACACATGAAGATGTACGCACTTTACCAGGCAGGAAAGATCGAGGAGGCTATGAAAATTCAAGCTCAGCTAGGTCAGGGAGATTGGGCAACAAGCAAGGCTGGAGGAGTCGGTGCTATGAAGGCCTTGATATCGAAGCATTTCGGATATGGTGAAACTCACGTTCGACGGCCGCTCATGGCTGTTGGACAACTCAGCGGTACGTATGTCGATAAACTGGAAGAACTGATTGCCAGTGAGAAGATGCTGTAGGGTATGACATGCTTTTGTATTACGATTGTCGCATGCACGATAATACAGTCCAAATCTCCAACTTATCAACATGAAAACATACAGTCATCCATAAATTTCAATAATGTCATTGATCCCTCAAGAGTCGATACCAGGCGCTCCTGGGCACCAACCTTTGTCTTTCTTCAACGCTAGCCTCCTTCGCCATGCAATCAATTACCTGGTCATTGCGCGGTAACATTGTATATAATGCTGCACCCTCACCATTGCAGGATCCGAATATCAATCCGATGAGGCTATAGCTCAACTATAGCTAACAAGTAACTCCGAATCTCTGTCCTAGGACTCAATGTCATCAAACGCAAGCGGGCTGTGTGAACGTGTAAGCGTCGGCGGTTGCGTCACTACCGCAGTGCCCGTCATGATCGGCTTCGCTATTTTATAACGACCAACTTCTCTATAATTCGAACTAACTAATATCCTCCTGCCAGTGTAGGCGTCATATATCATGAATTTTGTTCATCCTCCTGTACTAATCGTAAGTGACCCCCTATGACACATGTTTGCACCTCAGCTGAATTCCTTGTTAGGTTGGCGCTGGGCCAGTGGGTCTGGTAGCAGCGTTGACGCTCCTCCAAAATGGCATCTCCGTTCGCATCGTCGATAAAGACCCCCACCCTCGCATCGGACAGCGCGGTACTGGAATATGGGTTTGTCACGCATCCACTTCAAGTCACACCGTCCCGTGGTCTCACCTGAATGCATACTCTATGTAGCCGCGTACCCGCGAAGTCTACAACTTCTTGAACATTTCAGAAGTCAACAGTCTGGCAAAACCAGCCCCTCCCATCCGTTTATACAAGCCCGGGACGTTAGAACCTCTGAGAGACTCATTGCTGTCCCCGCATGTGGAACCTACTCCAGCAATACCATTTGTGCACAAACCGTCGCCTGATCAAATCTTGATGCTGATTAATTTTTAGAACGGCCACAGATCGATGGGTCAGCAGCTCCTAGATGTGATTCTGCGACGCCACCTAGAAAAGTTTTCTTGTTCTGTCGAGATGGGCACCGAACTGCGCTCGTTTGAGCAGTCCGATGAGGGCGTCACTACTATCCTGGCAAAGAATGGCATGCCAGAGTCAGAGACTTTTAATACCAAATGGATCATCGGCGCCGATGGTGCTAAAGGTGACTCGGAGATGCAATTAAATTCATCGACATGCACAAGACTAAAAGTGGCTTTGCAAGCATCGTGCGCAAGTGACTTGGGCTCACATTTTTGGGCGAGACCAGAGACGATACCCGGATTGTGACCGGAGATATCTGTTTGACGGTCGTTGACCTAGATAGACTGGTACGCTCGTTTTCTACATATTTGACAACAAGCTGTCCTAACACAGTCTTGAAGCATTGGCACCAATTTGGTAACTTTAGTGAACGAGGGTATGTTCAGTCAAGGCTTTGAGATGTATATATTGACGATATCAGGCTCTCATTGCGTCCAACAGACGAAATCGGCGAGGACGGCTGGCAATTTTTCCTCTTCGGCCGCGAACTAGATCTGACGAAGATCGCTGAGAGTGAAGAGCTTATCTTCGAGACCATCGCGTCGTTGATGCCAACGGAGATTACATTCAACAAGGTGGTTTGGACGAGCTACTTCCGGTGAGTTTTGTGTTTCTGTGTTAATATACATTAATCTGTTTGTTCCAGAGTCAATATTCGGATGGTGAATAAGTTTAGCGAGGGTCGAGTATTCGTTGCAGGCGGTATGTGATTCTGCTTGAGATGTGGATGGCTGTGCTCAGCATATTGTCGTAGATGCTGCTCAGTAGGTCCTCTTTGAACGCCTTTTTGCAAACTGCTACTAACACATCCAAGCGTCCACAGCCCAACGGGTGGTCAGGTATGGTTGATTTGATTTTTGCTAGTACTTGGTCATTTATTTGTGAACAGGGACTCAATTCAGGCGTACAAGATGCAGTGAGTCGGGTAGACGTAGTATGTATGTCACGACTGACCGCGCCCCACACCAGTTCAATCTAGGATGGAAACTTGCGCTCGTCCAGAAAGGGCTCGCCGACAAATCTCTTCTTGAGACATACAGCGCTGAGCGTCTACCTGTGATCTCAGAGATGCTCGAGATGACCACCTCCATTCTCAACAAAACAATAACATCTAGAGACGCGCCGGTCGAACGAAGTCCCATACTCTTCATGCTTGGCATCAACTGCCGATTCAGCACTATCGTTCTCGATGAATTTGTGACTTTAGTCGAGGGGAAGCGCATCAACGCATACGGAGCGCTTGATGAGGGGAATCTGGAGGCTGGTGACAGGGCACCTGACGCGCCCGATCTGTTGCAGGTGGGGTGCGTAGAGCCTGACGCGACTACACTTTTTGGTTTGTACAGACCCTGGTATCACACAATGCTTGTATTTGTGCCGAGTCTCACTGATGCTATCCCGATTTTGGGTGCACTGGCGGCATACGACAAAAGTGTCTTACGATCGGCAGTCGTTCTGCCATCATTGGCATCGGTGACGTCTGTCGCATCTCCTGCTGATCTCATTCTTGTTGATCAGGAGGGTCATGCTTATTCTGCTTACCTTGTGGAAGCTGGCCAGACGAAGGTGTTTGTGATACGGCCGGACGGCGTGATTGGGGCGATAGTTCACGGAACAGAGGGCGTAAAGAAGTATTTCTCAAAGATATTTTTGGACGCGTGGCGGTCCGAATATTCATTCTTTACTTATGACTTTCTTATTCTTGTATATATACCTCATGCAACGGTTTGTAAATGAGAAAATGAATGCGATGCGACAGAGAACCACACTAATTGACACATAGTAATCGAGGTCAGTGCATGGAATAGAGAAGGTTGTTGTACCGTGAAGAACTCCTCAAAAGTTGTGATACTCGCTTAATGGCTCGCTGGGTCCAAAGATTGAGTGCATTCATTCCATGATCGGGCTTTTTCAAAAATCTGCCATGACAGATAAACAACTGAATGCGTGGGCACGTGGTGTAGGATTCCAATAGACATGTGTTTTGGAGGAAACTGGAAATGAAGACGTGACAATCATGTCGGAGTAACTAGTACATGGATACGCCCGGGCAAATTACACGGTGATGTGCTGCCAGGCTAAAGATCTGAGAAACTGCCCGACACGAGCAACAACAGTATTCATGCGGCCATCTGGGAAGGATAGTTTTCAGCCAGACTCGAACGCCGGGAAGTACTACCTGCACCACAATAATTCGATGCGATGGGATACATTCTGCAAGATGTGGAGACCGGAGTCGGGCCTATGGACACAGTGCATAGGCACAGGGAGGGTATAATAACTCTCCGGGGGCAAAATGTGAGCTTTGGATCGGAAATTTCCCTCAGGATTATGGGAAAGACGGGTGAATTCGACGATATTGAGAGAGAATGATGTCTCATTGCGACGGGTCCCCTTTCGAATTCATCAACCTATCGAGAAGCTCGGCGACTTTCTGGCGTGCTTCATTCTTTTCCTGTTGTACGTGCTTGAGTTCCGCATCCCGACGGTGGGCGATTTGAGCCTCGTCAGATAAGAGAAGCAGCAACTTCAAGGAATGTGTTATAGACAATAGTGAATTAGCTGCACGGACCTGGATGATTTCGGTAATGAGCCATCTGTAGTGAACAGAGTTTGATCTTTCTCATACCATAGACTCAGCGCGAGATTCGGCCTGAAATGACTCTTGTGCGATTCGAAACTTGTCCTTGTCTCCGATCTGACAGAAATTGAGATACAGCTCGAGAAAGTACGTATAGCGCTTACCGATGCCAGACTAACGATATCGACCATACCATCGACCAATACTTCTACCTCGGCGTCTAGTTTCTTGTTCCATTCTTCCTCGATGGCATCGAGGTATTCATCCGAGTTCTGATCGACGAGAGCTTGATTGAACGTGGGGCGCTGAAGCAACTTGGCTGTAGGCAATGCTGAGGGACGAGAGACATCAGTCTGGGGAGGCTCAGCCATTAGTTGATATCGTCTGCACGACTGGCTTAGATGGTGCGCTAGTGGAGGATCACAGCTTCACAGTTCGTGAAACAGCCCCAAAAGGCAGGTCGTGGAACCGGAAAGCATGTATTGACGCGATCAACAAGGTTATACCGCATCATACTTGAAGATGTACAAGTCTTTCCTTGTAATTAATCTACCATGTTCTTTGATATCACACCAATTCGCATCTTTTAACCCGTCACAATGCGCCTAGCATCAGTGATTCCTTTAATCCCTGCAGAACTGGTAACAGCACTCGACCAATCGTGTGGCATCCGAACGGACACCGATCTTCTCTTCTTTGGTTCCAGCTTGGACATCATCAAGAAATTACCACTCGGGACTGTGACACTCTCGGACCTAGAAAAGTTCACCGAATCAATAGCAGAACAGGCATCGGTTCCTGGACATCGGGGAGACGAGATTCTTGCTGCCACAGGACGGATTTCTGAGAAGCATCCTCGAGTCAGCTGTGGTGTAAAGGAACTAGATGAACTTGTTGGTGGCTTTGGTGACTCTCGGGTCTTTGAAATATCTGGAGCTAAAGGATCAGGTAAAACGGTCAGATGAGTTGAAATATATTCTCGAGGGTCAATTCACAACGAAGATGATAGGCACTTGCGCTGCAAATAGTGATCCAGCGACTACTTTCTGATGCAGATTCTTATGCGTTATGGATCGATTCGTCCGGTGACTTCTCTGCAGAGAAGACTACTCAGCTAATGCGATATTTTGATGTAGCGTTAAATCTATCGTCGATCTCATCACATTCTAACAAAAGACTGATAGGTATCTGATAAAGTGCTAGAGAGGTTGCAGGTATCCGTGGGTTTCAACATAGAGGGAGTGAACGATGTCCTCGAAGCGCTGCGTATTTCACTTTCGGTATGCCTCCACCCATTTTTGCGCTCATTCGTTCTCGAATTATGCTATGCATCGCAGAACTCTAAGAGCGTTGAACCGACAGTCCAGTGGATAGTCCTCGACTCCATAACCCCACTTCTACTGCCATCCCTGAGTGCGGTATCTTCCCAAGGACATGCCATGATGATAACGTTTATGCGCCGATTACGCGAGCTTTCTCGGACTTTTGGGATAAGTATCATGGTAAGATTGTTCCACGAATTCGCACCTGTTTCTTATTTCATCTAGGTGATCAACGGAACATCAGCAGCTGTACCATTCAATCAGAGTTCCGCCTTCGCATCAACAATCAGAAAACCTGCTTTGGGTCCTTCGTTTACATTTATGACAGATTGTACCATCTGGTTATCCAAGACGAAAGATATACCTGATCCTGAGGGCCCGTTCTCGGTGCACGTGGCAGAAGTATTCCGTTCGAGGGCAACGGTGAGTCCCTGAGTAGCTTTCCCTTCATGCGATATTCAATTTGAATTAGAGATCAAAAACTTGGTGCACCTTCCAAATTCGCCATGGTATTTTATCCTCGACATCGGATTTGTAGCTATCCCCTCCTTCTTGGCAGTGGCTCGCCGACAACAGAATTATAAAAGCAGATCACGTATTCTTGTGAAACAGCTATAGCTATTAATATTAGCACACATTGTTCCGCACGAAGTCCGAAGTGATTCCAAACTACAAGCACATAACGTATCCTTCCTATACACCCTCCTCCATTGTTTCTATCGAAGCACGAAGTTTAATGGCCCAAAACCTTGAGAAGCGAGACGACCGATATATATCCCGCTTTTGACTCTGAGCAGCATTTTTCACATTGGTCACGAATATGTCATTCTGAGCTCCGTCTTTAAAATCATAAAGGTCGTTGTAAAAAGGAGGACCCATGTAGTCCTCAAACATCTAAGACCAGATCCACATTCAGTATCGCGTGAAAATTTTCCAGATGCTCACGTTGTTGCCTTCATTTTGCAGCCAGTACAATGGTTGCTTCGCTCCGTGCGTACAGTTGCTGGGGGTAGGGTGGATGATTCCGTGCTCAGGATCTGCTCCGCAACGTCTTGCAACTTGAGGCTTCATGAGAGCTGGTGCATCGTGCTTAGAACCCGTTACTGTGCACTGGAAGGCATTCATATACACTGGAAGGCACCGAGTCAGGATGACAAGACGACAAAGGAAACTGCCTTACTTTGTTCAGAACCGCTATCAGGAGAGTGAATCCAGAACCATGCACACGTGCATTTTCCGCCAGGACAGACTGGCATGTCAGCAGGAACCTATTATCATTGTTGTTGAACTGGGTTCAGAGAATCTTTGGTCATCGTAGGAATATATACCTGGAACGCCGTGAATCTGTGCCAGACGCAAGTCTGATTGACGCTAAAGACCGTAAAGTCTTCTGGTTTAATCTCGCTGACGTCCGATTCATAGACAATGGCAAGTGCACAACCTTTAACGTCATCAATACCTGTGGTGTGGAACTGGACAGAAGTGGATCTGGGGCAAGGCCAGTCCCCCTGACGAACATCTCCACTGTACCATTAAACTCAGTATACATTTTGATGGGAGATATAATCAGTTAACTAACCCTTCGGACGAATTCCACCACGTTGTCGCGCCCTTGTTGCACCCAAGTTCTGCAATGGCGGCTTTCCCAGCGGGCAGTTCAAAGACATCATTTGGGTGCGGAGGATATGAAAGGTGGTTGTGAAACCACCACTCGTTAAACGTCATACGCGCCAGGGGTACAACAGGACGATTGTCGTAAGAATACGCTGGGTCCTTGTCTGTGACGTTGAAGCCCCACATGCTCGGGTGCCAAAAGGCAATGTGAGCATAGACACAGGGGACAACAACAGCGACAACAATGAAGAAGAGACGAGTAACTGAGTAAATCATGATGGGTGAGCTGCTCGTGTTGGTTCCTCCACGGAGGCACCGGGCATTATATAGTGCTCCATCCCACAACCTACTGAAGGGAACCAAAAAAAATATTCAACTTTACAGATATGCAACACACCATTGCACCGATGGCGAGCGCAGTCACTCACGAAGATTGCACCCAGAAGGGCGTCCGCCCTGAGTTGCATACTTCCGGTGCGCACTGGTCGATTCTGTCCGAAGACAGAACAGCGGAAGATAATCAACAACATCACTGAAAGATCTGCACCGTGATGGGCAAGCCATACACACGCTTCTGACACAAGATTCTCACAGACAAGTTGTTAGGTATCAGTACCTTGCCTCCGAAGCCAAACAGGAGTTGCCTAACTCCATTACTTTGGCCGGCAGACCGTTAGGTCATAGAAGCTTCCAGGATTACGTTTCAGATCTTGGGCCCATTTGACATAAAGGCTCGGGGTACTACAGTGTACGAAGCACTTTTCCAGCCTCTCGGATTGGCCCGAACTTGAAAATGTATCTAGTCCTCGAGATTTGACCGCTTTGTACCGTAGAGTAGCACAAATGCAATCTTTTTACTTGTAGATTAAGGCTATCTCATTAGAATTTTGAAAATCAAGGTGTTGAAAAATTTTCCAACGAAATTTGAAACATGTTGCAAGAAATGGTATTTCTGGGTAACTGAGCAGGTATACGATAGTAAGTATGAATCAGATGATCTACAGAAGCCATCTGCTCGCAATTTGAGCATCCAGCGTGGTCAAAATATCTGTCGCAAACCCAACACGACGGTGGGAGCAGTACTTCTTAACCGCGAAGGCTGCTTGTTGTGTGTCGAGTCCTTTACTGTTCAAACTTCAGCGTTGCACGATTATTCGACAGTAAACATACCAGTAAGCATCCATATAATGCCAAGCTTTGCGGAAAAAACGGTGAATGATCAAAACATCGCACATGTCAAGACATTGTGGAACCAGTGTTTTCGCGGTTGAGAATTTGCCATCAGCGACAATCTCATTGCTTCTTTGCTCGAGCAGCTTTCTTTGCCACAGGAGGCATATGAATGGTCCAGGGGAGATGAACAGGGTCTAGGGAGCATGGGGTAATTTTTTTTCCAACGGGAAAATTTGAAACAAAATGGGAAATTTCGAAAAATTGCTTATTTTTGCTTGTTTCCTTACAGAATTTTCATTGGACATCGAAATTTGTACTATAGAGGTCCCTACGGAGATGGTATCCTAGTGCTTCGTACACTGTAGGACGCCCTTTCGACGGCCTTAAGTTGACCGTAGTGTGCCCCATCACCGTAACAGTCTCTTAAAATACCTTATGAAGTATCGAGTCGCCACAGCTCGGAGTATGGCCACACTCGTGATCATTCGGATACAACTGCTTGTGGTTTGCCTGTGGCGCACGCTCCTTCAGAAGACGCCTCGAAGGATGATGACACTTGGTCGGTCGATCTTGACTTGACCGGGCCCATTTCGCATCAAACGCCATCAGAATCATCCGGAAAGTCGTTCCCGTGATGGGAACGAAGCTGATGGATGATTTGCAAACATCAAGAGGTTCACGGACCCATCTCGTAGACACATCTAAACGAAACCATGGAACTATGAGCACGAAAGTCACCATAATACATTGAAAGGGGTGCATCATTAATCCAAAGTTTGATGATAGTTCGTATTAGAATAAGATGAAGAAGTAAGCAAAGTGGACTTCACATATCCCCAAACCTGTGAAAATGATGAGACCAGTTTGATGACTATAATCAAGATCACTCGCCTATCTGGCATCAACACAGGCGCAAGCAAGCTCCACATGTACAGTAACATGCACACCCAACTGCTTACTATGCGCATCCACATCGCGGTCTCCGAACGGCCGATGCGGACAACCTCCTCGGAGTCAGCAGAACCTTGTTCTGTGGATACCACATTCCTACGCGAAAAAGATGAGCGGAAGGATCTGTGTACAATGGAAAGACGACTTACCAATCAGTAAGGAGCATTGCAACATACATTGCACCAATAGCGAAGATAACATGGAACCAAGAATACTGTGCATGTAAGGTAATTGTTATGGAAGATGTCACAATATACTCACATTGTATCTCGTGCCGGAACGTTCATCGTCTTTGGCATCTCCACTGTCATCATCTTCATCTTCGTCATCCTCTTCATCCAGAGCGGATGCAGGGATTGCTCTGGCAAATTGTCACTACCCAAATATAGATCTATAGCACTATAACTTACCCAGCCTCGACAGCAGCGAGGAGAGCCTGATATCTTGGTGATTCAGTCCTTCCCGGCTGAGTGCTAACTACGTCCATTTCCGAAGGCTCACTAACGTCGACTGGAAGTTGAATTGGGCCACCTTTCTTTCCCCTGCCCACCAATGCACGGCTCTGTGTCGCGGCGCGACTGGTAGAATAGGCGATAGCCAAGAAAGTAAAAACTGCACCAAGAACAACCGTGGTCGTGTCAGTCCGGCTGAGCGGATTGCAAGATTTGTGTGCGTGATTGCTGACGGCGGAGACAACAAGATAGGTGCAGTATGCAGCAACCATTCCGGATTGAGCGAGGCCCGATCGAGGATTTGACTCTTGAATGGTAGGATGTATGGACATAATAGTGACAATGATGCAAAGGGCTAGGTTTAAGGAGATGAAAAACCGGTTAAGGGTGCATCCGGAACTTGCGAAATAGGCGTATAGAATGCCAGTCAGGGTGATACACGCCACATACATCGCAGCAGTAGAGCCTATGAGGATCCATTGCCATAAAGTCGAATCTGAGTTCTCCCAGTTTTCCTGACACATTTCTGTCCATGAGTGGGCGAAGTCGACCAGGAGAACCAAACCGAGGAGGATGAATATAGTGGCACCTATAAGAGAAACGTAGTTGCCCCAGAACATGAAAAATTCATTCGGTATGAAGAATGAAACAACGACGAGCAAAATCCACAGCAGAACCTTTGGGCCCCACCAACTGGCTTAAATGAGCACATATTCTACATATTCAAACACGGGAAGGGTGCTTACCCATTCTGTATTGCTGCGCGTTTATCCCTAGACTCTTTGACACCAATGAGAGACAAGCTCAGGATCGCATGAAATAGAGATAAAGCGAAACAAATGCGATGGACCTGCCAAGTTCACGTGGGTCAACATCCAATCAACGGCTAGTTGTATTAAACGTACTGCCAAAACGCCATAACACTTGCCGTCATCGCCATCGCACTCCATCTTTATGTAGTCATAACTCCAATGCTCGATCTTGCGAATTGCAAATGGAGTCTTCATGAGCCATGCTAGCAGGGAATTCAAAATGAAGATTATCTAGGCAACATGGTTAATGCTCTTTCAAACTCCTACTTATTTCACGCACTGCAAAACCGACTCTCGTCGCTATCGAGGAATTGCAGTTACAAGACTTGCAAAACATGGATGCTAAGAGGTATCAGGTGCAGTTCTACATGTGGAGAAATTCCAGAATGACATACCAGCAGTTGAAGTAAAGCAAAATGCAAGACCTCCGAGGCATGATGCTGCGATAGTCCCAAGCGGACCAGCGAGGGGGATAGAAAACAAGAGACCCATGACGTATCGATGGAGTTATATGTTGCTTGTAAGTCCATCGTGCAGCAAACCGCAGGTGCCCTGCAACGCACGCACCCTATTTTGGTATTTTATTCCCACCTGTCCCCACGGAAGGATGTAAGTAGGACCATTTTGACACAGTGTAAAATCGTTTGACCGACAGCATGAAGAAACAATATTTGGCCTCGATCTCATTGCCGCGCCTTTGCTGCCTTATATTCTGTAAAATATTCCAGCCTTGAGTAGAACTCGGTGACTTTGAATCCTGATTCGACGGTCACCAACGTTTCAACTTGCGATTTTCCCAGTATTCATTATACGACTTGGTCGCCTCAGGCTGTATCGTGCGGAAATTCCTCATCAAGAACGTTGCCCCCATCATTGATTCAAACCTAAAATCATCATTGCAGCGACCGTCATGGTATGGACCACATCATGCCACTCTTTCAATTTTCAATTGATGTAACAGTGAAACGTTCTGGAATCTGCATGCTCAACCAACGTGTCTGATAGCAATGTGCAAGTATTGGATGGCTTCAAAATAATGGCCAGAGTGATGACTCGTGGTACCCCGAGTAGTACCTTTCTGAAATACTTCGCTCCGTACGTGCATCGTAACCTAGCTAAGATGCTGGTTGGGATTCGCAACATATGATTTTATTCTACACAATTAGGGGCAGTGCGATAACGAAATGACACCTCGTGCGCCACATTCAGCGCTCACATTACACTTCACGTTCCGAGTGCATTCTTAAACCTGTCACATATACATTGATTCCCATCTAAAATATCCCCTTCCTTGCTTGTCCATTGAATGGATTCAAAGTACTCTACTGACGCTGTCGCAGCCGCTAGGAGTCTCCAAGTCTTTACGGTAATTCTTCCTCTGGGCAATTCAAACAATTTGATGAAAGTCAATTATTTCTAGTACATTTACAGTATGTGCTACCTCGGTTGACTCGATCGCATTCTGCTAACGCAGATTACTATCTAGCGTCGATGGCTACATTCTGGGTAAGATCATTATTACTCTTCTTGCTCTAATATCCGTCCTGACCATCCGATTCCTACCTAGACATATGACTATGCCTGCACAATCCGTGAAGAGGTGACACAAACAACTTGAAACTGAAGTTCGTATGCTTACCATATACGATTTCAACTCGAAGGTGGTATTTTTGTTTTGTTCTCCCTGGAGGAGGGTCAAACTTCTGTACATTGTGACACGCTATGTTCCTTTCCTTCTTTTTGCTGCGCACTTGTACCGTATGTCCCGAGCCTAGATGGATCTAAGATACCCTATTGACAGACTTTTGCCAGTAAACTTCATCCTAGACGAGACTTCTGATGTATGTGGACTGGCGATGGACAAGAGCTCTACTTATTTGAAGTTCAACTTAGAGATGCCAATTTGTCAACAACATCAGCTCATGTGCGTCGAATTGTATGTCGGGATATTCAATTACTGACCTCTATCCTTTCCTACAGGTCTTAGCCTGATATCGATCGTCTGCTCAGAATGTAATTTCTCTATTATCTTTATCGCGAGTTCAAGTTTTTGATTTCTTTAGGTTTCTTCATATTCAGGACGTACGTGCTATGGAATAACAATAAGGTCTTCCAGAAAGTATGCCATCGTGCAGCACTCCGCTTAGTCACGCTCCCCACCCGCCACCCCCTTAATAAGCATCCGAAGCACATCGTCAAGCACCACAACGTCAAACGTCACCGCTCATCCCTACACAATCTACTCGCCACATTCAAAGCATTCCCAGAGAACATCGAAACGCTGGACCCAATCCGAAGATCGAACGCCACGATCCCGAACGCCTACGACACTCACATCGCACCAAAGAAAGAATTAGCTATCAAAGAGCATAAGGAACTTAAGGACGAAATTCAGATCTTTACCGACGGTTCAGGACACAGAGGCGGGATAGGCGCAGCGGCAGTGCTCATGCGAGAAGGCAAGGATCCTAGAACGCTTAAGTATCATCTCGGCCCGGACAAAACTCATACTGTATATGAAGCTGAAGTAGTAGGACTAACACTAGCAGCCAAACTCCTAGCAACCGAACCGAACGTAGTCTACCCCGCAACCATCTTCATAGACAACCAAGCAGCCATCAAATCCGGTGAGAGCCATAGTACGAATCCGGGCGGATAGTTAATAGAAAATTTCCGTAGCATGACCAGATTCATAGCCAAACGCAGAGCAGAACAAGAACGCGACTTCAAACTGACGGTACGATGGATCCCCGGCCACAAGGGAGTAATTGGAAACGAGCTAGCTGACAAGGCTGCGAAAGAGGCGGCTGAAGGAGCCCACCAGAACAGCACAAGACGACACCTACCCACCTACCTCAAGGACAAACCCCTCCCTGATAGTGTATCAGCGCTAAAGCAATGGCACAACGACGCGTTGAGTAAACGCTGGACCGAATCCTGGAAGAAATCACCCCGTTATGCAAGAGCGAAGATCATTGATCCCACCATGCCATCCAACAAATTCATTAAGCTCATCGCTCCCCTCTCCAAGCAGAAAGCCAGCATTTACATCTAACTCCGCACCCGTCATCTTCCCCTCAACCTTCACCTGCATCGCATATCAAAAAGTGACTCACCACACTGCCCAGCTTGTCCCAACGTAGACGAAACAGTTCATCATTATCTCTTCGACTGCCCCCAATATGCGCAAGAACGTCACCAATTTGCCAACACTCTCAGACGCCAAGCCACATCCATCTCTCACATCCTCACCTCCGACGCAGCCACCAAACCGCTAATGCAATACATCAACAAAACAGGCAGATTCAAACATACGCTCGGTGAGATCTCGAAAGATAAGAACCTTCTCCAATTCACATAATCCTACAGTAACAACGCACACCATAATAATAATCTAATCCATCCATCTCCGAGCCTGGAAGGAAGACGTCTCGCCGGCCGAGACCACAATGTAGGAAACGAAGGGCCCGCCAACGCAGCTTTTCCACCACATCATTCCTCCCGTACGAACCCAGAGCAAGCCCCCTGCGAATAGGGCTATGTCCGACATAGGGTCTTCGACCCCAAAGGACAATAACATTGATTTAAAAAAAAAAAAACAATAAGGTCGTTCTGGTGGCCATGCTATCGACTTTTGTAGTGGGTTATGTCCAATAGATGTCATAGCTTGCTCATATGAATACAGTATCAGACTCTGATTGCGGGATCTATCGCTGCCCTCTTTTCTGCCACCGCGACTGCGCGATGTATGAATTTGCCTGTCTGGAAATTTTTGACTGAATTTTCATTTTGCAGTCGAGACCAGCTCGATTTCGGGCATCACAGGTTGCTATCAGTCCTCGGGAAGCATGAGGCTTTTTGTGCCTTATCTTCTTTTGTTTGCATTAGAACTGAGTACGTCATTGAAAATTGATGCGTAGAAATGCTTTTTGATTGATGCTGATGCAGTGCTTATCTCCCTCACGCTCACATGCGCGATACAAAAGTGGCGTACAACTGACAACAGTTTGTATGATGTTATATTGAAACACAATACATTATATTACGCATGTGGTTTGGGTAAGTACGAGAGTGGAATATTATGAACATCCATACTCATTGTTTCCGCAGTCTTCTCGATGGCGAATGTTCTGACATCGCTGCTCCTTGACGTACGTCACCTATCTATTGAAAGATTTCATTTCATTGAACATTCGATGCAGTACGCGTATAGCGGCATGTTCCAAGAGTGCGTCTCTGCCAATTTTTGCTGGAAAGCCACACTTACAAACCCAATCATGTGTCTAGTTTCCAAATCATCGTTCACGCCATACTCGCCACTCGGATGCACCTCTATTTGTGGCATGTCAACCGCAAGAGCAATCCTAGTATATTCACTTCAATTACTCTCTCTGACCTGACACCTACGACCTATACTGAGTCCTCCTGACTAGATCAGCTTTCATTCCTTGAGAGTGGGTTGGAAAGAAGGAACGATCGCAATTGACTAGTCCAGCAATTTTGGACGACGAGATTGAATGATCACATGTCATTAGTAGCATTGAAGTCTCGTTCATCAGGATCGACAACAGACCGTGCTATAAATTATTTCTAGATTGTAAATTTACTATGTATCATGTGGAATCAATGTGGAATGCTCCTTAACTCGGCTTTGAAAGCAATTGATTTTCGGCTAGATGCAAAATCTCATGAGTGCCTTCTCTTCACAAAACAAGCTACCAAAGGACGAGAACTATGATTTTCATTGACGGATTAGATTTTCGACACCACCCTAGCTAGTAATCGCAGCGCTTTAGACTATAGTTGAAAGATTGAAATAGAACGGACTTGGTAAGTCCCCCAGTCTCTGATACTCGACTGGGTAGCGAACGGTGTACGCTAGCGGAGTTTCCCAATATGGTAACGCCGTAGAGGAAACAAAGATCCAAGTATACGAGTTGTTGGCGAGTTGGATTCCATCAATAGCATGCACACAGAACATCCACGGACAAAATTGGTACGCAGAATCGCAGACAGAGGAGGAAGACCTAACAAGTGTTCAATTCGGGGCACCTTCCCCTGGCAATAATGTACAAAGTCCAGTCTTATGTATCCTGAAGAACAAACATTTTTCTTCTCATAATCACTCTCAAGCAGACTCGACGTGTCGCTTTGTGGAAGCCGTGGAGATATCGATACTGAGAAGACTCTGAAAAATACACGACATCAAGGAGAACTACCTCGTGGAAAATTGTGCCGCACCTTTCCTCCTCTCAGCTCGGCAGGAGATGGCATGAGTCCGAGTCTCAAGAGCTCAGATGCTTTGCTGACTACCGGGTCATTTTGCATGCTGTCCTCGCAAGCCTTGTAGCATGAAACCTGCAGTTCTGAGGGAATGTCTTACCTAGATACAGCAACAACTTCACCGCAATGGACATAGTATGCAATGAACTTGAAGATAAGTAAGCAAACGTGGAGTCAGGCCGCACACGTTACTTTACCTTCATTTCATCAGGGTTGCCGTGTATAATAACATCATCATAATCGGCTCCGAGACCACAGTAACGAAGTTGCTGTCCCTCTAGCGGAATGATGTCAGTGATGTCCCTGATTCAATTCCCAGAACGTACGGGCGCTCCAAAAGACTGGCACTTTCGCAAATGGCTGTGGGTCACCCGCAATCGTCTTACCAACAGCACGACCGTGGTTGCCTGCAACCTGTGTGGAAAGCAAAAGTAAGCGATGTAGTTCGGCAGTCCTGCGAGGATGGGTATTTGCTGACGTTCCAGTGTTCTATCCTACGACTCTCTCCCGTCTTTTGCTGTGGGTACCAAGCAATATCTCCTGTATCAAAAATCGGCACGCAAAAAATTACAACAAACAACCAAGCCCACCGACTGCATAGATATTATCTTGCCCTTGAACTTTCAAGTATTGATCAACTCTGATTCCGCCATCCTTCTCGAGCTGGAAGCCGCTTTGCTTCAAGAATTCTGTTGCTGGAACCACGCCAACTCCCATGATGACAAAATCAACGGGAAGAGTCTGTCCGTTGACGACAACACCAGCAGCCAGCGAAGGGTCGCTCTCCGATGGTATGATCTTCTCGACATTTGTCCCCAGATGAAACTTGACGCCTTGAGACTCATGATACTATGATTAAAAAAACTGGAGGTTGAGGACAATAAAAATCAAAAATCGACGTCATAACCTTCTGAAGGCTTTGGCCCACTTCTTCGCCCAGTACATTCTGGAATGGGTGCTCCTCCATGCCGATGACATCGATGGACGCAAGTCCACGTTGGGCGACGGCAACAACGAGCTCCATGCCGATGAAGGAACTTCCAATAACAACCATTCGCTTTCCCTCTTGAGCCACTAGAACATTTCAGATCATTAAGAAAGCCTCTAAGCGTCGATGGACCGATGTTACCTGCATCAATGCGTCTCGAGTCCTCGATGCTACGGAACGTGTATACATTCTCGAGGTCTGATCCAGAAATAGGTAATCGACGAGGAGTACCTCCCATAGCGAGAATCAGAGTTTCGTATGAAATGGATTCCTTTCCTCCATCAAAGACAACAAGTTTAGAAGATGTGTCCACGGAGGTTACAGTCTAATAGCAGCTCAGAATATGAATTCTCCAGCAAGATAAATACCCACGACGCCTGTGCGGAGGGTGGTACCATACTTAATCTTGAGATCAGCGGCTGTCCTCCATTCAAGTTTTGACGAATCTGTAATCAAAGCTTTGCTCAACTTAGTTCTGTGGACATGTGTCAACAATGATCATTCATTTCCCAAACATCATACCGGTCAATCGGGGGGTGCTTCTCTTGAGAAAGAACTGTGATATTTCCAGAATAACCATGCTGTGAGGTGGTGAAAACTAATATCAGGGGCATCAAGCAACTGAGTGTACCTCTCTCAGACTCTCGATAGAGTGGAACGTAGCGGATCCTCCACCAATAATGACAACGTTTTTCCCTGATCCAGCAACGCCAGTCGACAAAAGCTTGGGCGAACGACTCATGTTGCTCTTGAGGGTTAGCGAGGGATCAGCGGTCACACTGATCTTGCCGTCTACGACTCCCGCCTTGAAAGAGTGAATTGCAGCAGGAGCTGGTGCATCCTCTACAGAGTAATTCAGACTCATTACAGCGAGACCCCACTCGAAGAAAGCACAGACCGATGTCACCAGTACAAACACTGAAGCAAGCTATTAGGCTATGAGCCTCGGGAATGCTGCGCATAAATTCGCGTAAACCTACCTCCATGCCAAGGACTTTCATGAACTTAGTGGTGTAAAAGTTACAGAAGTGAAAAGGCGTACCAGACGACCCTACCATCCGCAGTTAGCACGCCCTTGGCTAGGGGCGCGCCATAATGAGTACAAAAGGCACTAGTCGCATGGATGGTATCGTTCAGACGATACAACACTACCTTTCCCTCTCCCTCAAAGTCCACTTGTTTCCTGAGGAGTTGAAATCATGATGATCGTTCAGGCTTCCAACAGAGTCCCTAACATACATTTGACCATCCTGTAGCTCAGATTCATTGCAAACTGCGATCGTCTTCAAGGACATGATCAAAGGTCGGAGTCTTGTCTGAAGTCGGGTCGATATGAAAAATTTGAGATGTCTACGAATGAGCATATAAAGTGCAGCTGGTTACAATATTCTATGACCTGCACCCACTTGAATGTCCGAAAAAGGATATTACTTCCAAAAGCAGTTACACCGGAATTACAGGTATCACTAACTACAAGTAAGTGACTAATAGTAGTCAGACTCTGAGTCACTAGAAGTTTCTTCGTCGACCACGTTTTGCAGCTTTGCTCAGTATGATTGACCTGTACGTGTGTCTTATGTAATCAAATCGCCAAGTGCTGAAAATACGAAGGAGCTGCGGAAAGTGAGAGCGAACATGACTGAATCACTGGATCGAGCAACACTACAGGATTCAGAAGGATTCCAGACACCCAGTGCCCGTGTTTATATTTCCTACGACCCTGCGAATCCTCCATCCCATCCAGGGGCAAATTGGACTCGTTTCGTGTGTATCAGTGACACCCATTCTCATACTTTCAGTGTTCCGTCTGGGGATGTCCTACTTCACTCTGGCGATCTCAGTCGGCTAGGCCGGGAAGACGAGATTCGTGTCACGATAAAGTGGTTGCGTAGTCTGGATCATGGCATCAAAATGTGTGTCGCACACGTCCTTTTCGCATAGGCCAGCAGTCTAACTACACACAGTATTATAGCAGGAAACCATGACCTACCTCTTCACGAGGAGTGGTACGAGGACAGTTACTACGCTTTCCACGACAAGAAGGAGGTGTGGCTATCTTGCTCAGCTAGCAGAAATCGTTTATTTACGCGCGTATATAGTCATCAACTACGATCAGAAATCTCGTTGACAGCGATACAAACCGTGATCGAGGCCTAATCTATTTGCAGGACGAACAATACACTTTCAGCACCAAGGAAGGTGGAAGGGAATGGTCTGTGTATGGCTCTCCGGCAAGTCGCCATGTTTCGCAACCCACCTAACGCTTTCCGATTTACCTTCTCACAATGAAGTGGCAACCCTATTTCGGCGGCTGGGCTTTCAATTACTTGCCTGAGGAAGCCTTTGGTACGGTTTTATCTTCTGCTTCTCCCCTCGAAGGCACTCATTCTGGATAAGATCGCGTTTCCGCAATACCTGAGGTCGACATTCTGTAATTGACAATATCATGCAGTTGAAAATTGTGTTAAACTTAATTTTTAGTCTCACTCACGGACCTCCGCATAACATTCTAGATAAAACCTTCACCAATGTCAATGCTGGGTGCCCTGCACTACTCGCGCACCTTTCCGAGATGCGGGGGCCTCCGCTTCTCCATGCCTTCGGTCATATTCATGAAGTAAGATTTTGAAGTCGATTTACACAGAAAAGTCTCATGCGGGCTCGTACAGGCACGTGGCGCCGTGCAGCATTCTTGGATGCAAGTGGAGAGAAAACAAGGTTCTTCGAATGCAGAATGCACAGCCCCTCTTGGAATGAGAGAGACGATAATGGTTAATGCAGCTAACCAGCCTCTCGGGCGTCAGGCGATTAAACCTGGACCGGGTGGCCAAAGGATCCCATGTGGTGGTCCAGGCTTTCAACCTGTTATTGTTGACCTATTGGACTCGGCTACGCGGCTAGAAGTGTAAACGACTACAACATTCTCCCTGTAATATGATGATACAAATGTAAGAGCGTTCTATCACTTACAGATGGCCTATGCGACACACAGCCTTCACGACGAGGGGTTTTGATGGCATTAATGATACTGGCACAAGCCGTGACAAAGGAAAAAAGGACGAACATTGCAAAGTGGGATCATATTGGTGGTGACCAGTAAATGTAGAACATGGATCCTACCCTGTGCGGCACTGCACAATCTGCAATTTTGGCGGGAAAATATGTGGCACTACAAGACCCGTTAAATAGTATACTACGTAAAGCCTACTAAATTGCTACTAAATCATTGTTATGTGATCTGACATTGAATTGTACTGGCGGTCTCACAGCGGACTTGGCATCGACCTAGTACGTTGGTTGACTTTGGCACCTTTGTATGATTGTTACTGACATATGGTGTAACATGATATTTAATTATATTATCTGTTCACTGAACAATCTACAATATACGGTGATAAGGAGACAAACCGAGATAATACATAGAATGCTTCAATAACGTGACGATCAACTCATCCAATGTCTATCATATAGTTTCCAACGTCTGGACTGGATTGCATCAGTCCCCGAACGCGTCGAAAAGTATAATTCTCACCATTGATTCTCTCGCATCCACTGTCCCTCTTCCCACAAAGAGATCAATGCCACGCTATCATTCTTCATGTGAGAAGAACCCGACTTGAGCATTTCTTCGCTTTCTTCAGCCCAATGGAAACGATCGAGCCCCAGCATGCCAATGTCAACCTCATCCAGGCGATCAGACTTCGGAGTTTGCAATGATGACACCTCGCTAAAAGACCCCTCGATATCAGAACGGGCGAGGCTCTGTGTGGATTTGACAGAACCGGCGGAGGATACCACATCAAGGGGCTGGCTTGGACAACGTAGATCGAGTTGTGCATCCAATCTAGAAGTCAGGTCTAGAATCGGAGAAAGCCGATTTGAGGCATCCATCATCAAGCGGTGAATTCGATCACCGTTGATAGCCTTGCTCGCGGAAATAGCGGTAGCATGATTTTCCTTGTCGCTGGTAGGTGTATCTCTAACGGGCTTGCGGTCTGACATATCCTCTGGTAGCGCCATGATGCGTAGAGGTGATGCACTGGGTGCGGTTCTACTACGTGACCTAGTGGATGAGCGCTTGTGCTTCGTCTTTCTCTTCATCTTTTGGACGGCAAACACAAGGGGATTTGCGGGATGCAAGACATGAGGAAGCGATCCGACGGTAGCAACATAATCAGCAGTACTCGGAGAGGCGAGAGGACTAGTCTTGAGTTTTGAAGAATTGCTAGGCGACAGGGGGGCATTATGTGACAAGTGGGCGGTCGCCTGATCGGTGATGGCAGGAAAGTTGCCTGTACTGATGAGTGGAGAATACTCGAGAAGAGGTGAAAATCGAGGAACTCTTGCAGGGGAAGGTAGCGATTTAGGCAACTTAGCCGGAGACATGCATGACGGTTGTTGACTGAGAAGACTGTGAGATGGTAATGGCGGAATAGGAGGGACAGGTTTTCGAGTTGATTTTACTGAATGACGCCTAGAAAGCTGCAGAGAATCGCGAGTTCCGGTGAGGGGTGATAAAACATAAGAAGGTGGGAATGCAGACAAAAACGAATACGGGACGGCAGTCACATCAGAGGCCCCAACAAGCCTTAGAGACGGGCCAAGATCTACACCGGAGGTCGTTCGACCACTTTGACACAAGTTACGAGACCGGAGACTGCTGCGACTGGTGTCGCATTTCTCGCAGAAGTTGCCAAGCTGTCCAGGCATTGAGCTATCAATGAATAGTGAATACCTCTGGGGAACGATGGTATCAATTTCTCTCGACCGTGCTTTGGTAGGATATGCGAGGACCCGGGTATTAGGTAAAAGATGGGGCCTGAGTTTCTTTGTCGCGTCTTCTGTACTGTGATCGCTGGAAAAACTAAAAAAAGACATAGAACGCGAAAGCTGCGCATGGGACAGAGGTGCCTGAGAAGTCGAACTCTTGCTCGAACGGTGAGTCACGGAATAGGATTTTGACGAACATTGCTTGGACTGCCGGTGTAGTTGATACATGAACGATGCAGTTCGGCGTTGCTTTGTCGAGCTCACGTTAAAGTCGGATTCGATGTCAGTCTCCCACGCAGGAGATCCGAAGCATCCGACGAGGATCGCAAGAGATGGTGTGTATTTGGAGCAAAATGCCTTCAGTTGAGTGGCTTTGAGAGAAAGTAGAGAAGAACGAGAGTTCAGCGAAAGATCCTGAGGGGAAGTTGACTGGAGAATTCGAGAACGGATGACACTCAGCCGGCGATATTTCATATAAATAAGCTTGACGACAAGAAGAACCAATAGAACTATGAAGGAGACAAGACATGCAGTAATCAACGGTTCGGGGGTTGATGAATTAATGTCATATGAGTCTGAGTGGAGGATAATTGAGATAGGCCGTGCAGATACGACGGTGCAGATAATCAGCGGTCCATAGAATGACCGCAGAGGATACACAAAGGCTGGGGCCATACGCGAGACAGTGACGGTGAGTGTTGAACACGATTTCACACTCCGCGTGTGTAAGCTTTTTGAGAGCGCGGCGAGTTCGTATATACTTGAACCTGAATCGCAACACTTCAAATTCCACGGATCACGAACAGATTAACAGGAGATGAGCTATTGAGGACCGGGAACCAGTCAGCATATGCAGGGTACCCACTCTTTGAGCACCAGCTCAAATCCCATGCTGACATCAGAAAATTCTCACGGAGACTCATTTCCTCTGGGACGTATTCCATGTTTCCACGCCTAGCTAATCAAATACCCCTACAATGCCTCCTCGCATACTCGCCTACTCTGCTACCGCCGGATACAGACATGACAGCATCGAGGCTTCCATCGAGGCTCTTAAGGCCAAGGAATCCACTCTCGATGTAAAGTTTGACTTCACCGAGGACAAGACAAAGTTCACAGATGAGAACTTATCTCAGTATGATGCTATCTTGTTCTTGAACAACTCTGGCATTGGTACAGTCTACATTCTTGAGTGACCAGTGCAATGGAAACTAATGGCTTCAAATCAGTCCTTGATGATACGGGGAAGGTTGCTCTACAGAACTATTTCAATCTCGGCGGCAACTTCCTTGCTATTCATTGCGCCGCAGACGCCCTTCGTGATTCTCCTTTCTTCGGGAGACAGATTGGTACGTTGTGACATCATGAACCGATGCTCCCGAGGCTTGACATCTGCATAGGTGCTTATTTTGACTACCACCCTGAGATCCAGGAATCAGTAGGTCGCAACAGGTTTTGTGGCCACTCGATTGCTCACGAATACTGTCATTTCAGGTTGTAGATGTCCTGGACAAGACGCACCCTAGTACCGTCATGCTACCAGATAAATGGCGCTTACTGGACGAGATGTATGCTTGTTTAGGAGCCTCCTTTGAAATACACTGACTTTTCGAAGGTACAACTTTGAGTCGGACCCTCGTGCCGTCGGGGCCAAGGTCCTTCTGACAGCTGACGAGTCAAGCTACCAAGGTAATGTTGATGAGCCGAATAGACGTGGGGGCTGACCATAATGATGTCAAAGATCCTCAGGCGAAAGAGAAGACTTTGCGCCATGGATCTCCCCACCCAATTGGTGAGTACTTAACCCGAGCAGTATCGACTCGCCTCGATGTGTCGTAGCTTGGTATCAGGAACGAGGTGCTGGCATTGAAAGCCATGGCATTGCTGGCCGCAGCTGGTTCACTGGGCTCGGTCATTGTATTGAAATATGGAGCGTGAGTTTGATATACTTGTCTTGGGTTGAAACTAATCAAAACCTTCTCAGGACGACCTCTTCTTGGGTCATGTTACGGGCGGTATCAAGTGGGTGTTGCAATCGAGGACCACGAAAGCATTCAACCCCAACGGCAACGTCGGCAATGCGTCCTGAGACCTGAGACCTGAGCGAGAGCAGTGAGATGAAATGTATACAACGTGGAAATGACATGTAAATGCAGAGCGAGAGAATGATTAAGAGTGTGGAATGGAATATGCATGTTCCTGTTAGAGGGATAATCATTGAGGTCTGCACTCTGGCTCGCCTCCCATGTTGTCATCGTCATAGTTGTCACCGTCTTCGTCCTCCCAGTCATCTTCGTCTCCTTCTCCGAACTGCGATGCAAACCCTTGATCAAAGAAGCCCGAACCAGCCGGGAAAGACCGGGCACGCACGTCCACAATATCCCCCTCTTCATATGGGACTTCATCGACAATCTCAGGCATTGGGTCCATGTCCTGTTTCTTTGATGGCAAAAGCTTCTCCAAAGCCTCCAAGATCAAGCAATTAGCGAATACCCTTCATAGTTGGAAACATACATACCGGCTTGTCTACGGATTGTAGCCATTGATTATCGGGCATTTCTATGTCAAGAACTATGAACAGGTCGCCTTTCTGATCTGGGTGTTTGTGTGTGGGCATGCCTTCTCCACGAAGCCTTATAGAGTCTCCAGGACGGATAATCCTGCCTGGTGGACTGGAAACCCGAATGCCCCTTCCGTCGAGGTGCTTGATTAAGATGCGAGAAAAACCTAAAAGTGCTTCGGATAGCGTGATCTTGACATTTGTCAATAAATTGCTGCCTGAGCGCTCAAAAGACTCGTGGTGAGTAGTTTTGAGTTTAAAAATCACATCACCAGCAGGGATACCGGGCTGTTGCACATCAGTCAACACCGTCATTCAAAAATTCATATTACATACCTGCTGATCGCCTGCGCCTGCAAGGACAATCCGGTGTCCATCTGGCATACCCTTCTCGATGAAAATTTCTTGTCTGGTCTTTTCCTCTACTGTCTTTTCACCCTTGCATTTTTTGCACCTACCTACCGTTAGTGGCCATAAATGCATATGCATAGCAGAACGAACCGGTCTTTCTCTTTTAGTTTACTACCTTGACCGCTGCACTCAGTACATTTTGTCCGTGCTGTGGCATACCGTGAAGCGGCAATCTCAAAAGAAATGTCCGGTGGAATGTTCGAAAAGTGGTAAAGCTTCGCACCTGTGTTTGGATAAAAGTCCAGCCTTTTCCTTCGCAGTGGACGCACTCCTTGGGTTTCGCGCTGCCCCGGGCTCCAGAACTACGTTGATGAAGCCTTGATTAATTGGTGATCCAGAACGAGTTCACACCACATACCCTTGACAAGTGCTGCAAACAATCTCTCTCGCCATATTCATCTTCACAGACTTTCCATTGTATAAATCTTCCAGCGTAACATCGTAGGGAACCTCGGTATCTTGGCCCTTGTCTCGGCGGGGCCCCCCTCCAGGTCCTCCTCCCCCCAAGTCGAAGAAAGTTGCGCCACCACCGAAAAATTGAGCAAAGAGATCTGCAGCATCAGCCATACCACCTGGTCCCCCCGAACCTGGACCTAGACCAGCCATTCCACTTTCGTCGTATAGTGCCCTGCTCTCCGGATCACTAAGGATCTCGTACCTAAAAAGTAGGCGTAACCGTCAGTTGAGTTTGAGGAAACAAGAGATGGAACGCACGCAGCAGCCATCTCCTGGAATTTCTGAGCAGCTTGAGGGTCGTTGGGATTCTGTGTTATGAAATTTCGTGACTGACGGCTAGTGTAATTGCATGAAAGCCAACCTTATCCTGTCAAACACAATGGTCAGCTGAGTTTGGAGAACGAGCACTGAATAACTTACGGGATGATGCTCCTTAGCCTGTTGAAGGTGTAAGAGTTTATTAATGGATCAGATGTGAACTCGTACCTTTTTCCGATAGGCCTTTTTTATATCATCTTGCGCAAACTGTTCGAGCCAAGCGCATGGAAGCGAGGTGTTTAGAACGTACCTTCACTGGCAGATGGTGGAACACCTAAAAGATCGTAAAGCTCGGTATCTACAGGCACTGCATAACTGTCAGCAGTCAGTTGCAGAAATGGTGGCTTAAACTGACTTTTTCTTTCCAGAGATGGAGGAAGGAAATCCGACTGGAGACAGCAGGTTAAGTTAATTTTAACGAGACACGCGTTTTGGAAAGACGCGCTTCGGAGTTTGAATTATCAACCCTTGAAGAAAAAAAACTTGGTTCTCGAAATTCTACTTGCGTTCAGTGCTTAGCCTGAAGCTCTGTGCATGTTACTGAGATAGGTGAGCGACAGTTCTTATTTTTCATCTCCAGAATGATGTTCAATCATTATCTACATTGTCTTACTGGGCTTGCCTAGAAATGACGAATATTCAAACCTGACTTCTTCCAACAATCCACTTGTAGTGTCCTTGTGCTTATCTTTCCATTATCTAGGTTCAACTGGCACTGATGCCTTCATACTTGTACATAGTGCCCTGCAATGAACTTCTACTTCGAGGCTTCTGAAATACTTAACCGTCTCGATGCGAAAGAAGGTTCCATCAAGGGCATCCTAGCCACTTTGCCTGAGAACAACAGATCGAGAACAGCTGCGCTTGTCATCGAAACACTAAAATGTCAGTCGCGGTACATCACATTATTAGATGTGATCATTTACCCACCGTTCAGACAAATCTGTCCTCTCCGATGTCATCCAGGCATCCAAGCTCCTCACCGAGGAAAGGAAGAAGATCAATTCTTTGAATTTAGCCCTTGTACTAGTGCATGACATACTCCTCTCGAATGGCATTCAGGCCGGGGACGGGCCCATCAAACAAGCCATTTTAAGGCACAAGACTAGACTGAAGAGCGAACTTCAACGAATCAAAATAAAACGAGGCGTCAAATCTGATCTGGAGTTGGCTCAGACCAGTGACGACAGGGCAGGTCAGGGCACAGCTGATAGAAAAGTGCACTTGGTGAACCATCTTCACAGCTAAAATTCCTCGTTACGTTCGTGTCAATACTTTGATGTGGTCGACAGAGGAAGCCATAGTGTTCTATACCAAGTGTGGTTTTCAACTGCAAGGTCCCTTTGCGTCGAGGTCAGCCATGTGTCCTGGGATATGTCTGAGTGCTGATGTCGTCCGCTTGTCTCAGCAAAGGGTTTGGAACTGACGAGCACATACCAGATCTGCTGGCATTCAATCCTGCTTCACAGTTTCGCGATGATCCCTCCTACAAAACCGGCAAGATTATTTTACAAGATAAGGCGTCATGTTTTTCCGCGTTTGTGCTATCGCCTCCCTGTAACGACCCAAATGCTGTGGTGATAGACGCAACAGCTGCTCCTGGAAACAAAACGTCGCATCTGAGCGCACTGATGGGTAACAAGGGAAAGGTAAATCGTTTATTCTATTTTCAATTTAAACTTTTTGATGGCGTGGTAGTTATATGCTTTTGAGAAGGACAAGAGGCGCTTTTCGACATTGAAAATGATGCTCGCCAAAGCTGCTTGCCGGAACGTAGAAACCGTAAACGCTGATTTTCTCACTATCGACCCTTCCCATCCAAAATATTCATTAGCAACTCATATGTGTGTCCTGCTCTAAACACCCTCGATTTCCACTCACTTCTACTAGCTTGCTTGATCCCTCCTGCAGTGGTTCAGGTATTGTAAATCGTCTAGACTATTTGCTTGAAGATGGCGAGTCTCGTGTATATTGTAACCCAACTCAGCTGACGCTTCCATAGAGACAGAAATGGTGGAAGAAGACCGGTTGAACAAACTGGCCACTTTCCAGCTCATGATGATTAAGCATGCTATGAAATGTGAGTAGTTCGGAAAATGGTGGCTATAAGATAACTCACTATTTCACCTATAGTTCCACATGTACAGAAAATTGTTTATTCTACCTGTAGCATTCACGCCACAGAAAACGAGCATGTCGTTAACCATGCACTTCAGTCGGACGAAGCAAAACGCAGCCACTTCAAGCTCGCACCTCGGAACGACGTCCTGCCCACATGGAACCGCCGGGGGCAGGCAGAAGAAATGAGGGGCACAGGTAAATAGTCGTTCCGCCTGGCACATCAATTAAAATGATACATGTTTTCAGATGATGCGGACAGCCTAGTTCGTTGCTCCCCGGGTGAAGATGGCACAAACGGCTTTTTCGTTTCGTGCTTCATCCGAGAGCATAATTCTGTGCTTCCTCAGACTAAACCATCGAAGAAGCGTAAAGGGGAAACTGAGGGAGTGGCTCCGGAGAAGAGGAAGAAGAAACGCAAGAAAAAGGTCAAAACAGAATGAGGTCTTCGTTCAATCCGCTAATTACATATCCACGTCGAAATTTCCATCCGCAAAATATAAGCATGTTTTGAGTTGTCGACCAATCCGTGTGCGCTGTCCTACCACGGTGTGAACATTTATCATTAGCGACCTCTGGAGATATCTGCAGTAATTCTCCTCTATTTCCCACCAGAGCCTGAATTCGCCAGTGGTGATGACACTTCAACTTCATAGAGAGCCAGCATGGAGCGTGTGGTACTTTCTTGGTTCCTCTTCGAAGTTTATGAAGCAGGGCCGACGAAGTCATTCTCTACATGTTTCAGATAATTTTGGCTTTCTTGATAACATCGTCAATAGTTGAGCTGACCATGACTGATGCTTCGGATTGACAACTATATGCCAATGATAGATATCTAGAGTATTCATTGCTGGAAGCGCTGACTAGCTTCAATAAGTCTTCTGGATGCAGCCTATCGAACAACTGAATACGACTTGACAGGTTTTAAATGCATGTCATAAGTCATATGCATATGTAACTCGATTCAATTCCGATTGGGGAGTTAAAACGAGTTCGGTCATTTTCGTAGTAAGCGTAGTTAACCTTGAGTTGAACTCGCCTCGACAGCGACAATATGAAAAGCATATGTAGACTATCCCTGATGCCTGCCGCTCAGGAAATGGAGCAGAGTGACGACAATGATTATTTCTAAGTGACGGCATGGATAAAACGAACATGAAGTCAGGAGAAAAAGGACACACCAAAATAATACCGTCGAACCGCTGCTTGAACCAAGCCATGGTGTCATCCCTCCTCACTCGGTGTTGGAATCCAATACGTGCCCGTCTCTCCTTTCTTCTGGCAACACGTGCACCAGGGCGACCCATCACGACGTAGAAATCCATTCCAAAAATACCGATTCCAGGATCGTATCTCGCACCGAGATCGATGTGCTCCTGGATACCGAAACCGAAGTTACCGGTCTCTGAGAAGTTCTTCCGACGTAGCTCATACTCCTTCACTTTGAGACCACGCTCAAGAATCTCCTCTGCCTTAGGCCCACGGATGGTGACGTGGACAGCAATCTTCTCGTTACGACGGATACCAAATGTACGAACGGTGTAGCGAGCTTTCGAGGTGACGGGTGTTTGACCGGTGAGCTGTTCGAGGACTTTGGATGCACGAGTGAGACGATCACCAGACTCGCCAACACAAATGTCTAGATGAATGCCTTAGCACCATATAAGAACACGAGAATAGAGGCGCACTGATGACGAGCTTGTCAATCCTCAGCTCCTTCATGGGATTGGTGGGTGCTGTCTTTTGTTCGGCCTGCAGCATGAACTTCGTTAGGCGAGTTTTAAAAACCACGTACATCACTCACCATTGTGTCGTGATTTCTAGTTGACTTCCAGCGTTATTTTGTCGCTGTCGAGGTATGCGCGAGGCTAGGTGTGTCCACATTTGGGTTCTGGAGGCTGAACTCTAATTGATGAACTAGGCAGCTAATTCGGAAGAGTCCGACTGCAATGCTTTTATGCATTACATAATATGCTAAATGACTTATGTATTACGAACACTTATTGCTGACTCATCTTCAGGCAGCCTGCCACTTGCGTTGTTCTTCTCGGTCATTCGGTGCCGTGAAATCCACTGACCCATCTTGTTCAGTCGGTACTACCTCTGCACTGAAATATGGCCTCAAAACGCGCACTTGAAGGTATGTTACTCTCTAGACATTAGTCAAGTATCAAACTCATGTGTTTCATCACAGGACCTGGAGAGGCTGGGCCGTCGAAACGCAGGCGGGCTGAGGACAATAATGACTATGTTAATGAAGAATATCATAGTGACCAAGAGGACAACGCCTCCTTCGTTCCTAGGGGTGCAACAATCAATTTCAGTGCGTTAACGAGGAAATTAGCGGAAGCCCGGAGGGCCAAGCCCATCGACGGTGATGAAAGCTCATTAGACGCACATCGTCGACAACAAGACGCACTCGTTTCCCACATATTCATGGATCAGGATTTCTCTTTTCTCCATCTTAAACCTGACCATGCTTCGCGGCCATTATGGATTAGTCCTGATGACGGCCACATTATTCTCGAGGCCTTTTCACCCATTGCAGAACAGGCTCAGGACTTTCTTGTAGCTATCAGTGAACCTGTTAGCAGGTACGCAGATTCCTGCTGTGTAATTTACATGTTTAGACACGCCATCAGGCCGGCCTTTATCCACGAATACAAACTCACTTCTTATTCACTGTACGCTGCGGTGTCGGTCGGGTTGCAAACAGAAGATATCATTGAAGTTCGTGTGCACTAAGGTCTTCGTGCTGCTGGAGTGTGCTAATGCATTTAATCCTGCAAGGTGTTGAACCGGCTTTCCAAGGTGTGTCTCCTGGGGCATGTAATCTAACTGAGCTTCACAAAGACACAAGGTCCCAGTGCCAGAAACGATCACTAACTTCATCCGGGAGCGGACGTTATCTTACGGGAAAGTGAAGCTTGTGCTAAAACACAACAAGTATTTCGTTGAGAGCAGCCATCCGGAAACCCTTCAGCTCCTTTTGAAGGACAAAGTGATACGAGAGGCACGAGTGGTTTCTCAACAAATGGACAACAGTATCAAGGCTGCCACCTTTACGACTACAAAAGCCCCTGTGAAGGGTAACCTTGTGATCCCTGGAACCAAGGAGGCTGAGAAGAAGAAGGATGAGACTGCGGGCACTAGGGCCGGAGCATCCATGTCCGGAGGCGCCGCGGATGCTGACCTTTTTACCTCAATTGTTGGCGTTGACAACGGTAGGCTGTACCCTCTGTTGCCGGTCTGTCTCATTGCTCTTGCATTAGATGAAATCGATGAAGACGACGACAATGTTCATGCATTCGAGATTGACGATGCAAAAATCGATGTGAGTTTCTAGAATAGATAGCTTCTTGTGGATTTCTCACGGGTTCTTTTAGGACGTCAAGAAGCGATGTAATGAGTTGGAATATCCAATGCTTGAGGAGTATGACTTCAGGAATGACACGGTCAATGCGAATCTGGACATTGATCTTAAACCGGCAACCGTCATTCGACCATATCAAGAGACGAGCTTGAGCAAGATGTTCGGAAATGGGTATGTCGCAATTTTTAGTTGTCTAGGTACCTTCTGACCTGTGGACTTAGCCGTGCACGGTCTGGAATTATTGTTCTTCCATGCGGGGCGGGAAAAACTCTCGTCGGCATTACAGCAGCCTGCACGATTAAAAAATCGTGTCTAGTACTGTGCACTTCTTCGTATGTTTGATAGCACTGATGCTGTGCTTCGGAACGTTCTCATGAAAGTATTTTTTTCCAGCGTGTCTGTTATGCAATGGAAGCAACAATTCATGCAGTGGTCCAATGTGACAGATCGTCAAATTGCCGTTTTTACCGCAGATCAGAAAGAAAGAGTACGTCTTAGCCATGATTTGTGCCTTTCCTTGGAATCTGATGATAAGGACTTACGTGTAGTTCGCTGGAGAGAGTGGTATCGTCGTATCGACGTATTCCATGGTCGCAAATACGCACAATAGGTCCCACGAGTCTAAGAAAATGATGGAGTTTTTGACTTCACGTGAATGGGGTTTCATTCTGTTAGATGAAGTGCACGTCGTGCCGGCTGCCATGTTCCGCCGTGTTGTTACAACAATCAAAGCGCATTCAAAGCTTGGCTTGACCGGTGAGTTACGTAGAAGAATGCAGACCCAGTCGCTAATTTCACTCTGCTCACAGCGACTCTTGTGCGTGAGGACGACAAAATTGCGGATCTCAACTACATGATAGGACCAAAGTTATATGAAGCCAACTGGATGGATCTTGCAGCCAAGGGACATATAGCCAATGTTCAGGTAAGTTCTGTATTCTCTACATTCCGCGGCTTTTGCTGGACCAATTACCTCTTCACTAGTGTGCCGAAGTTTGGTGTCCTATGACTCCCGAGTTTTACAAGGAGTATCTTCGGGAACAATCTCGGAAGCGTATGCTGCTTTATTGTATGAATCCGAAGAAGTTCCAAGCGTGCCAATTCCTCATTAAATTCCACGAGGCAAGAGGAGACAAAGTTATCGTCTTTTCCGATAATGTGTTTGCACTTGAGGTAAGATCGTTGACATCTTTACCGGTACATGTCTTCAAGTATTCTAGGCGTACGCCAAGAAACTGGGGAAGCCTTATATCCACGGTGGTACGGGGCAGGTTGAGCGGATGCGGGTGTTGCAATGGTTTCAGCACGATTCCAATGTCAACACCATCTTCCTGTCCAAGGTACAATTTACGATATCATGCAGAAAGAGACTCTTCATTGACTTCTCCTGTGCAGGTCGGCGATACGTCCATAGATCTGCCGGAGGCTACGTGCCTTATCCAGATTAGTTCACACTTCGGGTCAAGGCGACAAGAAGCTCAGCGTTTAGGTATGTTGATATGACAATACTTTACTACACGATTTCATGGACAGCGACTGTGACATCACAGGTCGCATCTTACGAGCAAAGCGGCGTAACGACGAAGGATTCAATGCTTTCTTTTACTCGCTGGTTTCCAAAGACACGCAAGAGATGTTTTATAGCACGAAACGGCAACAATTTCTCATTGACCAGGGTTATGCGTTCAAGGTCATTACGCACCTGGACGGACTTGAGGACCTGGAAGACTTGGTGTACAAGACAAAGGATGAGCAAATCGAGTTGATTTCATCGGTGCTGTTGGCGAACGAGAGCGAAGCTGATCTAGGAACGGACATACGCGGGAATGAGGGGGACTTGGCAGGCACGGTGACATCGAAAGACTTTGGTCCTACGAGGTTTCCGGCAGCGCAACGAACGACAGGGTCTCTCACGGCACTGAGTGGTGCACAACACATGTCGTACGTCGAGCAAAACAAGTCAACGAACAAGAAACTTGCGCGGGATGCAGCCCCACGCCATAAATTATTTTCGCGGCGCGATAAGGACAAAGCTACTGCACGGAAAGAGCAGCGAGCGATGGGGCGCACTTGAGGACTGGGCCCGCGGTTTCCACCGTTGTCACATTGTTGAAGCTTTGACAATTTGTTATAAACTACCTTAACGCCACCGTTTGAATGACGTACTATTAGCTACGTAGCATAGAGATCTTTGAAGACCCCCCTCCCCCCTTAAAGTTCTCTTCCAAAAGGGTTACTTCTGACGAAGAACTTGAATTAATTGACGTGGCTCTTGGATCATGACAAGACTCGTCACATCGGCCGAAAGCGGCAAGTGAGCGGAGATCGGTTCGGAGCCAAAAAAGTAGATCTGGTCCAGGCAAGGTCCAGCCTGTGACTTGATCGAATAGGGATCGAATGCGGACGTGATACACAAAGATCTGGCTTGCCCGATGAAGTGGTCCCTTTTTATATGTTCTCCTGCCTTCCCTCTCTTTAGGTCCTTTCCTCCCCGCCTTCATCTACTACCGCTTTTTCATCCCTCAATCACTTTTTAAATTTAAATGTCCTCAAAGCGTGGCCGCAAGCGCAATGATAACCTTCCTCCTAATAGAGCCAGGGATGTCCAGAGAGCATTTCGTGCACGGCGAGCTGCTCATCTACAAGTGCGGCATTTTTATCTAACTTCTATTTCCAATCGTCATCTAATTTCACTCCTTTTCCAGGCTCTCGAGTTGCGAGTATCGGAGCTGGAGGAAGAGAATAACTGCTTAAGAGCTGCACTCAATCTACCTGCAGCTAACCGCCCATCTCTCGGTAAAGGTCCGACAGGCAAGGATAAATCAAAATCTCTAGAGACAACGCCTGTTGCTGCCCAATCCAACTCTTCTAAAAGCCGAGAGTCATCGCCCGTCGCAGAGTCTCCTTCTCCGGGTCGTTCAGAATCCGCTTCTCCATCCGTTGTCAGTGGTAACTTGCGCAGTCCTCCTGTAATGGACGGCCATTGGGAAGAAAGTTTTATGATGAGTGATCAACAATCACAGGGCTCTCATGTATCATCTTCGTCCTCCGCTTCCTATAGTCTTCGCCCAGTTCCCCCAGCTATATCCCAGAAGAGCTCCCATCAATTCACTTTTTCAAATCCGATGCCGCCTCCTCGCTCTATGATTTCAAGTAGCGTCCCTGCGCACTCCATTCAGCCAAACTATGCACATACCGCTGATAGGCCCATTGCTACTGGATATAATGATATGAACTATCTCCTATGCGATGTCCGAGAAAACGCACATTATCCTTACTCATATCAACCATCCCAATTCAATCCAGATCATGCCATGTCCCCACCGGCTCAGCATCCTATTCATCCATCCCAAAACCATCATCCACAGCGCACGCCCCTGCCGCATACGTCAATAGCGTACCCACAACGACGTTCAGTCAATGAACCTTCTGGGTTCAGACCGTTAGGCACCGATTTACACCTGCCGAGCCCCCCGCCGCATCCACAGGCGGTGCGCCTGGCATCGCCAGCTCCGTCTGTGCAGGATCCACGATCTCATTATACCTCTCACGGCAAGCATCCTAATGCTCTTCGGTGACCTTTCAATCGTTGTTGTCGTCGTCGTCCTGTACTTCTTAATTCCCGTTTTTGTCGTAACTATTCTCATCCTTTGTACTATCAGCCCTTCCTCGCACAACCTCGGGATTCTCATTGCTCATCGCTAAATGATTTTAACAACGTCTGTATCGCTATCGCTCGCGAGCTTTCTTCTTCCTAGCCACCTAGTCAATTCTACATTAGATGTATACACAGCTATCTGGTAAAATATTCTTTCCATGTAATAGCTTTAATTCTGCCCGTCATGCTGGCAATTCCGATGCTCGGACACGATCCAGCATGACCCATTGCGCTTGAATCGGTTCGAATCGTGATGATGAGTCACTCATAACTGAACCAAATTTACGAAATTTACGAAATTTCCTCTTTAAGCGATTAAGGTGACAGGCACCGCACAGCCACCGGGCGGGTACGACCACATTTGATAGCCAAAGATAGTCCTTACATAAAGACTCCGTGCCAAGGTAACGTTTTCTTTTGCTGGCGACCGCCTCCGACGACGCCATCATGGGACTATCCTTGATGGAATCGCATCAAGTCACACCGGAACAAAGTACCCTCTGTCACCCTCATCTGGCAATTTTTTTTGCGTTGGATTATCTGATTATAATCTAACGGGGTATCCATGGGTATGGGCATGTGATTAATATCGTGTGGGAACTTGATTCCTGAAGATCTGTGCAAACAGATTATGCATAAATATTGCGCTCGCAAACCTAAGACGTGTTGCGTCCTAGATTCTCCCGCTATACCGTCGGGACTCACCTTATACACAAGCACCAACAGATCTAGACCCACTAGCAAAAACTACGCAATTTTTACAATGTGTGTATCCTATAGGTATATTAACAAGGTTGGTATATTATGCTTTGCATGTGTTGATTAGTTCAATTAATCCAGATTGCACCAGTCGACTCTGCCTTGAGGTCCATATTTCTTCTCGAGCCAGTCATTCGCAGCCTTGAAATGTCCATTGCCCAGAAAGCCCTTATGAGCACTAAAGGGCGAAGGGTGCTATTTCAGAAGTCAGTCGATATCACCATCAAACCCAAACATTCGAGGACGCACGGCACTAGTAAGAATCAAGTGTTTTATCTGGACATTCCTAGTCAGCGCTCGAACGCCACCGATTGGGCCTTGATGAGCTCACCTTGTTGAGTTTAGCCACACGCTTTGCGGCCCATGACCCCCAAGCCAAGAATACCACTCCACGCCCAATCCCGTTCATGTCGGTATCACCGCCGGACGAAAGATTGGCACCGCCATACTTGTCAACCACATCTACAACTTTGTCAGTAAATTCTTCCCAGCCCTTGCCGGAATGGGATCCTGCTTTGTTTGCCTTCACAGTAAGACAGGTGTTTAACATGAGGACACCATTATCAGCCCATGCTGTGAGGTTACTGATTAATATCCAGAAATCCATGTTAGTACATACATAATTCGGAACCATCCACCTTATCTGATGCTTACCCATGCTTAGGAGGTTCGAATTCGGGATACTCGGCCTTTATCTCAGCATAGATCTAGAAATGCAAGAATGAGGCGTGATCAATTACCAGTGAGAGATTGCGCACGTTTTTCAAGGAAGGCGGCACAGTGACGCCCTTGGGGACGGAGAAACAGAGGCCTAAAAGTCGCGTGACGCCCGTTAACCTGGGATAGAGAGCGGTATAGGAACGGCTCACCATGAGCTTGATTTAGACCGTGGTAGGGGTCCTGGCCAATGATTACGACCTTCACCTTTCCGAGGGGCGTATTAGACCACGCATAAATATCTTTTGCTGCTCACGGGGTTGAATTACTCGGTTGACTAGTTCTCTTCGCGAAAGGAAACATACGTGAAGGATATACTTTGAGATTTTTAACACTCTCGTCAGGGCCATGAACTCCTTCCTCCCACAAGAACTTCTTCAATGAGATAAAATACGGCTTTTTGATCTCTTCCTTTAGAAGTTTCAACCTGAAGAGTGGTTCGGCGTCAACGGAAAAATGATCAACACGGTGTCTTATCAGAACAGAACATAGCACGGCGTTGTTATGTGAACCGCCCGTACGTACCAACTCTTGCCCATGCATTCCGATTCCAGCTTTAGCAAATGTCTGTGATCCTGCGGAATTGATTCGATGTATTGAGACAGAGAGAAAGGTATAGCATTTAAACGCTGAACTCCGGCGACAGCAATTTTGGGAGAGTCAGGGCCTGACGACGAGGCGCCTAGCCTCAGTTTCTTAGCCGCGGGCTTTGCACTTTTGCAATCCTGTGTTCCAGATAGCATATCCATGAGAGTTCGTTGCCTTTTCAATGTGCCTGTGGCCTGTGTTGCGATCACTGTGGCATTGAGGGAGCCATCTTGTGATTTTGAACTAGGTGATTCGGAGTTTTTGTCCGCATTAGAAGTCGAAAGCACTGCAGTGTCAACATCTTCTAGGTAGACGACGCGTTGTTCATCGGACATGACGCTGGGAGGCTATGAAAGAGAGAAAAAAACGCGAGAGTCTAGTCCCACAAGCGGACGCGACATGAACCCCTTCCCGGGGGAGTCCCCATTTTAATTGCTAATTTTATGTAATACCATAACGGGCTTCGGTGTTTTTGTGCTTGTGCTTGTTTTTCTTCACTCGCCTGTATATTCGAAACGTGCCAAAATTGATAGTTTTGCCTTAGGATTTTCGCCAAACTGCCGCGTTCAAACTCTTCGCCTTCGCCGCCGTCTGCAAGAAATGCATCTGGGCGCGCGGATTTGTCCAGACGACAGTTCTTGAGTTCTAGACCTGCGAAACGTCACCTGGGCCCGTTTGGGGCCACGGTGGCAGCCGTTCAACCAGATCATACTAATGTGGAATTGAGTTCAACCTATCATGCAGGGTCTTCAAGGTAGGAACTATTCCAGCTCATCAAGTATAAGTAAGCTCACGCTGTGCACTCAATCCAGTGACCAGTCAAGTAGCGAAACAGCTGAGGAGGATTCGGATGATGAACCTCGTGATGTTCGAGGACGCCGTCCTTCCCAAAAGGGCCTGCGACGGGATGTTCGAGACGCTATCAGGAGAAAGCGGCACGCAACGTCTCCATCTCAACAGAGGTCTGGCCCCATACCTCTTGATTACTCCAACAACGGCAAGCAAATTGGTTCTTTGCCACGAAGAATGTCATTCACACGTTCGCGCTCGCCTCATCCACGGACATTCGACAATGCCACTAATGCAGCACACTCACCTTCTGGAGCTTCTTCATTTCCTCAGCGGCATAAACTACTTCCAGTTGTGCACACTCTATTGCCAGCAATGATCTCTGGCAGCCTTTCCCTCCCTTGGCTTGGGACTTGGACATTCTGCATGGATACTAGATATATGGGAGAATCACTCCTTCTCATCGGATCTTTAGCTTGTTTCAACAAAAAACTTTCTGATGACACTCATGACATCATTGACTCGTCAATGTCCACAGGTGAACATATTCTCCAAAGTTTTGTCTCAGTACTAATTTCCCACTGCAGAGATGTATGTTCTCATTATTATAGCTATGTTCTACATTATACGTGCGCACACTATACTACCGCAATTCAACGCTACTGCACCTACTGCACCAGAGTCTCGCCGTGCAACGTCCCCTCGTACTGAGACACGTGAAATTAGGCGCAGTGGCTCCCAGTTGAGCCCCACGATTAAACCGCGTTTCAGTTTCATTTGGATGAGTGTCCCTAAGAATTATAGGCATGTCCGTTTCCTAAGCGTTCGTGTTCACTGGAATGAACTTCCCACAGAGAGTCTCCGAACGATGGTGTTCTCACAGGGCTCCTACTCCCACCCATGATTGCACTAGCATTATTATACTCGGCCTTGCGGCAGGTCCACTCTCCTTCATCTGATCCCAATCTTCCTCCACCTCATTGGTTGATAGAAGCCCCCAGTGTACTCCATAACCCTCGATCACCTGATTCTGCTATCGATGCCCTCATACAATCTCGTCGTGGCCTAGTGGATTATTCCACAATGTGTTCGTTTATATTACTGGCCCAAGTATGCTCATCGTGGATCATTGAGACGCGCTATCGCGGACGTCCTAGCGTCCCTGAGGGAGAGCGGGGCTCTGTTCCTCGTAGTGAAATGCGTAGGACATGGCTTTACGTGCTCTTCACTTTCGGTATGACCATGCTGGCCATCACTGTTCGATATCTTTTTGCGCTGGCAGAGATTCCTATATGGCGAAGTGAATCAATTTTTTTTTTCGATTTTGCTGAGGAGATGTTTACACCTTGATTTCCCAGATATAAGCTATCTCGATATTGGCATCGGCTCATTGTTCTACCAACTTTGCTTATATAGTGCCCTTCGCCTAGCGCATGGTGGGTTCACGCTGGGTGAATTGGCCCTTGTCTGCTTTGGCGGGTTGTCCTTGGCTACGGAACTGCTGGGATTGACTAGAGCGAGGGTTTGTTGGGCTTTCGCCTCAAAATATCCATACTGACTTCGTTCTAAGATATGGCCGAAAACAGCACCATTCATCGAGACCTACCGCCTGCCAACGCCCCTATTGATTTTCCAGATCGCGTTGATCGCAGGTTCATTCATTACTGGCTTCCTACTTTCTCCTCTTCTCGCCCTATCACGGCATATCGCGCAACGACCGGTGAGGCGCCTTCGGCTTCCGCAGGAGAAGCAACAGCATCGACGAGCTCTCGCCGCGGGTTTTTATATGGGAACCATAACAATTGTAGTTGGCCTTATTGGTTCGTGGACATGGTGGAACCTCGGACGTAGAAATCCGTGGCTTTGGACTATCCTTTGGCTCCTTGAGGGGCGTAAGAAGTGGAGCCGACCCATGCTTCTTGCCTACTGGGGCCTTCTCGGAAGCATCAGCGTTGCCGGGTGGAACCGACAGTTATCGAGGTCCAGGCGGTACAGGCATAGAAACACGAGTGGGGGTACACAAGATAATGTGATCGTTCCATATGCTGTGAACTCGAATCAGAAACCACAAACGGAGATATCCTCATCCGCTCCCACTACTGCACTTGGGCTTACATTCCCCAACTTGGCTAATCTCTCTAATCTGTCCAATGGTTCGCAAGTTGCCACAGAATTGTTGGATGCCGCGGATAAGCACGTTCCTACGCTTGGTATCAACGCGAGACGCAAGTTCTTCCACGCATTGGCGGTTGTTATGTTTCTGCCCGGAGTAGCTGTTGATGTCAGTAGCCTTCTATCACCCATACTATCAGTAGTCTCACGAGTATGTCTAGCCCGCATTCACTCACTTGTCCTTCAGTGCAGCATTTGCGCTCTTTATCTTTGCAGAGTATGTTAGATACTTCGCCATTTATCCTTTCGGTGCGGCTGTGCACCTGTTCATGAACGAGTTCCTCGAGCAAAAGGACAGTGGAACTGCCATCCTCAGCCACTTTTATTTGCTTACTGGTTGCGCGGGCCCACTGTGGCTTGAAGAGTACGTCTTTGACCTAGATATAGTCTTCAGCAGGATCTAACTCATTGTAGGCCATCGCAGTTGCTACAATATACCGGTATCCTCGCTTTGGGTATCGGTGATGCTCTGGTTAGTTTCCTTTCCATTTTGGAAATCATCAATTAAATTGGACATCTTGTGTCAGGCATCTATTATTGGGAAACGTGTTGGTCGGCACCGTTGGTCGTCGACATCCTCTAAGACCTTAGAAGGTAGCGCTGCATTCGTGCTGTCCCTCGTGGGTTGCGCGTGGCTTTTAAGACTTTGCGGACTTACGGAAGAATTTTCGGTGAGTTCATCCGCTTCTGCTGTCCTTCAATCTAACGCAACCCTGAAACTGCAGACACTGCGCTATTTTATTGCGGTTGTTCTATCATGTGCACTTGAGGCCCTGTCAGACCAGAACGACAACTTAACTCTTCCGTTGTATATGTGGAGTTTACTTGTAGCGGTCGATGTATAGTGGGGTCGCCATACTTAATATCTTTTAGGATCGCGGACATAGTAATGGACACTTGCACCATCTTAATTTTCATTAATGTTTCAACTAAATTCGCAAAAAATAAAAAAAAAAGAATATAAATAAAAATGGAAGGGCTGGATTTGACTTAGTGGTTCCTGACGTCAAATGAGGCACGGGGTTGTGTTGGTGGGGCGCTTAGTAAGCATGCCAATAACCCTTCTTCGATGAAGGAGGCCAACTGCACAAACATTCCTCTCTACTCTACCATCACCACCGACGGCACTGGACGTTCTGTCATTGAGCTCCCTACTGGTGCTGTCGTTCGTGGATATTCTTAATTGCCTTATTTGAATTGTGCTTAAATTTCCATTTCAGTATCCTCCGGGTAATGACCACAGCTCCAATCAGTGATCGTCGCGTAGCTGTACCTAGTAATTGTTTCACGACTACCGAAAGAATACGGTGCATTCGTACTGCATAAACACCTCGAACTAATACCATGCAGTCCTCGATAATAACAGATACAACTTTAGATCCACTTCCATCACCTCTACCTCTCACAAAGCCCTTTTCTTTGCCATCAGCATTCCAAATGCCCATTCCACGTTTACCCAAGGTGAAGCAGCGAAGTCCTCGACTGCCGCGACCAGCAACTGCCTCTATGGCAGAGGGCACTCAATCATACCTACCCCCTGCGCCCCATGCGCCATGTTTACATGATAGTCGCATCCCCAGGAGCCTGGAGCCTTGTGTAAGTGTCTCTTCTGTATACACGTGGGGTCGATCCACCACTATGACAGATTTCTTTAAAGGATGTAGATAATACTCGAGGTGCCGATTCTTTATCCATGAAGTCATTCGAAGTACATCCTGTAGACATGGGTGTGTGCCTCCCCGTTTTGATTAGCGTAAATTCTGAGTCTCCTTTTAACAGTGTTGGCTCATTCAGCTCCATCTGGTAGTCCTTGTGAAACACTTGCGGCGGCGGCGAGTACTCCTTGCGATACCCGACCCGACATCGACGGAGCCGAGCACGACTGGGCTACCTTTATGACTGCCTACGCATTGGGTCAGTGGCATCCTCATCAAACGCCTCGTCATCCGCGTTCAATGATGTCTACTCCTATCATGCGAGAGGGCCCTCTGCGAGACAATTTTGCACTAAGACATGATGCTGCACCGATCATCGTCGAATCACGCCAGCCTTCGCCTCCTGCATCCCCTGCCTACCACACTTTTATTTCTTCCTCGTTTTCCAATGGCAATAGCAACGAGGCAGAGTTTATGCCCGCTCCAGAGAAAGCGGTGATGGTCCCTGATTTTCCCTCATTCATCTATCCTGACAAACTATTGTCAAAGATTACAACAAAGCCATCGTCGCTTAGCGGTCGCAGGTTCCGCAAGTCGTTCACAGATCTGCGACACGCAACAGGAGGGCAGCCAATGCATCTCCCTCTAGATGGGGCACAAACTTTTAGTATCAGTCCGGAAGCAACCGCCGCGGCTGCAACCATGCGATGGGCGGCAGCACGCGTTAATTTGTCTCCTCTTGCATTGCCTTCTCCTGAGCATGAACTAACAGACCCAATGCGAGGTGTACATGCAGCAATACCAGGATCACACCCGACTGCTAGTAGCCCCCCTGCCCATCCGACAACGCCCGGCATGTCTCGAATCCGCGCAGGCAGCTTCTGGGAGGGCACACAAGATGTCGAAGATGAATCAACTGTGCCTGCCCTACCTGGATCATTACCAAGAACACCCCTACGCCACATAAATGACGGAGAGCTATATGTGTCTCTTCCCCCACCAGCCTCTGTTCCACTGCAACGTAATTATTCACCTGAGCCGACAGAGGAGGGCGATTACTTCACCGCAGTCAGTACATCCGCTTCAGAATCATTTCCCATGACCCCCGACCCCGCTCAACTTTGGCAGGACTACGTAACCCACAGACGTGAATCCGGGCCAATGGAACTCAACGTTTGTACGGCACCACCCCTTCCACGAAGGATTTGCTTAACAAGGCAAACGTCTTCGCCCCTACCGGACAGCAACGGCCGAGATCGTGGTTTACCAGGCGGACGATCAGTGTGCGACTCAGTCAATAGTTTTCGTGCTGGACGGTCTGCGAAAGAAGAACAGATGTTCCTAGATCTTGGCTATTTGGCGCCGCCGAATCCTCCGGACGAACTCGAGCGAAGACGCGCTCTATACAAGTATATCCGTTTTCACCTTTGAAGGTCATCTCAGAGAGCATATGAAATAGGTTTAACCTCTGGAACACCGGCCCCGACATCAACTTCGATCGCATTGCACATCTGGTCAAACTTGTGTTCAATACGAAATGCGTTTACATATCCCTCATCGATGGCACAGAGCAGTGAGTATTGGTTGGAGGTCAACACGAAGTTGTTGGTAATCACCATTACAGATGGTTCAAATCACAGTGTATAGTGCTCAATTCCTGACATCCCCGTGTATCTCCAATTTTTGGCAGGTGGGATGACTTTAAAGCGCAGCGCAAGATTGACGTCCTTCTGTGCACATGCTATATTGCAAAGGTATGTTTTCTCTCTCTGAGAGCTCCAGTCTTACTGTCTGCAGGGGTGATGAACCGACTGTTATCTTGGACACAAAGTTAGATTGGCGGTTTGCTAAGAATGTTAGTGCACCTTGATGTGAAAGTCCATCTGAATATACTGAATGATGTAGCCTCTGGTTACCGGATTTCCAAACGTTCGCTTCTATGCTGCAGCTCCTTTGAGAACATCTGATGGATTCAACATTGGCAGGTAACTCAAATCACTATCTACATGACATGCCCAGTTGACATATCACGCATTCCAGTCTTTCTTTGATCGATGATTCACCGCGGCAAGATTTCGCCCCGCGTCAGCGACACACTCTGAAGGAATTTGCGGTACTTGAGTTCCAATTTAACAGTCCTGATTTTCTTAACACGGATTCTAGGCCGTTGTGATGCGTGAGATGGAATTATGGCGTGATAAGGTTAGCTAGGTTAGCTGTTGTACTTCCGCTCATGAACTAACTACCCCGACCCAGATCCAACTGCGCATACGAGACAAAATCCAGACCTCCGTGAGCACTGTCTGCCTCGGCACCATACGCTATACTTACTCGTCGCATCTCAGATGGAGCAATTTAGTCGAGAGTGCCTTGAGATCGACCAGAAAGATGCAAACATGGATGATGACCCTTACGCTAACGCGTCCATGGACAGAGTGTATGATCGTGCAGCCAGGCTTGTGAAGCGCACTTTAGATGTCGAGGAGGTGGTAGTCATGGATGTTTCACACTGCGAAGTGCTGGAAACTCTCAGTGCCGAAGCAACAATATCTGTTGTCATGCATCGCGGGGATCCACAATCCCGACCAACATCTCGCACACTAACGGCTGATGAATACCACAAGCTAAACGTGTTCTTTGATCAATACCCTGACGGCAAAATATCTGAAGGCATTTTACCAGTCTGCTTCCGCCCATTTATCCCGACGCACATACAGTATGCACTCAGTATGTCTTTTTCAATCTTGAGGTTGTTCTATTCCACTGATGATATTCGCTAGCTGTTCCTGTTTTCAACATCGACAAAAGGCCGTTTGCCTTAATTTGTGCTTACAATGCCACTGATTCATCACGACGATTTGTAAGGATTCAGCCAGTTCAGTGTAACACCTCCATCCTGACTTTATTCTCAGCTCGAGGGACACGAGCTGTCTTACCTTCGTGCTATAGGTTGGTCCCCCGAGTTTCGTCTCAACAATCACTGAGAAAGAATAGGTGTCATCATTCTCTCTGCTGTCCTCAAGAGGAGGATGATGCTAGCCGACCAAGCGAAGAGCTTATTTATATCCAAGTTTGGTGCATGCTTCGTTTTCATGGGTAACATTACTGATTCCTCTCAAAAGCATATCTCACGAACTTCGTACTCCTTTGCATGGGGTAAGGATTGACGTCTTTGCTGGCATGTCCTCTTCCTGATGGCTATGCGTAGATTCTCGCTGCAGCTGAATTACTTTCCGATACATCGTTAAGCCATAGCCAGACTTCGTTCCTGCACACCGTCCAGGCGTGTGGGACATCACTTGTTGAAACGGTGAACCATGTTCTTGACTTCACGAAACTTAGCGGCAACATGAAATCAGGTGGCGTGGACAATGTTATCACGAGGAGCATGTGAGTTGGGACAGGTTTCATGCATGCCGTTGTCGCTTATGGTTGACACATAGCGTGGATCTCGAGCAACTTGTTGAAGAGGCAATCGACGGATCATGGATTGGGTACTGCGCCCGTACATCTGCTATTCGCGAGTCGGAGATTGGGAGTGTTTATGCTCCAGCAATGGAACAGCGATCCTCGAGTGTTCTGGCTGCTCCAGCCTCTTCAAAGCACGTAGAGATCATTGTCGACATCGACCGACGAGAAGGCGTAAGTCCTCCAAGCTGTTTCGTTTTATTGACCGCTGACTGTCATGCAGGGATGGATTTTGAAGTGCGATAAAGGTGGTATTCGAAGGGTGTTGATGAACCTTTTTGGAAACAGCCTGAAGTTCACGACCGTAAGTATGATTAAACCCCTCTTACGAATGGTTCCTAATGACCGCTTAGGACGGTTATGTTCATGTATCTTTACGCCAAGTATCTGCGCCAAATGAGGAGCCTAGTATGGTGGAGTTATGTGTTAGTGATACGGGAAAGGTATTAAGCTGGGTGTGGTAGTTCGTTCAATGCTGACACTTGATACAGGGAATCAGCCAAAACTTTCTGAAGGTAACGGTCTTGCCAGACCAGCAGTCATTGTTTACTAACAAGGAGTTCAGAACCACTTGTTCCATCCCTTTTCCCAGGAGAACCCTCTACAAGCTGGGACAGGTTTAGGCCTTGCGATTGTCAACAGCATCGTCCAATCTCCAAGCGTGGGCGGAAAGGTGGAAGTATCCAGCGAAGAAAACGTCGGTACCGATATCAAGATCACTTTCCAAGCAGAAAATCTGGAAGATGGTGCAAGTGCTCTTCAAACTCCTTTTATGTTTGATGGTGTTATCCCCACCGTCACGTTCCTCGGGTTCAAGCAGAAGAGCAAAGGTGTTCAGATGCTCAGTGATGTGCTTCGCAAGTACCTCCAAGACTGGTGGGGATTCAGAGTGCAGACTGACGGAGGTGAGTTGAGCGATATCGTGATCATAAACGAAGACTCGTCGCCTGTTGTTACCGCTCTTGAGAAAATGGACTACCGTCGGTCGTTCATCATCTTGTCTTCAAGTAGAGGTAGCCCGAGGGTCATGGGGATTTGCAGTTCCTACGAGAACTTGGGTGGTTTTTGTCGCATCGTTCACAAACCAGGGGGGCCTTTCCGATTGCGCGCTGCGCTGAAACAACTACTTCGAGCCAGGCAAAGACGTCAACAACGTCTGCCAAGCTTCGCCAGCTCAATGACCGGGGTTTCAGATGATAGTATCTCTCTGCACTCCTCCATGCTTACAGACGATCTATCGAGTCCAGACCGGCATCGCCGGGCGAGCATTGATTGGGGTTCACACAGTCGCTCAGCTCTCGCATTTCCTAACTCACCACCTGAAATGCCTGCATCGCCGGATGTTGAGGAAGCGTCATCTTCTGCGGAGAATACTGAGTCTGAAAGCACATCCTCAAGCATGTCAAACTCAACAGTAACCATCGGTACGGATGGGATACTCCTGGAGTCATCAATCCGGACACTGGATTTAAATCGCCCTCGTCCGAAAGTTTTGGTGGTTGAAGACAACAACATTTTGCGAAACTTACTGTGCGTGACTGAAGTTCAGTTTATTTGCTACGACTGATATGCTCATCTCCCAGTATCAAGTGGTTGATGAAGAAGGTGAGGTCACCTACTTGGTAGCCCAATTAGCTCACTTATTTTTACAAGGGATTTGAATATCGCGAGGCAGTCGACGGTCGGCAGGGAGTCGACACATTTGAATCTGAAGGGCCATTTGAGTAGGACTATATTTTCTATGTGGTTACAACTGGCTCATTACTCAAAACCAGCGTCGTTCTTCTTGATCTGTCCATGCCCATCCTTGATGGTGTGCTCAGTGTCTGACTCGTTGAAAGATTGTTCTCACATTTTTCATAGGGCTGGGTGCCACGATCGAGATTCGCCAGCTTGAAAAAGCTCGAGAAAGTCGGCAGCCAAGCGTCATCCTAGCTTTGACCGGAATGTCATCCCTCGAAGACAAACGCAGGGCGTTTGAGGCTGGCATGAGCGGATAGTACGCATGGTCGAATTTCTCAAACCTCCCACTAATTCACATTTCATTCTCACCAGTCTTGTCAAGCCCGTAGCATTCAGAACGCTCGAAGAGATGTTCCGCAAGATAGGGCTCTCGTGACCACTCATGCAAATCTGTCTGCCCATCTACAGATTTGCTTCACGTATATACCTTACACCGCCTAATGGCATAACCACACGATCGCATGATATCCACGTTCCTCTGATCATACCGACAATTGTTTTCGTTCAGCTTTTTCACACAGCAGCACGCCCCAACTTCACATCCTTCCACTTACTGATTGCACGTTTCAATTTTTGTTTGAATTGGTGATTATCTAGACCATGTATTATGTCAAGGCAGTGTGTTACAATTGAATGCGGTGCATTTCGTTTTTTTGTAGATCAGTCGTTTCTTGTGTCACCAGTATCTGTGAAACCCGTAATCGTCGAAGTGACGCTCAAAGTATGGTGAGGATGGCGAGGTATCTTCCTCACAGGGCCAGAAACAGAAACAGACTTTTTAACGCACTACCATTGTGCTTTTAACTGGTAGGACCCTTGACCTACATGGATGATGGAGCGGCATCTCTCGTACTCTTCGGCGTGTGATGGTCATTGCTATAAAACAACGACACGTCGAAGATATGCAAGTAACCAGTGATGGATTGAGTACGTTAGATTTCATTCCGCTGCGAATTCTTGTGTCAAGGTATCAAAAAGATGGCCGCAAGTCTACCACTATCACCTGCTGTCTTCTGACGCTACATATAATCGAAAACGTAACATGAAGAGTGAAGAGCAAAGAATTACTGGTCGACGTCCTTCACAAGTCAGTGAAGGAACGCCTCTCAAAGCTGGCAGATAACAGTTCGATCCAGATTCCAAATTGGTATGCCAAATCAATGGAAGATGTTTCGGTTTTGAGGGCAGCTTACGCCCAAGTTGACCATTGATTTAGATTTTCATAGTGCGGTGGGGACTATCTTTCCTGCTAAGCGAGTTGAAAAAGAAACGACGTCAAAGGCAGCTCACCTGCGAATGATAGATGCCAACGATATGATTGGCACAGGGAGACTCATATAGCGCGACGTTCGCAACGTGTTTCTGCATGGACGCTCTCGCAGTTCATGTCGCAGTATGGCATGGCGCATTTTTTGCATTTATATGTACCCTTGTACCCGCACACGGAGCATAAAAGACGTGGGGGCAGTTGAGGGGGAGGAGCAGCACCTGTTAAATATGTTGGAATGTTGGAAGGAAGATTTGCTATGCGCTGGGGATGTTGTTGATATGTAGGATGAGTGAGTGTGGGCAAATAGATGAACTAACCGATTCCTCAATCAAGGTAGCAAAATTCTTGCGATATAGGAGGGCGGTTCGAACTTTCATGGACGACTTTTTCTTCTTCGCATTAGGGTCATTCAAATGACGTTTATCAGAAACGATCTGGCGGACGCGATTCTTCCCGGTTATGGCACCCTCGTCAGTATCGTCGAAGGTGATTGAAGGCTCTGTATAATTGGAACGCTGTAGAATGTTTAGGGATGACAATGACAGGCATATTTGAGCTGTTACCTCAAGCTCTTCAAGATGGCGTTTCGTCCGTTTTGTAATTATATCTGAAGCAAGTGTCTGCTTCGTAGCATTGACATGTCTCTGGGCTTTAGTGGGATGAAAAGTAAACAAATTTTGATAAGACAGTCAAGCATACCTTGCTCTCTTGCTCTCTTGGGTGCCATGAAAGTCGGCTGCTGAGCGCTGAAGCGTCAAGCAGATTCTCTCAGTAACGTGATATATAAGTCTTTTCTGGGATAATTCTTTGCAAAAAAGAATAATAAATATTGAGACCCGTAGGTCTACCACTCCGGGAAAGCGTGTCATCCTTGTGCAGGGGCCATGCTAATCTTCTCTGTATCGTTCCAATTTTTCGTATGTCACCCCGAAGGGGACAATGACTTGTGTTCCAGCAAGAGGCACGTCGATGGAACTTTGTATTTGCAAGGGATGGCGGGGTGGCTGATTACTTGAAATAGAAGGTGGGACATTCTATGAAGGGAAATGGTTTCTCACAGTGACTGGCGATACAGCAAACTGATTGCACCATGTTTCACGAACGACTTCTCCTACCAACACTCCTTTCTCCACGTCCCCAGTAACGACTCATCGACCGCCTTTGATGAATGCAACTGCCCGCACTTTTTCCGTGTGAACTTGCATCCTCCGTGTTGGTCACGGCAGCAGTGGCGTCACAGTTACGCTCCTTTTGCTCCATCACTGTCGTGTTGACCTAGACAAGAACCAGACAATTACGTTATAATCAAGACGCATCTGTCATTATACTCCCTCATGCACCTTAGCTGGCTACTAAACACGATCGATGGGCAACTTTCCATATCTATGCCACTGAAACCATTGCTACATCCAACATACAAGAACGTTCTATACATACACTCATCGTACTCATAAACACAGCACACCTCGGTTCACTTTCAAACAAAAAGCCACCGTCCCAAACCATCTGCCCACGCTGAAAGATCTGCTGTCGCCTTACCAGCAAAAGTACCGCGCAATGATTCGACAGCTCCAGCATGGACCTCGCTGTCACCAGGCAATTCGGGGGGCGTCGCCAGCAGTTGAGGCTGGTTGTATGGCGAGAGGATGCCCAGACCGCTTCCGCCGACTGACGTGAGGTAGGGCACGAAGCTGTCCTTGGATAATGATGTCATCAGTTCGCGAAGACTGGATTCCGAGAGATCTTGAGAGCGAGTAAATGAGTGAAGATCAAGCATTTGTAGAGGGTGGGTACTCACCATCAGGGACGAGCGTTACTGCACAACCTCCACCTCCGGCACCAGTAAGTTTTGTACTAAGTGCATATTGAGGGGATGCAGTCTTGGATCGGATGGCTTCGAGAGATGGATGTGATACGCCAAGTTTCACAAGGTACCCATGGTTCTCATCGATGAGAGCCTGAAAAAGTATATTTTCTGAACATTCTATAAACGAACAAAGAAGAGGAACGTACTGATAGAGCTGACAGCAGGGTTTGCCGTGATAAGTGGGGATCCGCGAGCGCACGCTGTGCCTCGTCACTTATGTGTTGTATTGCATTAAGCAGGCCGTTGACAAACTCGGGCTCTTGCTCCTTCAATGCAGTCACACCAGCCACTAATTGCTTTGTGTTCCTCGGTACCCTCGAGTCCGTCAAGAGGAATCTGAGAGATTTGAAACTGCAAAGCAAGAAATCAAATCAGTAATCCATCAACAAACGCCAACAGTACTAAACATACCCCTGAATGGGGGTCATGCCCTCTTTTCTACCGAATCCTGGTCTGGTATACGAAAGTGCGCCACCAAATACCGATACAGAGTTATCTACGCCACTGGGGTTGCCGTGCAAAATTTTCTCGCTTACGAATGCCCATCGGTTGACCTCCTCAGCAAGTGCTGGCGGTATTGCACGCCGACCCTCGTGAGAGACATGAACGTGACCATCGGTGGTAGGGGCGGGCGGTGCTGGGAGCTGGATACGGGAGTACAAAAGCAAAAGAGCGGTGGCTGCGCAGGCGGAGAATGATGCTGAGGAACCGAGGCCTGCGCCGACAGGAAGCGTGGCGCGAACGGAGAAGTTAAAGGATGGTCTAACGACTTTTGATAAATCATTGAATAAATTTTAGGCAGCAGAGGGCTTACCTTTTCCCGCCATGTGCCATGATCATGTACATGTACAGAAACGCAATACACGCCTGTCGCGCACTCGCTTGTGCAAGAACTTCGGGGGATAATGCACGAGTAGTAATCGCATCAACGAGCTTGTGGTCCAGACTGTCCGAATGGAAATCACCAACTCGCACTGGAGTAACTGCATCCCAAGGGAGGTCATCCACTTCCCACTCTTGCGTGAAGCTATCGATATCGATGAAGTGCACGCTGACTTTACCATCGTGACGAGGTGTCGTAACGCCATAGCACCGGAGATCTACGCTTGCAGCCACTGCTGTCTAAAAGTACCTATTAATGCGCGCAGAGTAGATGGTAAAAGAGCAAACTCACGACACCATGCACGACAGCATGTTCACCGAATAGAATGACTTTTCCAGGTGCACTGACGAACCACTCTCTGTTCTCGTTGTACTCTGCCGTGCGTTCCGCAGACCCGTTGAACGCAAGTTTCTGTACGGCACGAGAGATCGCAGTGCCCTCTGAAGGGATCGTCCGAACATAGCATTGGTGCAAGTCCCCGCCTGCGGTGAGAGTGATTGCGCCAGCCTCCAGAAGAGCACGTTCAAGGTCATCGAGAAGGTCAGCTGGGTCTTCAATACCAACGCAAAGTCGAATCAAGTCTTCTGGCAGGCCCCGCGCAGCGCGGGTAGCAGGGTCAATGGACGCATGTCTGACGGTATATCGATAAAATGATCGAGGAAAATAAGACAAACGTAACATACGACATGACACATGGCATGCTGATTAGCGAATTGACGCAACCAAAGCTGACGCTAATGCCCCAAAGACGTGTCGCACCAACGATGCGCTCACTCAGAGCCTTGTCACCAGTAGTGAAACTGAGGACAGCGCCATATCCGTCTGCAATTCGCTCATGTACATCACGGTCGGGGTGTTCTGCGAGACCGGGGTAGTGGACTTTAAAACCAAGGCGATCGAGCATCTGAGCCACAAGCATCGAAGTAGCTTGCTGGCGATCCATGCGAATGGCAAGGGTCTTCGATCCTCGTAGAAGGAGGAAACAGTCGAATGGGGTAAGTGCATTGCCAGCAGCATTAATGACGAATCCCATTTGCTGATTCGGATAAGAAAAGGAGTTCAAGCAAAGGATAAATCGCATACCTTGGCAAGGTCATCCCTGTTGCAGGTAATTACACCGGCCATAAGGTCATGATGGCCACTTAGATATTTGGTAGCGCTGTCGTACACGATATCTGCGCCATGCTCGAGAGGGCGTTGCAAGTAGGGACTCATCATGGTATTATCGACGACGATGACAGCGTTGGGGGCACGTTCCTTGATATCGGCAGCTATGCGGGCAAGATCTACTATTTTGAGTAGAGGGTTAGTTGGACTCTCGAGGAGAACCATAGCAGTCTTTTCAGGATTAATGTAAGGAAGAAGAGTGTCAGGTTTGGTGGTGTCTACATGATGTACGGTGACGCCACCGTGTGTTTTGAGATAAGCAAGTATGCGGTTAGTACCGCCGTAAAGGTCATCCCCTGCGATGACTTCATCGCCAGGCTTGAGTATACGCAAGATAGTATCGAGGGCGGCCATGCCAGAAGATACAGCAAAAGCATGAGCAGCAGATGATATCTTGGCAAGATGATGTTCTAGGGTAAAATAAGATCATTAGTGAGCACACGATCATCAAGATGACACCAACCTAAATGACTGCGTGTTGGATTTCCACTGCGAGTGTAATCATACTGTCCGTTAACACCTTTAAAAGTAGCGGTTTGGTATATTGGTACAGAGCTAGAACCATATTGATCCTTTTGAGAAGGATTCTCCACTGTAGCGCAGAGGGTCGAGAACCGGTAAGGCTGGCGAGGCCTGTAAGGGGTTTCTGGCTCTGGTGTTGGAAGGTCTTGTGCGAGCATTTGGGGATTGCTCAAAGTCATCGTGAAATGGGGTCAGGGAGAGAAAAGTGAGCAACAGCACCCAGCTATGAATCTGATCTATAAGACCACTTTCATCACGTGCCTCCTGTATTTTCCTTATTCGGTACCGAATTCATCATTTTTCTATATGGCGTGCTTGGGGCGCTTGTTGTCAGCTGTCAGCAAGTCAGCTAGTCTGTCAGTCTGAGCTAGACTGCATATGACCAGCCCGGTGGGATACTAGGATACCGTCGGACTTAGTGTTGTTAGCAAAACTCGTTCTGCCCGGTCCTCACGCGAAGTTTGACTCGATGTCTAATTTTCCTTTCCCTCAATCATTGGGACTGAGATAAACTACGACATATTTTGTACTATGGATATATGATTTTCTGTTCTTCGTTTCTAGTCCGAGCCTCTTCATTCCTTGCAAGTTTCACGATCAATTCTACAGTCAAAAGCAAAGCCAGAGCCCCAACACACCTGTAGTACTTTAGAGCCTGGAGCAACTTGTTGTTCGAGACGGCCGATCTACCATCTTGCATGATGATCGATGATCGACGATCTCCTAAAATCAATTACGACTGCAAGGTGAACACGATAGTGGCAGTCGTGTACCGTGTACTCGCGCGAGAACCGTCAGCCCAGAACGAATTCTGAACCCAGTCGTGAACCAGCTTTCGGGGCTCACGGATAGCCGTGAGAGCTGCAATACACATAAGAAACGAGCCCCCAAGACTTGCGACGGATAAATCAGCACAGTAAATAATCACCGCGGACGTACCTCGTTCTTGCACCACCACCGAATTTTCTGCTGAGGGAATACGCTGGTTTCGCCTTTGCTTCTCCTCTACGGAGATCTGATCCAATGAAAAGGAGGGAGATTCTGATATTGCCCTGTGGCAATGAGACCTTTATCCGCAGGACGAGGATTCATACTTCGAGCGATGAGAGATGGCAGACTGTAAGCCGATTGCTTACCTGAGTTAGCATCACCTTGCTTGTGCAAGGTCATACTTATACCGACTTGATAATTCTGCAGATCGTCTACATGCACAAATAACGGGAAATCCCGAATGATTCTCTTTTGTCACCACTTGTTAACTTCTGGCCCGCTCTTAAAATCGTCAAGCTGGACTACAAAGCACGATTACAGCCTGAGGATAGGTCCCCATAGACCAAACTTGTCGCAACGGTCCATGTAAAAATGCCAGTAATAAAGTAAAATTCCACGGACAATCTAAGCAAGGTCATCGCCAGCAACGACGCCTAGTGCAATAACTTGTAGATAATAAATGGGATTAAAAAGTGTGTCTGATATAATTTCAAAGCCGAATGTACTACAACACCTTGCAACGAGGAGACCGATGACTGAAGCTCATCTTTGGATAGACATGGCAGTTTTTAATCATCATCTCATTCTGAACATGCATGTTCGGGCCAATGCTGACATAAACTGATTTTGCATACACGTGACTAGACGCGTCGCGATCGAGCTTGTTTATTTCATGGCAGTGCTGATTTAATCGTAAGGCAGAGTATAAGAACAGCAGGCCCGCGAGATATACCTCCCATTTCCTGTCCTCTATTTACGTGCATTACTTTCTTCACGACTTATTCTCAACTTCAACTCGCCTTACAACATGATTTCCGCTATCTTCGACAGTGCCGCCCATGTCACCGTCGCTGGGTGCCTCGGAGCCTTCTTTTTCAAACATACTGTGGTGGATCGCACGACCAAGGCCGTCAAAGAAGCGGAGAACATAACCGCTGGCCTTGTCATATCCGAGCTATGTATCTCTGTCGCGGCCCTAGTTCTAGCTTCCCACAGGACCGCCCACATAATCCTCAGTAAAGAAGCTCAATCCCCTCCGAAGCACAATTTGGCCGAGCTCAACGCGCCTCTCATCTGCAAGAAAGTATCTGATATCTCTACTGCATCAAAATTAATTTCATCAAATCCAATTTTAACCGAATCTTGCAGCACTAGTACGCCATGCCTGTTAACTTCACCGAACCCCATTGCAAACGACTCCGACTACTGTACTTCGCCATCTACATGTTCAACACTATGCACGCCAATACTGCCGCCCTCACCTGTTCAGAATGCCAAGCGCCTCTCAATCGATTCCGACACCACTCTTGCTGACCACGATAATGATTTCGTGAGGGATCTCTCTGACGCAGACATTCAGGAAAGCACTTGTCCCCAGGTATGAAGTCGTACAGTCGCCTCAGCTTTGTCGCTTAATGTTTGAATTGTTGTAGGACGACGATGACTTGACTGGACCCTCTCCGAGTCAGCGGATGCAGCTCCAGCCGATCATCCCAGAGGACGGACCCCTGACGACCACCGACATTTCGCTTCTTGTAGACGCTTCGACTCAAGCGACCACAACGCCCTTTCTCGGCAGCATCATGCCTCAGATTGTCTCCCCTCAGCTGAAACCCCCAGATACGAAACGGCATCGGAAATTCCGCCCGGGCAGAGACAAGGTATGGACATTCTTTGTGAAACAAAGTGCCGCACTCATTGTTTTGTTAGCATGCGTCTAGATCCAAACGCGTGGTCGCTGTCCGTGGCAGCATCGAACGCGCTTACGCTAAGCAACAAGTGGAACACACTGCTATCATAGGTGAGTGATTTTTGGTAACGTCCACTTTGTTTGTTGACCTAAAGTAGATCACCTTGAACAACTGCACAACGATCTCCTCGCCGACCAAACCGCCATTATCGACGGCTGGGCAGCTTCCATGTCCCAGCTTGGACTCACCTCTGCGCTGTCGCCTGCCTCACAGCCTCTGCACCGGAATACGCCCAACCCAGGAATCTCGATCGACATTATTCAAGACTGACATCTTTACTATGCACATCGCTACTCCTCAGGTCCCCTACGACCAAATACCGAAGACTGCAATGGCCTCCCTCGCTGTCCCCTATGACCTGGAGCTTCAATGCCCGCGAGGTTGAAGGCCACCGCTGGCCGCGCACGATCTATCTCTCCGTGCCGCCTGGATATCTCTGCAGTCTTCGATGTCGGATGTCCCCTACGACCGAATCCGACACAACCGCAACTAGATGACGGCCTCCTTGTCTCACGATTTGGAGTTGAAGGCCACACCCGCGGCTCCCATCAATCTATCTCAAGCTTCTTCTCTTATCTTCGCCATCATGTAAATGGCTCGATGTATCTCTTTTGTCTTTGTATTTCTCTTACCGGTATCTACTTGGCAGATCATGGACCGCCTGTGACTTATGGACGCATCTTCCTTTTATTGATATGTACTCGACAGACGTTAGACTGCTCATTTCTTTTGTAACATGTAGGCACGATTTCTCTTGTTTCTTTTATCTCTTGGCAATTTTTCCATATTTTCGTATATGTACGACAAATGTATGATGACCAGTATTGTATATCGGCACTTTGTAGATTTTGAATCCAAATTTCTTTGCATAATGCGCCCTCCGGAACTCGAAGACACGCCTGAGGCTGATGTGAGCGCAAATGAAAAGTGATCAGTTTTGCATGTAGATACATAGCACGAATAAAATATGTCAAAGAGATCAATTCAATATTGCGAGGTAGACGCGTGAACATACCTTCCTAGTGGAAATAATCATGAGTGTGCATCGTCAGGATTATAGGCAGGAATGTGAAATTCAGACTCGCCTCAAGCATCGCAACGCATGAACGCAAAGCAGGATGACATCGCGCGCGATCGACATTTACAGGTGCCTAGCTCTCATGCATTACCAACCAGCGTACTAACAATATTGATGCAATCTACTCCATCATTGGAAGATAATTGATCGTCGGAGCCAGGCTTTTCAATTGTACTCGATGCGGGTATGAACAAACTGCAGTCGGGTCCAGCTGCCTAGCCATTGGTAGCTTCTCAGCGTCAGGAACATCATCCAATTTTGAGAGCATCATTTTAAAGGCCGTAATAGCTTCATCGTAGCGTTGGGCGCCATGAAACGCTGCGAGTTTCAACTTGTACCCATTATGAGATGAAGGATTGAGTCGGATGACCTGTGTATCACGATGAGTGTAGGTGAAGAAACAATAAATGCCATCGCACCTTCTGCACATCGAGACGTGTTTCCATCCACATCATTTTCCCCAACTTTGCCTGACTACGCTTTGCAAAGACAGCGTCAGATGGAGGAGTTAGGTCAATCGCTGCAGAGTAGAGGTCAATGGCCCTTTTAAAATCGCTTGCAGCGAGGGCAGCATCTCCCCTGGTAAGAACTAGCGCGCTGCATTTTTTTGTGAAAGCTGAGTGAAATGGTGGTAAGGATCACAGCCTGCTCGACATTACGAACTCTAGACTTGCCGTTAGACCATTCAAGGCAGCTGGCCTTCGCTTTTTCGTCGATATCGTCCATCAAGAATCGGTATGATTCGATGGCATCTAGAAGTTTATCTGCCTGAAGGAGTGCATCACACCGTTTCTGGCGTGCAGTGAGCCACAATGATTTGAGATTTCAGTCGAAGAGCTGGACAAGGGACTTAGTTATTGAGAACATTATACACACATCATCCTAACGTACCACCACCAAATCGTAAATGTCATGAACACCAGATTTCGATGGCAAAGCGCTGGAGTTGAGAGCAGCAGTGAAATACTCAGCGGCTTCGTCGTGACGTGTGCTGTACAAGGCTTTGAGTCCGAGCTGAATGCGTAGATATGCCTAATATGCAAGTTGCAAAGATTAGTGTTGATGCAGGGTACATTATCGTTACCTCCACGATATGATATACGCGAGTTATCAGCATTCGGACATCCGGTAGTAAGTTCTTTGAGGAGCAGGTTTGCCTTGTCGTATTGATCTGCGTTGAAGAGCGCGATGACCTGAAATATGGGATGAAGCAGAGCGTATGTAAGACAAATGTAACATACTTTGATCAAAAGCAGGAGATGGTTTGCGAATCTTGTTATGTGTACATTGATGCAACATCAAATGCTACCCTCGCGTTCCGAATATGGCCACATGTCACTTCTGTAGAGGGCAATGCCAAATAGTGAAGGTTGCGCGGATAGCCGAATCAAACACCTATTTGATAAAAAGCACGCGCATCCGTGCTCACTCATCATGCTGGCCTAAAGCTGGACTTGTGTTAGGAACTGAAAAGCAGAGTGGTAGTGATCATCCGGGGAGAGACGTTCGCTTGCTTTATACGGGCCGCATAAAAGCAAGCGAACGTCTCCGCCAATTTTGAGCTGTCCTCCGTAGACCAATGATTGCATCCTTGAACCTTTACTAAGCTGGGACGCACCTGATTTCGCCTTTGAGAGTCCACACCGTGAGTTCTTTTGTGACCAAACACCGGGCACATCTTGCAATGCCTCTCCTTCCACCTATCAACTTCCCGCGCTGGCTCGACCAGAACCAGCACCTACTCAAGCCTCCTGTGAACAACTTCTGCCTATACCGACAGAAGGACTTTACTGTGATGGCTGTAGGTGGTCCCAATGAGAGAAACGATTACCATGTGAACGAAACTGAAGTGCGTCTCTGCAACCGCTAAGATAAGAAAGTCCACCGAATTAGTTTTAGGAATGGTTCTATCAGTACAAAGGTGGCATGCTGCTTAGAGTGGTAGACGGGGATGAGTTCAAGGATATCAGGATCGAGGAGGGAGAGATGTTTTTACTGCCAGGTACGTTCAACGAGGACTATCAAATGAATCGACTTTACCAAATTTACGTTAGCCAACACACCCCACAACCCAGTCCGCTTCGCCGATACAATCGGAATTGTTATCGAAGCTGCTCGTCCAAATGAATCTCATGGTGCGTGTAAATTCTTACTGTGCCAGATAATGTGTCTTGACGCTTTTCCGCACTCAGACTCCCTGCAGTGGTACTGTCGTGATCCTTCCCACACCAAGCCAACTATCATTCACAAGGAAACCTTCCATGTCACCGACCTCGGGACGCAACTCAAGCCCGTTATCCAGCGCTGGATGTCGACCGAAGAATTGAGGAAGTGCAAGGAATGCGGGAACGTCGCTCCTGCCAAGTAGTACCCCCGCGTGAACTGTTTCGCGTTCTGGTGCTAGTATACATGTGAATATGATAATAGAAAAACTATGCAAACCATAACATATTTCTCTAGAAACATATACGATAACTCGCATATCGACCGCTAGTTTCACTAGGACGAGTGATTTTGACGACTTGGCCTCTCCGAAGTCCATAGTATCGTGCCACGGGGTCGGCTAGCTGTATTCGAGGAAGTTGGGTCTCCTTCAGCCGACTAGGTGGATCGCAATATGAGGACGCGTCAAATCATTCTGAGAAATAAAACACACTATTTTTCAAGAAGTTGTTTTTTCTGCTCAACAGTCAACACCTCATGCCGCGGGACCAGCGTATGATGCGTGATATTGACGAGGAGATCGGCTTCTGAGAACTCCTCCAGCCGATATTGTTGGGACATCGCCGCAATTACCTGAAAATAAAGCGTAAGATTCGTACTGCGAGAACACAGAATCAAGCTCGCACTTTTCGCGCAGATGGAGTCATGTTACCAGGAAAGATGATGATCCCCCGCATGATCGACTTCTCCTCCAGAATACCCAGAAGCCTGTGGGTTCACCCTACATCAGAGGAACTGACACAAGGGGCGTACATAGACGAACTTCCGCATTGTTTTAACGCCAACGCTTTTCTCATCTGAAAAGAATATGAAAATCTGGTCTGATGGATTTTCTCTGGAGTTCGTGAAGAAATTGAGTTGGTTTCGACTGAAAATGCAAGTCAACATTTGCTGCTCTATAAGAACTACAACTGACTCTACGCTGCCCCCACTGTTTGCATAGTGCGACCTGAATGTAGTCAGGTCCATGTTGATCTCATCGTCCGAGACTTGGTAACCCTTCGTCGATGAATCGTTAAAAAAAAATGCACCAATACACAAAGAAACATGATTTCGCACCCTATCTTTCACAAGTTCATGTATTGTTCGATTGACCTTCCATAGTTTCGCAGTTTCGTCCTCGGACATTCTTCAGCTTGAGGGGAGTAGCCGGCAAAAGTAGTATTGAAACTCAGACGCCCAAAGTGATCCTTGACGAACCTCTCGATGCCGCCTCCACCAACGACCTCTAATGGCAATGCAGCAGCACCTCCACCGACGACGATTCCGCTCTCAAATGCGTTGATGGTAAACCCAGAATATGGCTCTGGGTGCGTGCGCTGACAGGTCTCTTCCAGACAAAGTTGAAGCCTGCGAAAATCTTCAAGGGAGCAGTTGAGGCGACACCGCCGTCAACACCGTCAACACCTGTTGCTAGATCACATCAAGGGCCACGACACATCACTGCCATCACATTCGATGACCGAGGAGATCAGGTGTTGACTGCAGCTGAAGATGAGACTTTTCGGTTGTACAGCTGCAAGACGGGCAAGCAAGTTCTTGGCACACTCTCTCCTTCTGACGACTAATTTTTGACATCATGCTCAGACATCTTAAAACGCTGTACTCTAAGAAATATGGAGTCGACCTTCCTCGTTTCACGCACAGGCATACGACTGTCGTACACGCTTCGACGAAGGAAGACGATACAATTCGGTATCATTCACTCCACGACAATAAATACTTGCAGTATTTCAAGGGGCACAGCGGACGCGTCGTCTCCTTGGAAGTTTCACCTATTGACGACGGCTTCATGTCCGGGTCAGTAGACAAAACGGTTCGATTATGGGACCTCCGCGCCCCGACATGTCGCGGGCTCCTGAACCTACCCGCATCACCCATTGTCGCGTATGATTCCAGCGGGTTGGTATTCGCAGTGGGCGTGAATCACTATTCACGGATACTCCTGTACGACCAAGCAAACTATGACAAAGACCCGTTCTTGACCATAACGCTGGAAGACCCTACCCTCGCCCTAGTCAGCTACCCACCTCGCCCAATATACATGACATCTCTCTCGTTCTCGCCGAACGCGAAATACATCCTTGTCGGCTGTTCTGGTGATGCGCATTACATCTTGGACGCGTTTGAAGGTCATCTATTGGCCAAGTTGGAGGGCCACGTTGGGTTGGAGCGGCGACGCATCGATGCACCGCAGACTATCGACCCCTCCAAGGGCAACAGTGGTGAGGAGGTATCTTGGACGCCGGATAGCAAGTATGTTATCAGCGGCAGTTTGAATGGGAAAATAATCATATGGGACGTCCAAAATCTGCCTGTGCGGTCAGGCGTCGTTGATCTCAAGGCACATCCAACGCGGCTTCAGCCGCTTACTACTCTTGATGGCCATCCCGGTCCGTCGAGATGTGTCAGGTTCAATCCTCGGTTAGCTATGATTGTATCCGCAGGGGCGGAATTGGTAAATATTTCGATCTTTTATTGTGTACGCATGTTGTACTAACGGCGCACTGTACAGGCTTTTTGGCTACCTGACCAGTCGGCGGATAATGAGGAAATCGCTAAGGAACTCCTGCGAAAAAAGTAGAGATAAACTTATTGTTGCAGTATTGTGTATGTATATTTGTAGACTTTATCCCTCACGCTCAGACAATTAATATCGTGTGCGATGATAACAATGAATGCTGACTAGTATACAACTTGAAGATAACACAGTGATCTAAGTAAGAATCGATCCCGCGACCCTGGTGGTTGAGAAGACCCTATAACCATTCAATAGTTCATGAAAGCTTGGCCAAAGAAATTTGGTTATTCGTGGTGTCCACAGAGAAATACGCATTCTTCAAAAACACATCCCCGACCTGCCAAAAGAAGTCAACGACCAATGATACAATTGAAAAGAGTCACATACCAGCCACTCCGTGTTCGTCCCGATGGTGCCAGGCTGAATCCCAGCTGTGCAGTCACCAGTTGGATCATTGATGTCGACAGGCAGTACCGCCATGTCTCTGGGATCAATAGCAAACGACGCATTTCCAAAGGAAAGCGCAAGGCTTGCATTCGACGTGCACGGAATTGTACACTGCTGGGTATCACATTTACCACCAAGCATGGTGATGACTGCCAGGGCGTCCGCCGGAGGGGCGATGATAAGAGTGGTGCCAGTGTCAAGAATGGCAGTGCGCCCGGTTATGCCCGTGTCTTGTCCGTTGGCCGTGATTGCGTCTACAGCGCCCTCCCAGAACCCTACCTTGCTAACATTAGGGATAGCAACAAGGGAGTTAGCGACGAATTTAGTGGAGTCCAGTCCGCCGAATGTAACTTGGCCGTCGTTGAGTTGATCAGCGAGACGTGAGATCTTGAAAGACGAAATAGCTGAGGATATGAGACCATTGGACGCCAAAGATTCGACAGGAGTCAGGACCTTTTCATTGGAAAGTGTCTAAAAAAGAATTTGTCAGTGCGTGTTGGTACCTCAAGATCAACGAGTCGACTTACTGATTGGGCAAGACCCATCAGCCCATCAAAAGGCACGGTGTCGGCCGAGAATTGCACACTCTCCTCGTTTGCTACGCCAAAGGTATGGTTATTGAGCTGCAAACCCGCCATATTGATGTTGTCCTTGCAAAGAACACCAGCAACGGATCCAGACCCGTAAGTCACGTTGAAGTTTTGATTGGACTGAACGAAAGAGCTTGACGACTTAGAACCAAGGAAAGTATGGTTCCCCTTGAATTGACGTTAGCGATTTATAGCATTTCTATTGATAAGAACTTACACAAGTACCCTGCTGAGATTGGCAAGTTTCACTACCGACCCAGAAGTCAGCGGAACCAGAGTCCATGAGAATATTAAAGCTCTGGGGAGGAGTGCCAATCTGTATGGTTGCAATATATCCAACATCATCCGCACTACACGATCATCAGCTGGCCCATTTAAGGAGATAAATAGTTTGACTCACTCAATAGCAAGGCCAAGGGTGTTGTTAGCAGTAGGAACCTTAGCAGGAGTGAGACCACCATTTTCTGCAGCTTGGATGTCGAGAGCAGAAACTCCACCAGTAGTGCCGGTGGAAGAAGCATTGCTTGCTGCATGTACAACATGTTTGGAATGACGCCAATAGCGTCTGCTAAAGTTGCTCCCTGTCGCCGTGGTAGCACTCCTGGAATTGACTGAATAGCTTTCAAGAAGGTACATCCTCTTGTGCATCTCTGCACGGAGTTCATGTTCAGCGGGTTCTGAACGTCCAGTCATACGCGCAAGGCGTTTATTGCCACGGTTGATGTGTTGTTGGAGAAGCTGCGCCATCAAAACGTTAGGGGCTACGGGGAGGTGATGATTATATTGGCTCACCAATTGTGGGTGGACGTCGTTTCGTGGAACGTGTAAGCGCTTCAGCGGCATTGTAACCATCATTGGGTTGACCTGCGTCTGGTGACGCGCCCTCGCAGGGATTGCATCAGATGGGGTACTGTGTAGAATGCATGCCAATAAGACAGCGAAAACGATCGACAACTGCATTACGCGTGAAGAACTTCAAGTTTGCAAGTACAAAAGAGTGAAGAGAAACAGTAAGAGCAACGTCGACTAGCGACACCTGAAACAGATAGCAAGATGGTGCCGAAACAGAATTTGAGATCGACTGGCGAACTACTATCAGTGGAAAAATGAAGCCGGTGAAAGACAGAACGGCGCCAGGCCAGAACTCGTATAGGTGGAAGTGAAAAGATCCTAAGTGGACCGAAAAGTGGGGGGGCTTCATTGGTTTATATGATCCTTATATACCATGTGCACGATCAAGCTTTTTGTCTGTCTTTCTTGGAAGATCACGATGACATAAGGCACATGTATAGCCTAGTATAGCCTAGCAGACACTTTGTTGTTCCGCAGATCGCAACGGTTACCAGCAACAAGAAAGTTTCCAAAAAAAAAAACACACAGCTAACAACCTCGGCTCAGCTCTGATCAGCGCTCAGCCTTTTTACTGGGCCAAAAGCTTCATGTAACCAAATGTAACCTTCTATAACTCGAAGGGATTTTCTCAGCACCGGCCTGCAGGCTGCAGCACCGCTGTCACAGCAACGTGAAGTTCCAATCCAGGTGATATCACGCATAATTGTGCATGTGCTATATCATAGCTTTGCCTTTCTGTTGCGTTATAAAGCATGCCCCTCGTAAATTCAAAATGCCACTGACCATCTACGTCTCTTTCTACGCCAGCACAACACGCCAGGAGTGCATGTTGTAGCAAAAAGAACCACATCGTATTACAAAAGGTACGAGACCCCGCCACCGACTCAGATCATGATGCAAGTGCGCACGGGCCCAGTGTGGGCAGCGGTGTGTCTCAGAAACGATGGGGTCCGAGACCCGTTGGTGAAACATACAGACAGTGAACACTGCTTGTCAGCCTTATCTCACCCGACAGCCAGATAGCCGCGGCAGACTCGCAAGCGGGTCATGTGATTGTTCGGTTCGTACATAGAATGCAGACACTGGTGACACTTCACGATATTCGTGAATGTGCCAAGACACGACTGGTCTGGATGACTCCATGTTTAGGTACTCCAACGATGACAAACTGCCCGACGCCCTTGCTGTGAATGATTACATCTGAGACGGAAAACCAGACACCAAATATAAACCGTCAAGAGCGACGACGACATCGTTTCCAGCTCGCTTGCAATATCGTGAGGCACGTTGCATCAATGCGTTTGCCGATAACCATCAGGCCTCGCCGGGAGGGACAGCCAGCGAGGTGGAAAACTTATCCATGAGACGGTATATCACTATCATCAGGCAGACGGCCAGGTAAAATAAGCACACACCAGCAAGATGTGTGTCCCAGTCTCGGATGTGGCTTCTCATCGATAACAGAAGTACTAATAGTACGAAGAGCGCCTAGCGATCGTAAAATACCTTTGGACAATGAGAGATGTCAGGTAGTACAGAACACAACAGACTAGAGTACATCGATTATAATACATGGTATCAGATGATCATACTGATTAATTAGAGCCTATCACAGTGCATGCAACGGAATGAAGGAGTTGAGAAAATATGACAGGCGTTTATTCCCGCAGTATGTAATATTCATTACTGATCGTAATTCCTAATATATATCAAGTACGCATATGCAAAGCTCCAGGCTCCATTATCTAGCCATCCAGTAAAATACAACGACCGTGTCTAAAAACATACACCAAGCCAAATGATATAAGATAGCTACGTCTAGCGTGCAATAAGGGTGATCTGATAAAAGATATAAAAGATGCGCTAAGCGGAGGAAAACACAGTGAAAGAGGGACTATTCGATGCAAAAGGAGTGTCGATGATATTGGCAAAATATATGTGCAAGCGAATGAAACAAGTGTCATAGTTGTAAAGTGAGACAGAGTTTGTGAAGGACTGAAATACTAGAACACGGCAACAAGAAATGAGGATTAGCCGTAGTGATAGATACAGGCCAAGGGGGACTTACAGTCGTATTGCCGACTATGCCGCGTCACGGGCAGGAACGATATACCCATAGACCAACTTCTTCGGGTCTTGAAGACTGAACTTGCGACGACCCTTCTTAGCGCGGGCCTTGCTCTCAAGGAGCGGTTCGCATTTGTCCTGATGCCGTTCCAAAGAATCGGACCTTGACCACCGCTTGCAGCAATAGCGGCATTCGTAGGATGTAGTATAATGGACACCCTCGATGTGACGACCCAAATTAAGGATTGCCTCTGGTTTCGAGCAACCCTCGAATTTACAGAGAACTGTGTCTTTGGATTTGACACCATGCCAATGCAACAGGTGATCTGCGACGAGGAGCTTGTTCATCTCTACAAACAGCCCGCAGGGCTGGTCTGTCCAATCGCATGCTCGTACGCAAGTCATCTCTGCGGGTAGTTCATTCGTAACCTTGACGGAGTGTCTAGAGTAGGAATCGTCGAGTTCCATCGCACCAAATCTCCTCGTCCGAAGAAGATTACCATTGGCATCATGGGTCCTGCGGCGACTGATATCGACCGGCTTCGGATCATGAACGGGGGCAGCCATGAGCACCGCACCGGCGTCTGCTAGTCTGTAAAAACCAAACTTCCCCTCTCTAATTTCTCCTTCTTCATCGTCCAAACATCTGCGCTTGCGCGTGGTCGCCGCAAGAGAATAATCCAAACCATCTTCCTCAGATTCACCGGATCGGCGAGTTTTACGCTTACGAGGTTGGGCGACCGCTGTCCCATCGAAAGTTGAGGAAGATGGCTCCAAGGCGGTGCCATCACTCAGATACATTGTAGCGTCAGAGTCGAACGCGGACGGCAAAAAAGTGTCACCATCGGTTGTCGTGTCCATCATGGCGCCAGCGTATGTGTTGGTAATATATGTCATCGTCGAGGGGGTAGATACTCCCATCTGTAATTCCGCATTTTGCTCTTGGGAGAATGGAAATTGGAAGCCATACGCGCGGGGATCTGCTGCTACCAAACGCTCTAGGTTAGAAAGTAATGTCGAGTAAAACTAGGTATATTCCCATACGAACCACCACCAAAGCCAGGCTGGGTCCATGCGTGGCCTTCAAGCGATACTTGAGGGGCGGCAGTGTGCTGCAGAGAATAATATTGGTTCGGGCTCGTCGGGGGAAACTGTGGGAGACCAGCCACTGGAGCGGTGAACTGGTTCAACGTCGGAAATGACGTCTCATGATCTAGGACACCCTGAACAGCCGTAGACCTAAAAAAATAAATGAGCAATGGTGGGCACTCGGTTGGGGTACCGCATACCGCTGTTGCGCCTTCAGTTCTTCATATTCTGCGCAGGCATCAGCCCATCTACCGAAGGCCGTCAGCTGGAGTCGGTGTTTTGAAGCATAAGCACATACTCAGCCTGCATGGCGGCCACATCGTCGGGATGAGCCAGCTCCCGGACATTGTCTGAGACCATGTTATCAACGGCTTTAGGTGCGATTCTAGGTTCAGAACACGGAACGATAGACCGGCTAAGATAAACCGCGCCATTCGACTCGAGAATGAATACCGACCTATCCAACGACATCTGAACACTGTTGTATGAGGCACTAAACGCGGAAGGCATCGTTAGCACACAAATATACCGACTCGATACGTTGGTAGACTTACATAGACATATCAATGATCTGAACAAGCAAAGTAATATCAAGTGGCTAAGATAAAATGTAGAAGGAAAGAGGACGAGAGGTAGAGAAGTGAAGGAGAGGAAAGCGCTAGGTTTTTAACTCACAACAACATGTGGAGAAGTGGTAGACAAAGCATGCTTGTGGAAGTGTATTCTACCCCGACAACAAGTCGCAAAAAGGCAAGTGTTTGTGGTTTCTTCGTCGTACAAAATATACCTGTGGACTCCGTGAATTGCGATCCACTGCTTTCAAGTATCATGCGCGCATCAATCCGGAAAATCATAAATCTTCCACACATCCTTTGTATACCTAGTTTGTCAGCATAATGTAAGCACCGGCGCGTCTTCACCAGAAAAAATGACATCGCATGTGCAGCAGTAAACCTCCGTCAAGCTTCACAACAATGTCCTTCTCGGGTGTGTAGCCACGGCACACTCAACTACAATCGTGAACTTTGGCAGTCTAAGCGGGCAGCTGATATATTGCAGCTGAATGCTGCACGGTAGAGAAATAGTGGATGCTAAGGCGCGTAACATCACAGAGGCCTAAAATTTTTGATGTGCGGAGAGTCAGTCGCATTTCGCAGTCGCATTTTGGGTTGTAAACGTACAAATATTATTAAGTTTGCTGTGTCGTAACACAACTTATTCTTTACCTTTGACGTTGGAATGTGAGCACAATACTTTTTTCAGATGGAAACCATGATTTGACATTACCGTTTATACATGAAGAATTGGCAAGATACTTGGCGATGAGACGGAGAGCAGTCACAATTGCAGCGTTGTCTGCACTTCCTCATTTAAAAGATACAGTACATGTTGGCTGAAGAGTCATATCACTGTCAAAGCATGGATTTGTGCTCACAACGTCACGGTGAAGCCTGTATTGATATCTATTGATATTCGGTTGTGACAGTCTGATGAGATCACTTCTTTTAGCTGTGGCAGTGTTGTGAATGCCCACTACCTCCATTTGTCACATCGTGACCCAGTACCTCCAAATTCAAGGATTGTAATATTCGACCGTGTTCAATAACAACACATGTTACGATGCTAAACCTCTCAACACTCCAAACCTATCTCACACAGCTACTCTCACCCACTGACACCATTCACACTGCACTGCTTCTGACACCAGAGGGTGCAATTGTCTCCTTTGCCTGTTCGTCAACGGCGAGTGGGAGTGATAAAAGAAACAAGACGCACATGGTTACACATCCTAGCGCCAATGGACATACGACGCCCTCTAGTGCTCACGCGTCGAACGCCAATGGACACACTCCACCACCATGCCGTACTCCACCATTACGAGGTAGCACAGAATGCGCTACAGCACCGCACGCGCTCGGCAATGGGTCTTCTGAAACGACGTGTCCACACCGATCGAAAGATGAGATATGGATATTGGCAGGGTTGAGTGCTGAAGTATGGGCCGAGACAAGGAATGAAGAAGGGGTTGAGAAGAGGATGGGGATGGCTGAGAGTGAGGTAGGTTGTAGCTTTTCTTTGCTTTTGGAGTCCACGCGTGCTCCTCTACGCCCTCCCTTTATTTCAACGTTTACTGACAACTCGCGCCTAGCTTGGGCGAATAGTTGTCGTCCCTGTCGATGATGCTGGTCCGGAATTGCAAGATGAAAGAGAACCGCTGCTATTGCTCGCTGTAAACGGTGGCGCAGAAGCTGATTGGAAGACTATGTGCACAAAAGTGGGTATCTCATATACTGATTATCTTTAACACTGATGCGCTGGCAGGCCAAAAAACTAGGAGCATACCTCGCCCCCTCTGTAAACAAACACCGTGGTGCTATCGAAGCATCTCCGCTGAATCGGACATCGGCTACTACGAGCAAGAGCCGGACGAGGAGTACGACCAGGGGAGTTTTACGGTAGTCACATGATTTGATGTGCTGCTCATGAGCAGCCAATGACAAGACGCGCTTTTGTGTGCACGCGACCTATGGTTGGATGAACTAGAATAATAATACGAGTGTAGTATGTGTTTTGGTAATGGAGTGCTCTAGAGTCGGATTAATACGCGATCCTCGGCCAGCGCGGGAAAAATAGAAATCGGGAAATTACCTCCGTCGCATTTCCGTCACTGAGCGCATCTTGTCCGTCGTCGTCGAGCATGGGGTCATGGTCGTCTGCAGTAACGGCGAGCATGCGTGTAGCGTCTAATGCGCGTAGAATTACACGACCCCGAAGTGTACGACACCACAGTGCACTGGCTCAGCCTCAGGATCGTCCCGTCCCTTCACAAACGTCAACGTTGGCAAAAACAGACCCATATGTCCTTCTTGCGCCGCACCTCGAACAGATGCGAACTTCCCTGCTTACTCTCCTTGGAAGTTCCCATCCTTCCCTTAATGCTATTGCCCAATACTACTTTCTCCACCCCTCCAAACAACTCCGACCCCTCCTCGTCCTCCTCTTTGCGCGTGCAACAAACGGACTAGGCGCTGAATTTTCCCAAGTAAACTGGGCAGCAGACAATGCGAGATCACACCAACAAGAGCTCGACGCGCCGTTGACTCGGAAAGACATCCTATGCGACTGGAATCCTAGCATGCCAGACCACACCGCATCATTCGAGACCGCGTTCGAACTGCGCATACCCCCTCCCCAACCATTCCCACATACCCCACAACCTCCACTTCTCCATCAAACTCATTCTCAGACACTCACACATGCTTTGCTTCCTACTCAGTTACGCCTAGCACAAATCGTGGAGATGATACATGTAGCTTCTTTACTCCATGACGACGTCCTTGACAAGTCCCCTCTTCGTCGTGGCGCACCTAGTGCGCCAGCTGCATTTGGCAATAAGCTAGCGGTCCTCGGTGGCGATTTTTTGCTGGGCCGCGCCAGTGCTGCTCTGAGTCGGCTAGGGAGTCATGAAGTGGTAGAGCTCATCGCGAGTGTCATCGCTAATCTTGTAGAGGGTGAGATTTTGCAGATGAAAGGGAGTGGAAATGAAGCTGCTCCCTGTCCCTTGTCGTCTGTGACTAGTGCAATTGATCTTAAAGACATCCATAATTCTCCTTCACCCACATCCTCCGACAAATGGACCATCTATCTTAAAAAAACTTATTTAAAAACGGCTTCGCTAATGGCTAAAGGCGCACGGGCTGCTGTCGTGTTAGGGGGGTGTAGAGAAGGCGAGGTGTGGAAGGAAGTGGCCTATGCGTATGGGAGGAACTTGGGTATTGCATTTCAGGTGTGTTCGCGTAATTCTTCACATGTCTGCTTGTGCTTTTGGCTCTTCACTTTGCCACTATCCACGTTATTCAGCTTCGTTAAATGTTCTCTTGTCACATTGCGATTTACTCCCGTTCGTACTCACTCCCTGCCCAGCTCATAGACGACGCTCTCGACTTTTCCTCCTCCACAGCGCAGCTTGGCAAACCCGGTTTTGCAGACCTCCGCCTAGGACTCGCAACAGGACCCGCACTTTACGCAGCTGAGGAGTTCCCAGAACTCGAAGCCATGATCGAGCGGCGGTTCGGCAAGGATGGCGATGTTGAGAGGGTGAGCATCGCTTCCCACCAACCACATTTAGACAATCGCTGACTTTTATATTCCTTCCTTTGTGTCGTACGATGGTGTAGGCCCTGACGTTAATCTCGTCTTCTCGTGGTGTAGAGCGCACGCGTGAGCTAGCACTTGTACATGCTGAGAAAGCACGGGAGGTGTTGGCGTTTTTACCTAGAAGCGAGGCGAGAGACGCTTTGGAGGGGTTGACGGAGGGTGTTGTGAAGAGGCGGTGGTGAGGCCCATAGAATTCCCGTATGTTGCGCCATGATGGGACCGGGCGTCATCCATTTTTTATCGATGATTAAGAATAGCAACATACATACGTCGCCGGGGGGCATCATTAACATACTGCAAGCTCTCCTCTGTCAACTTTGTGCGATTGAGAGATATAATCTCATCGCACTCTATTACAATTGAATAAATAGATGTCCGCTATAGGCTGGTGACCACAGACAAGTTGAGTGGCCTGACTTCCCAGTGGTCCCGCGAGCAATGAAATGATGTACTTCAGATGTCTAGTTACAGATGGGACTTATTCCTGGCATGTTCATCAAATTAAATGCAAACTAGTCTTTTTCTTTCATTTTGTGTGCTCATCCTAGCTGCTGTCTATGCTGGCCTTCCTTGCTTAATATCATTTTTTTATTTAGTACTATTGGTTTAGATGCCTATATCAAGAGGTCTTGGTCAAGCGGTTATCAGAACAGAATTGATGCTGGAACTATGCAAGTTCGAAACCTACTGGATGACAAGTCCTTCCATCCCAGCATCAGCCTAGTGACTCATCATTATTTCTTGTACCGCATATGCAAGGAAATATGCGGTCAAGATTTTTTTTCCTCATCAGAACATGCCCTCGTGAAGATTCACTCATGGACGGTTTCAGACTTTCATGTCAACTGGTTGTAGCTATGTATGGCAATCATTTCCATGCTAATGATCATACAAAGCTCTGCTGAGTTGTCTGTAAATGTCTGTACACACATGTACGGCAACGATTAGAACTATTAAAGGGGTTCTGGGACCTGTGAGCATGTGTACAGATTCACAAAGTAAAATTTTGCTGTTGTAAGTCGGCAAATAAGGACCAAGCTGTACATCTGGCGTGCTGTTCAGCTCTGTACAAAGCCTCGGGGTTGTAGACTTAGTATTACATTAGGATTCAAATGTTCAAATTAATTAAATAAAGCTTTACTTTACTAGTATCATATCCCTACTCCCAGCTGCAACTAGCCTCTAGTCTGAGTGAGTCCGACTCAAGATTACTCGAGGACTATCCCAAGGCTTGTTCCCTCCAAACCTCGCATTCACCAGGCCAAGATTCTGCTCTTACAGGAGCTGAAGCCGAAAGAGTTTCGGAATTTCCCTTCTTCTACCTGCAAAACATGGTCTAGCGTCCGTCAAATCGATGCACCATATTCACCTATGATGCACCTCATTCCTCTCCTCTCCTACAAGTAATAGAGCCTGTGCCCAGAAGTCAAAGTCAAGGCCCTGTTGCTGATTATGATCGCCAGGGTCATCACCGAATTCACCGCGCATGTCGACTGCTGTTCCGTATCCGCTCCCCATAATGCCACAATATCCAGGGCCTACAGTGATCATTAAGGGCGACAAGAGAGGGACAGAAACGAAAACGTACGCAGGACAACCTATGACGATTGCCACGACTGCCAAGATAGTATCGCCTTTCCCAAACCCAAGTGCTTTGTACATCGCCGGAGCAAACAAGGGAAATCCAAAGCCTGCCAGTGATCGCAAACAAGAGACAGCGGCTAGAGCTTGATATGAAATATATATTTGAAATGGGTAACACGGGAACGAGATCTACGCACCAGAAGCGGCATGAAGCGTAAAGCAATCAACGATGTAGGTCTGGATGCACTGGAAATTCAGAATGATGCCTGCTCCCACGAGCGCAATGCCCTGTCAAAACCATCAGTAGATGGAAGCACTATGAGAATCAAACCAACAATATCTGGAGCTATCCAAGGAATCTGAGCTTCGGAAGTCCAGCCTACAATAAAGCACCCAATCGGAAGTAGCAGAGATCCGGGAACCATAGCGGCTGATGGTACACTGGATGAGTACTAAGGAAAGGAGACACTGAGACAATATGACGAACGCAATCTGAACTCCGGCTTCGCGACTCCACCGTGTTTATTCTTGAGATAAATGTAAACTTTATCCATCGTTCTCGCATTTAATTGGGATGCCGCTGACAACCCTATGCCAAGTGCAATGTAATGAAGGCCGGCAATTCCTACCGGTTGCTGGTATAGGCCCTGGAAGATCGATGGGATCGTCGTCAACAATACTGAGACTATGTGAGATCACATCCATGAAAAAATGAAATGCCTTACGATAAAGCAACCCGTATAGATACGCCATGTAAACGCCGAGGAGCTGCACAATCGGCTCATGGGCGAAGAGTACAAAAGGGCGACCGAGTGATTTGGTCATGACGGTCCGCCAACTATATAAGCATCGTCTTCAGATATCATCTTGCAGGGATTATAAAAGAACTTACGAGCGATCTTGACCCTCAAAAACGGTACGGATTTCTCTGTACGGTGCTTTTTCGGCATCCATCGACCTGCGAATCCGCTCTGCCTTCCTTTCCAATAAGAGGGGAGCATAAGCTATATAATTCATGAGCATCAGCGGATCTCTACCAGTCAATTACTCACTCTCTTGAAGTGCAAACATTCCAATGATTTGAACGATTGCATCCACGATGCTCGTAGACCAGAACTGTCAGAGAAATGAAAACGGTTCTTTATCGGCGGAAGCATCACATACCACCCATCTCCAGGTCGAGTATTGAGCCACCCTGAGGAAATTTAGATGGTGTCGTTGAACTTGGAATAGCCACAAACCAGGCGCCTGTGATAGGTCCCACAACAGGACCCATTAGGGGAGCTAATGAGTAAATGGCAACAGCTTTTCCTCGTTCATCTGGGTGCCAGCAGTCCCCAAGAAAGCCACCGCCAATCTAAAGAGGGAAGCCATTCGGAAGAGATACTCTCGACTTGAAAAAATTCAACTGTACCGACAAGGGCGCGCTGCCTCCGAGGCCAGCAAGAAATCGGAAAGCAAGAAGCTGGGATTCCGACTGTGCGAATCCACAGACAAGATTCCACACTATCAATTCAAGAATGAGGGTGAGTTTATGGGTTAGCTTGTAAAGGTGACATACCGAGATACCATAGATTTGCCAGTTGCAAAACGCGTGATCGTCCGTAAATCTCACTCAATGGACCCAAAAACAATGGCCCCATGGCTGGTATTGATTAGCGGGGTATCTAGCACATACAAGATTAGCTTACCATATGCAAGCACGAATATGGATGTTGTGAGTGCAAGGATAACATCACTCTCAATTCCGAAGGTAGAAGCCACTTGGCTAGTAGCGGGCGCAATCATAGAAGATGAAACTGGACTGATGAAAGTAAACGATGATACAATAATTGTCGCGGCCCATTTGCGTCTATAGCTCCAACTGTGCAAGAACTATAAGCCCGACCATGCTACTCTTGCCGACGCAACGCACTTTTTAGGATTTTGAGGGTCATCTGGGCCGTCCCAGTCGACAATCAAAACATCTGCATTGTTCGTTGTCGCAGGCAGCTCGCCAATTCCAATTTCAGTGTCATGAGGCTTCTGAGAATGACTCTGTTCTGGTATATGATGGTCCGACTTTGGCGCGTAATCGCCTTGTAAGGTTGGGGCGGGAGACACGGAGCCTGGTGTGCCTCGTCCCACATCAGTCACGGACGCAGGGATTTGGTTTGTGGTGGGCATCTGCGATTATGACACACATGGTCCTTTCCTGCTTATATGTTGAAATAGCAACCGGTTACTGTTACCATTACAAAGGCGACCAGAGTTGAGTAAACAAGTGTCTGTCATTACTGTGGTGCGTGCTTACCTCGAATAACTTTAGCTCGGGTGAGAGTCATGAGATTTTATGCTTGACACATTTCAGTTGGGTCACCGGGGACACTATCGGCCGATAGTCATACTGCATAAACTCGACACGGTGACAGGAGTGACAGAAAGCGATAAGGGCACCTAAACTTTACAAAAAAACTGACCAAATGTTTCAGCAGTCTTTTGCCTGTTTCGGATTGTTTAGGGACCTGAAAAGGGTACTGGTCTAACGATTTTTATGTTCGGGCCGAGTTGATAGCCAGACTTTGTTATTTATTTGGCAGCTTAACGATTGAACACATCCGCCGGACTGAGAGATTGGTGGACACCAGTTAAAGCAAGCAGGGTATGGCATGCGAGCACACCTGTGACACAATGGAGCAGTGTGAAAAGTTATGAAAAGTTCGATAGAGGGAACAAAACATAGGTCACTCACTGAATCTGTTCAATCGCACCTGGATTTCACAGCACACTTGTCATGAGCTACCTCATAACTCACACCATTGTCTCCGTGTACCCTCTCCGGAATACGAAAAATAAAGGATTAATCCATCCTGAAGCGATTTGGGAACCGGTTTTGTATTGACAGCGTACACACGACGGGGCCACAGAACCGCTCCATATGGGAGACTCAGGGAAAGCATGTGCGACTGTAGCGCTTATTGTCACACTGTCAATAAAAATACGACGTGGAAAGGCCGGTTCAACGTTAGGGGGCACGACTACCACAAGAAACTGTTTACCTATTGCCTTGCAGTCGTTCGTGGATGTGCTGCCGGCAGCAGGAACAAGCGAAGCAAAGCTGTCTCTTCATTGGTGCTTAAAAATATACGGACATCCATTGACAGTAGCCAAAGATGAGAGAGATAAATTCTACGTCGAAGCCATATGCATACAAATGATGATGTGAATGTGGAGAAACTGAAAGAAACGGGTCTGCCATGTTGCCCGGAGGTCCGTGATGAATAAGTACTTCCATAACGGGACAATGACAGGCAATTACACCATAGTGCTAGGGTCCGACCGTCATCACAGTTTATAGACCGAAGTCAAAGTCCTCCTACACCTCTTGGCGTTCTATCCTGTGCTCCATTTTACGGGATGACGGTCATGGCCACTCATTGAAGACACCGGTTGACATGACTCGCATTCATTTGTCGCAGTGGCTCATGCCTCACCCTCTTTTCTGGATGGATCAGCTGGTTTGATACGACAAGAGCTTTTACTTTGCATCAGTTCTAATTAAGGACTCCTGACAATTGACCGATAGGGGAGTTGGCCTTGCTCCTATCTATGTCTGGGGTTCTAGAACCTCTTCTGCTTTTGTCGTGCCCCGATCTGCAGAAAGTTTTAAATTCTCAGAGATAGGTTTATTCAATGGTACATGTGAGATTGTGTGACCACGATGTCATCCGGAATCACGGAGTCTCGCCCGTGCTACTAGGGCTGAGCACCGGAATCCGAGCGGCCGGAAGTAAAGTTTAGCATGTCGAATCATAGTTTCAGCCAGGCAATTTAGCTGCGGCGCTCGCTTTGGGGCAGCTGAAACTCCATTCTTCACGAAATGATGATTGGTAGCGAACTAAAATTTGCTAACATAGCTATTCCCGGGGGTACATGGCTTCCGAGGACTAAGCAATGCTATATCTAGTGGTATTCAGCGTCTTCTTGCATTGGTAGACCGGCGGGCTAACTGCTGCATGCGTCTCCTCGTTCGCCGTTGGAACTTGGGCCCGCAGAGCTTTAATCATATGTTCCATGCATTTTTCGGCAGACTCCCCTGAACAAACGGAGTGCTCCTTCCACTGCTTCTTTCAAAGGTTCAACCGACGCGGTCAGAAGAAGGTTTGGTGGGTGAGTTGGCACCGGAAAGCTAGCCGCAGCAATGATACTTGAAGCGTAGCCACCTTCCGAGAAAGGTGATCAAGCAGAATTTGAAGACTCAAAGTTTGCTTCGTTCGTTCAAGGGCAGGTTAGAGAGATGGCACGGAGGATTCTGGGAAAAGTCTTCAAGAATAAGGCATGCTCGGGAGCAGATGGCGTCCAGAAGGTCCTGTAGGTCTGCTTTTTGCCAGGCATCATTTGCCTGTACAATCAGTGAGCCTCTCCCAAAACAAAGATGTAGGAAATGTTTGCCCACTTGAATCTGAACATGTAGACTGCCCTTCATGGTCCATATATGGATTATTCTTACAATCTGTTCAGACACGCAAAGTGAACAGAATCGAAAAACTTACGGAGTTAAAGACGTTAGCCGAACTGAAAACAACACAGACTCTAGCTCAATCACTGGCTCAGTGACATCACTCCCTTTCCATAACAACGGAAGTCGCCGCTCGATGGGGCCAACGTTGTTGATGGAACTCTCGACGTTTGGTATTTCCGACAAGGCATGTGGTTCATACGCCCTTGCAGCCTGGACATGGGGCATACAGGGATGCCTAGCAAACCTAGGTGTATCTTTCCTCTATGGCCTGGGCAATTTGCAAGAGCTGCAATCTGGGCGAGACTATGGGCGATATGTCAATCATCGAAATCTGGATCGGTATATGCGTGCGGGAAGAGATGAAATGCGACCTCGTATCGTAGGGTAGTTTCAGGTGCGGGATCAGCGAGATGCTGAAAGTTCGTTAGCAGATTTACGTCTCTCGATTGAAGATACTCACGCAGAGGAGTTTCCTAGAAAATGGTAAGCATCCCACACGGATGGTAGAAGTTGGTTGCGGTCGAGCAGCACCATGCAATATGCAGCCTCAAACAAATGGGACATCGAGCAACCGACCATCCGTGTTTTGTTGACTAGCCTACGCGTTAATGTCGGGTCAAGAACTCGCTCCAGTCTACGTGTCTTTCCGACGGCGGTTTGTGACATCCGAAACGGACGCACGGTCAAAGGTATCTATATCAACTAGTCAAAAGGGGGTCCAAGAGGATCGGCGCGTATAAACATACCGTGCGGACCACTTCGGAGTCTGATAATTGCTTCAGGAGCTCAATGCCCGCAATATTCCAATCTTCACGAGGACCACCTGTGGCACTAACGGGCCCGAGGGGCAGATTGTGCCATTCCGTCCCCCATGGTAAGTTCTCTGCAGGTTCAGTGGCATCGTTCGTCATCCATTGGAACATGAGTTCGAAGGCACTGAGTGTCGGGCCACCGTCCATGATGGCATGCGGGCCATGAAAATAGAGGCCGTAATTTTTGTTGTTGCCTAAGAGAAGGTAGCAACGAAACCAAAGGGGACTTGCGTTCTGGGACTGGTAAGGGAGCCGACGTTGACTAGTATCTTCGACGAAAGCGTCGACGTTGAGATCTTGTTGTACAGTGCAAAAGGCATAGTCCATCCAGCACGTGAGCTCCGATAGGCTTTGTACAGGCGCATATACCCATGATCTCGGGATAGGACCGGAAACATCGCCCACTATGTTGGTTGCAATGATGGGACACGTAAACCTGCGCATATATTGCCTGTAAGGATACGTCATACACAGCATAAGGTAGGAATTATTACCGAAGCCTAGCAAAGGCGTTGCGGGCGCGTTGTTCCACCTCGTCCGCGGCATACAGGCTCTGAAATGTGAAGCCGACACACGCATCGGTCATACTAAAGAAAGAGTGAGTATATGCTAGCAATAAATAATTTTGATTGAGCTACCCATCAAGTAAAACACTGGTTCGATCATCAAACAACTCAGATCCTAGCAACTGGCCTTTGTACAAGGTCAGGGGTAAGAAGATATGATATTTCAAATGGAAAATACCTTGTGTAAAGTGGGGTTTTGCGACCAGATATACGCATCCACGAGGGCTCTGGATAATGAGGGGCGTTCATTGCGGCGATGAATTCTTTGACGCTTGGCTTTATATAAAGCCGCGCATACCGCAGCAACTGAAACCCATTTCAACGTGGACAAAAGCACTGTGGCGCTGATCGGAATGCAGTATCTAACGTCACCACCAAGTATTTGATTAACGTTCAGCCTACGACAAGCCCACTCGCAAGGAACAGGACGTTGAAGCTGAAAAGCCACTGACCAGTCATATTGACGAAACGGCCGCATTGCCAGCATGCGCTATCATGCACGAGCTAGGCCGCTATCTTGTCTCAGTTTTGAATGGCCAGCCTAGATGGTATTCATAGACAATTCGGCCCGTCGTATCTCTTGGACGCATGGCATGGTGCGAGACCCGGAACGAGCCTCGAGCCGGATCATCATGGAACCGTGACAAAGCCATGAAGTACAAACAAACAACCAAACAATCCTTAGCTACCGCGACCATGTCCGAGTTCGCAGACAAAGCCGAGTTTATAAAATGTATGAATTCAAGGTACTCTTTTAGCTAAAATCTCAACTAACCTACCGTGTCCAGCAAAACTTCGAGAACGCGAAGAGTTTGTTCGTGAGTCTTGGGTGAAAGCCATGGAAGCTCGGCTTGTACGCGACGAGCTCGTGAAATGCCATAGGCTTGAGGGCGTCAACCACCTGGAGAACTGCAGATGGCTCTCAGACAAATATATTTCGATGCTCAAAGAGAACAAGGTACGTGATACCCGTACATTCTCACTAGTACCACTGAATGGACGTTGGCAATAGGTCAAGGGCTACAAAAAGATTGATGTCTGAATTGTCCTAGCGCTTCTTAGAATGACCACTCCAATTACACAGCATCAATCGTTGTTTAAGTGGTGTCCGCGGTGTTGCACTGGTAACCATCCCGTGCATGAGAACACATCGAACTTCGTACCTGCTCGGAAAACACGGGTGACTGAGAATGATCAAATTGTGAAGGAGAGGAAGAATTATATACCCAGTCTCTCGCATTAATGTGCTCGCGGCTCTAATCTGCTCCTTCTAGCAATGTCTAGACTTTAGGCATGGAAACGAGATCCAAGATGCACAAGTGAGCAATTGATGAATGACGCCGAAGAAGACACTAGTATTCGCAAGGCCCAGAATGCGATACTTCCGTTGTTATCAAAGATCTTGACTTCCACATCATATATGGATTACCACCTGTATAAGATACCCAATAGGATGCAAAGATTGTCGAGTAATGGACAATTGTTTTACTCCGCCCACTCAATACTTCTTCCCCTTCCTCGTCTTCTTTCCCTCTGCGCCGTTCGTCTCGCTGCCTGATCCCTCACTGACTGCAACATTATCGGACTTTGTCTTCTTTGCCTTTGTTTTCTTGAGGTGGTGTTCAGGAATCCACTCTTCCTGATAACCGCTCGCACCGCTCGCGGTCACTGTGCCGACAGGTGCGCTAACCTGGGTTGGGCGTTTACGTTTCGGTTTCTGTGAAGGAACATATGCATTGTATGCTGTATATGTCACACCCGCGAGTGCGGCGAAAACTATGAGGTAGGTTGAGAGGCTGTTGACGAACGACAGGTCACTGAGCACTAAAGCGAGGGGATTTGAGATAATTGCTCGTACAGTTTGAAATCTAGCCAAGATGGCTCTGGCTCAACAATCGTCACCACTGAGTCATAGGCTGTCACACGGTATTTGTCGTCCTAAAAGATGTGTTTGTAAGTATGAAAGAAGCGAGTTTCAAACACTTACATCAACGGTGTGCTCTAGCCAAATGCTGAGTTTCAAGTCTCCTGGCTGGATCATTTTGAGTCAAAGCGCAATAAAGAATGACTGGGTGTTCATACCTTGAATCTAGAACGAAACTCGTCAGCATAGATACGTTGGCAAAGAATTCAAAAGAACTCACTCAGAGTAGAAAGAGTAAGGAATTTGTAGTTTTGAACCCTCGAGTAAGGGGATACCATACGCCAGTGAAGACGTCTGACGACACAAATGTTAGACAAGTCAAAGTAAGTACAACACGACACCACCGAACATTTTTGATGAGAGTTCCAGTCTCAGGATGATGGAACGACCCCGCAACCGATTGCAAAGTCACATTCCTGTCGGACTTGTTCTCGACCAGGAGGAAAATCTGGTTACGCTCTCCGTTTACCACATCTGTTATGCAGAGTGTCAAACTTTGCGAACTAGAGTGAGTCGCGGTGCTAGCACGTACGGCCAAAAGGATTGCTCTCGGGAAAAGTGGTTTGGATAAATATCTCAGGATCATCCAGAGCTATACAACAAATATATCTTCATTATTCGGTGGAAAAGCGAACAAACTCACAAGCAGAAACTCCCAGTGCCATCAACAGGGTGGCAATGCTCAAACCATGCGCAATATAAGTCGAGGGGCGCATATTAGATAAAGCAAAGCAAACGAAAGCAAAATGCGTAAATGTAGATGCTGGTCAGTGGTGGCCGGGCCAAGTCAGTTTCGAACCGTTTCAAGACGTTGAACTAGACGAATGTCATTACGTCTGCTATGAAATTTGACTCTAGGGCAGGTTTCTCACGTTCACATGGTCACTGCATGCAGAAACCATGGTCTTGAACATGCATCGCCAGAGGAGCAACGAACGTGCAGCATCATCGCATGTCAACTATCACAAAGAATTACTCGGCACTCATATGTAGCCTGAGATCTGTAACAGGCTGTTGACACGGTATTTAAAGTTATGGAGTTAATGTTCTCCCCATCGATTCAACCGATGGAGAACATTAAGTTCCAAGAAATTCGATTCGCATGTCCACCAGACCATAGCTCGAGATTAGAGAGAAAAAGACTTTTTCGTGGGGTTTATCCACCAAATCCCGTGCTATGGAATGCAAGTTCTGTTCTGGAACCTACCCAACTTGCCAAACATTTAAAGACGTCGTCAAGAGACTTCGAGGCTCGGCATTTGTGAGTCACTTTTGACTTGAGTACACGTTGTTCTGTGGATCTGACTGTGACTCGGGCGAGTCGTGGCGTACGCCATGCCTATCGAGCCGTGCCACTGGCTCTGATACGCATCTGCCCTTCAGCTGGCGGTTAGGGGGCTGACGTTCCTATCATACATATTGGTAAGCATATCACCTATATCCTTGAGGAAATGTTTTGCGCCTTTTCTCGGACGGTTCTTGCATAGGCGAGGGAAAGTTGGCTGAAGAAACCAGTGTCTGGTCCGAAATTCCTTGTTTTTCGGCCTAGATACTGGTTTCTTCACCAGATATTTGAAGGACATAGCATGAAGCTGTAATTGTCGTGTCTCTATGACCCTGCATCGGCGCGGTGCACACCATACTATGTTTCCACTGCGATTGTCGTGCTTGGGAGGTGCAATATCAATATCATACGTAAGTCTAGTTGCGCCTGCTCAATAAAAATTCAGTGTGAACGAGTTCGCAGGGGAATGATGGATCACGAGAGATGAATGAGCGGGTCAATTCACTACTGGTACTGAAAGTGCAACAAGGCCGAAGCATGGAGGGCTCCATCAATTCGGTACAAATGTTCCCAGTTCTCAGGCGGATTAAGGTACGTCATACGGTCCAACCACGTGTTGGGAGAAACCATCGCGATTGGTCAAGCAACCGTGTACTCTGATGAAAATTCCACCTTCAAATTTGAAAGATCGCGGCCTCTCGACAATAGCGGACTGCCTGGTCCCTGTTCATCGGTGCATTGCGCACGGCAGGCGCTTGTGAATGCACACACCCGACAGTGACACGTAAGTTCGGCACGTACTTGGCATGTACACGCGTCACTCGTGAAAACTTGTTTCAGTAGGTACTAATGCGACTGTAGCTGTGCTGATGTGGCCGACCAAAATGCGCAAAAGTATTGCACGGATGCCTGCCTTCAGATAGACAAAAACATTTAGCCTTCTCAAAGCCCCTGCCAGGTAGAGGTGGCGTGTGATAGCGATCTTGGTCACCCCTGCAGTGTGTATGTTGCGACCGGACGCCGGCAAGCGGACGCGGCTGCAGGACATTTCACACTTACGGAGCGATACATCCGCTCGCGAGAAACCGATACCTGTGTCAGAAGATAAAGGAACAACAGCCTGCCCTTGATGAATTGCGTGCTAGTCATCGCTTATCAAGTGAGCAGCGTCAGGATCGAGAAATGCCATGGTAACACCGCCTAGTTTGATTATGTGCGGTAGTCTGCTGTGTCGTATCAAAGTGACGAAATGCTCAATATCATTGTCACCTGTGGATTACAAGTAGACGCTGACAAGGAGTCACCCGATTGCTATCATTGTCATTGTCGGCGTCGAAGAGACGGTACAGATTATCACCTCAGACTCAACAGCGAACACGTAATCACGGTTTTTGTTTCTATCATCACCTGGTCACAGGGGCTCTGTTTCAAGGCCTAGTGGAACCAAGATACATTAGCAAGATCTCAGGTAGTCAGCCTTCGAGCCTCACTTAATAGCCATCAACACAACAGGGCCGAAGTTCCACAAGCTCATCGCACGGATCCAATCATCATCAGGTGGTCGACAACAGCCATGGTCCCACCATCACAATGGGCAGGCAGTAGCGTGGCCATCCGCCTTCATACGATAACTTGTCACCAATCAGGGTTGACTCGAGTAAGCGACAGGACAGTGCGACTAAAGCTGACTGCGTCAGGAACAGTGAGGAGAGTCCACATAAAGGTCACCGACCTGCAACTACTCACGCGCAGAACCCACGCTGAAATAACTGTATCGGCATGATCGCCGCTGCAGCAGTTGCCAAATCAGGGACCAGCAGGCAACGGAAGGCCGACAATCATTAATCAATTGGTCAGTGCAAGGAATGCCTGCACCGTCATATTCCCCGTCAAATATCCTGCACCACAGAATTTTCTTCACGAACTCCGACCGAGCGAGGTTGATGGAAGTAGCATGTTACATGTGTAGCAGGATGGTGCGTGCAAATGAGTAGGACATAAGATACTGCTTGACGGAAGCGGTAGAGAACAATTATTGCACTTGTTAGACACACTTGATTGGAACCTGATGGTAAAAACGAAAAAGAGAAACCAGGGAATTAAACAGGCAGGAATGAGAGTGGGTGTGAGGCTTGTACATGACCAAGATGGATTATCATAATAACAATTCCAATGTGTGTGAGTGTTGTGAGGTGAGATGACAGCGGCGGAGTGTATGCCGGCAGGCAGGATGGTGGTGGTCGGAGTGCGTGATCAAGTCAAGGAAGTTCTACAGCGTGGATATAGATAAAGGGCTACAACTCTTCGGGAATGTTAAAAGAAAAGTACGGATGGTGCAATGCGTCTCGGACGGTGATTCGCTGTGCTGGGTCAAAGGCGAGTAATCGCCGCACAAGATCCACAAATTGTTTATTGATCTGGTCCGTCGGAGGTATCACGTCCTGTGAGGAGTCGTTAGGAGAAGCCCATCCAGTCCACAACTGGTCGTCCTACCTGAAGAGGTCGGGTAGCTCGCACGTCCTTCTTGCTCTGCCGCGAAGCCTTCGCCTTCGGCCAGTCCAGCCGTGCACCATCCTTGAAGAACTCGGGCTTAGCCCGCGCCCCTAGACGGGCGAACCGATCAGGCATTTTACCCATGACCATCTCCATCATTGCAAGATGCTCTAGGTTGTCATGCGTCTGGTACAAAGCGACGCCAGTGTAGAATTCAACTAAGATGCACCCTAATGAGTAGGCATCACACGGGTATGACCACCCTAAACCTGGAATGGAATTAAATTAAATGTGTCGGAGAAAACTTGAAGAGGATCTCACTCACCAAGAATAATCTCAGGCGCACGATAGTGTCGCGTGGAGACGACAGTTGAGTGATACTCTTCCTCAAAGATTGCCGATCCAAAATCTATAAGACGTATATCTGTTGAAGAGAGCATCCTTTTCGTCCGCGGTGGTGCGTTACGCTGACAAAGCAGGTCAAACTCTGACACATTAGTCACATCAAATCTTACCTTGCCAGGTACAGGCACCACAACTAGTCGGTAATCGTTGCGTACAAGCAAGATATTTTCCGGTTTAAGATCCGTATGAATCAAGTGAAGGTCATGCAAGACTGACGCAACATGAGAAGTTTAGGACGAAACAAAGGAGATCAAGTACTCACAAGCTACGCTACCAAGCAATTGCCTGGCGAACGACTGTATATGGTTTCGAGGAAACGGCGCAAATTCATTTTCCTTCAAAAAATCGTACACACACATGCCAAGTAATTCTGACACTAGGCAAATATGGTTTCGATGGTCGAACCAGTGCAACAGATGAATACATTTGCTGAAAGATACGTTTAATGTTTAGAATGGGTAGATGGTCGGTTATTGATACGCACTGGACGTTTGATGGATCGCGCTCCTTAAGTTTCTGGAGAACGCGAATCTCGATCTTGCTGGCATCGCGATACTTCGGGATAGCGCGGATAATCTTGATCGCTACCCGGTTCTGGTTGTGGATATCAACCGCTTCTACAACCTTGCCAAAGGTTCCTTGCCCCAAGAGACGAACAGTACGATCTAGAAGCAAGAAGTTTCATCAGTTGAAAAGAGATGGATCGAAGTGAGAGGGTGACTCACATCGATTATAAATAATGTCATCTGGGACAATAATGTAATGGCCCTCCTTATCATCACAAGGGATGTTGCCATTGACAGTCTGTGAGCGAAACGTGAGTATGGAATGGAAGCGATTCTGTAGAACGAACGATGATTACGTACATCAGCCGTGGCAGCCCCGCTGCCGCTGGCCCACGATTTGGTCGACGTTACGGGTTGCTGCTGCTGTAGTGCAGCAGCTGTCTTCTTTGTGACAATTGGACGGGAGTCATCAGCAGGCTCCCGTTTCCTCTTCTTAGGCGCTGGCGCCACGATCGCTGCGGACGAGGTGCTCGCTGAAAGGGTCTGTGCCTCGGCGGCAGCACGGGCCCTTGTCCGTATTGGGGCGGAATATACTGGAGGTTGATACGAGGCCGAAAAGACATTTGTATGGGTTGTTGCGGGCGATATTGTGGAAGGAGGAGGAGTATCTTCAATGACTATGACCTCACGGACCCTGCCTTCCTCGTCGACCTCTTGAACTTCGCTGTAGCTCACTGTATATTGATGTGCGCGCTTCCTCTTGCGAGAAGTAACTGGAGGAGTGGGCATTACTATGGGGTTTGGGAGAGCCCTTGAACTATTGAGAGTGAGAGATTGTGGAAGATATTGAGGCAACATTGGAGCAAGCTGACGATGCAGAGCTGTCTGCATCGTCAAAACTGATGTTGCAGCCGTGGTGGCAGGAGTAGAAAAGGAAGAAGGGACGTTAAGGGAAGGATATTGAAAGCCAGCGTAGGAGCTGAACGGTGGACCGCTTTGAGAGAATGTAACACAGGATGAAATGGTAGTTGTTGTGGTTTATTTATTTCCGAGTTATAAAGTTGGTGTTTAGCCACTCGCTGATAGCCACAAACCACGTTAAACCAGCGCACGGACAGCTGTGATCTGTCAAACGCTTAAGACTAGTGACCCGGGGCCCTCTAGGGAACCTTCTCCTAGAATTCTGCTATATGGCTTCTTGTGGCCGCCGGTATACTCAGTACCCGACGGCAGTCTGCGATATCAAGTACTCGAGGCCATGACTTGGCTCAACATGGAACTATCTCGGAGTCCTGTGGTGCAGAGCTTGATATATTTATCTTGTTTCACTGACCAAACTGTGTCACTGTCATATGTATGGGCAAATTTACATCCTAAATCTTGTTTTTAGGTCCACGTTTGTCCCGCTTACGATCACTGACCGTATCATAGGCTAGCCTACTAGAGCCGCTCCGGTGACGTTCACGGCAGCTGCTGCTCGTGCAAAATTCAAGTTCTGCCCGCGAGTGCTCCGTCTGAACTTCGATCGAGTGACTGACAACGGTAAGTACTACATTTCATTCCAACAGCATCAGATGGGTGCCAATTGGTATATGAAAGATCCGAAACAACATCGTGGCATTACACGATGAATACAAGCAGTGTGATCATGGGCTTTTGCAATCAAGGAACCTTATTCAAGACGCCAGCGACCGCACACAGTAAAAGGGAATACCAGATTCGGATTACGTTTATAAATATTTATCATAAACTTTACCAAACATGGCTACGAAATGGGCTGAGATCTATTTTACTAAGAAACGTGACCATAATTTATTGACTACTCGTCACGCGCATGTGTCACAGAAGGCCGTCGCTCGCTGAGGACGACGTCGACTGCGAGTCAATCCCCCTTTGTTACCACCCAGCTCATCGTTGCTTTCGGCGACGCAGATGCAATTATGCGGAGTCTTCCATTTCCAGTAGCTCCTACGTTCGACCATGAAGTACCAAGTGAACATGGAACGCCGTTCAGCCCTGCTAGCGATATTCCTATCGATCCTGCACTCGCTGGGCCACTACCCATCGACCCAGCTATCATGGGAAACGAAGCCGTTCAGTTAAATGTTTCGCAGCAAGTAAGTTGTGCTTGATGATTGAATATGTCATACCGCGCAGGCGCCAAACGCGTCGCGTGTTGTAATTAGAATTCTTTGCAAGACGACTCACATACTTGCAATTAGGGTCCACCCGTGCACATTCCAGAGGATTTCATTCCGCCTCGAACTCGACACTACTCTCAGGAGCCTTCGCAATATGACCAAGGTCCCCGTGGAGATCCATTTGCGCCTCAACCTGCACCTTATCTACATATTCAAGAAGACGCCGTTCCACCACCCATCAAGCCACCAAAGAGAAAGCGAAAACCCCGGCGAGAACCCGAGTGTGGGTTTTGTCAGGGGGATGACAAGAGGAACAAGGAGGCTGAACCCGAGGTTATGGTCACTTGCGAAGAGTGCGGTCGCAGTGGTACGTGTAATTACCCAGGCAAAACTTGAAATTTTGACAAAACTTACAATTAGGTCATCCGAGCTGCCTGCAACTTGGTGCCATCGCAGATACCATTCGCTCATATCCCTGGAAGTGCACCGAATGTAAAATTTGCGAAATTTGTCAAGAAAAAGGCGATGATGTGAGTAAGCCTCCTTAACTATTAGAAATTGCTCGTATTTATAACGATACAGGAGAGAATACTCTTGTGCGACTTTTGTGATCGAGGTGTGTTTTATACGTCATCTGTATCTTGGACAATGACTAACTTACCAAATCAATCAGGGTGGCATATGGATTGTATGCAGCCTCCCCTGGAAGAAACGCCTCCCGGAATATGGCACTGCCCAATGTGCCCCCCATCCCTCTTTCCTTTGGAATCCGACGTTGCATCCACCCCAAATTCCGCTCCCCAAGATATAGACGAGGCAACTGCCGAGCCTGAAGTGGATGTTGAAGTTGACGATGGTGATGACGATTCGTCTGAAGACTCTTCAGACTCTGGATCTGCATCAGACGATACCAATACTGTGCAAGCACCAACACCCCGCCAACGACCCAGTCAGCGAATAAAGAAGCCACCAAAGCGCAGAATTGAACAGCCAACCCCACGGCCTCTCAAACGCATTCGCCTGCGCTCGCCTGCGGCACACCCGCTTGTCGTACGCTTGCGAATACCTTTAAAGGGTAAAGGCAAAGAACGAGAAGAGGACCCCGACAGAAATATATTCGAGGACTTTCTCAGTCCTGCTGCTAGGGACATGACAAAGACAGGGATCACAGACTCTGACAGGGCACGATTTGATAAAAGTTGTTTGGCCGCTGAGGTTTTCCTTGTCCTCTCGCTCTCATGAACAATGAGCTGACTCCTCTACACAGGAAAAACTTGCACTTCCACCTCAATCAGCACCACCAGTTGACACACCTGATCCTCCAATAGCTGGTCCTTCATCTCGTCCCCTACGGTCTCATGCTCTCCAACAAATAACCATACCTTCCTCATTACCGGCTCGCTCGCCAGTGCCTTCCACACCTGGTGCGATTCCGCACACACCTTCCACTATCCCTGCCACCCCGTCAGGTTTCCCAGCACCTCCTTCCACGTTACGCATCCGGATCATCCGCTTTGGGAAGTATGACATCCACCCGTGGTATGACGCCCCCTTTCCTGAAGAGTTCTCAAATATCCCGGATGGACGACTGTGGTTCTGCGAATTTTGCCTCAAATATATGAGAAGTGGCTTTGCTTTTGGTAGACATAGCGTGAGTTAGGCCCATGACACGGGGGTATATATGAGTACTGACTACTTTACAGATGAAATGCAAAACACGACATCCACCAGGTGACGAGATTTATCGCGATGGTGCCATGTCTATTTTCGAAGTAGACGGACGCAAGAACAAGATATACTGCCAGAATCTTTGCTTGCTGTCGAAGATGTTCCTAGATCACAAGTCACTCTTCTACGACGTCGAACCATTCTTGTTCTACGTTATTACAGAAACTGACGATATGGGTGCGCGTTTTGTGGGCTACTTCAGTAAAGAGAAATGTTCTCCAAAGGACTATAACGTCAGTTGTATCATGGCGTTACCTGTGAGGCAGAGACAAGGATGGGGGAATTTCTTGATCGACTTTAGTGAGCATTGGTAAAATAAGACCGCAGCGATACAAGGCTGACATTTGACTCTAGGTTACCTTCTCTCCAAGAAAGAACAGCGCGCGGGATCACCCGAGAAGCCACTTTCAGGGCTCGGTCAACTGGGGTACAGAAACTATTGGACCCTCGCACTTATGCGATACCTTCATACATCACCGGAAAACCCAACCCTCGAAGGTATGTTTTTAAGCTTCCTGAAATAATGAGTGCGTTGACATTCATTATTGACTACAGCTATCAGCAAGGGCACATCCATGACTATCGAAGATATTTATAATACCCTCCACGACCAGGGAATGATCTCTGTGCAATCTGCTACACCACCTATGAGACCTACACCAGGGCAAGCTATCAAGTTCCCGCGAGGGCGCAAGAACGGTATTGCGCGGCGTCACCTTCAACGGCAGAGTACGATCAACAAGGAGGAAGAGGCCGGAAGCAAGGCTAACACACCCTTTGTCCCCCCTACGCGATACCAGATCACCTGGGATCCCGAAAAGGTGCAACGCTACCTTGAGGCGTGGGAGAACAAGGGATACATGAAACTGAAACCGGAACGGTTGAAATGGACGCCGTTTGTGCTGGCACGGACAAAAGCTGGCGGGGAAGTCTTGCAAGCAGAGTTGGGTGCCGGCATGGGTGCTTTGAACGGCGTGGCGGAAACACTAAACCAAGTCACTGATCGGGTGGACAATCAGACGCCGGCCCCTGGCACTGCCGAACCCTCCTTCAGCGTATCAGAGGCAGCGCCTACAGACAGTCATCATGTCTTAGACACTCTTGCAGCGCGCCTGTTTGATGACGTCATAGCCAAAAACCCTGAAACACCTGTACCAAAGAAGCAGTTGCGGAGTCGCGTTAAAGGAGGTGAAGTGCCTCGATCTGTCTTCTCACGAACGCAGTCGAGTCGTAACACGATCACCCGCACTGCTCTCCGACGACACACACGTTCTGTATCTGCTCGTCCTATTACTGGCATCGATGGTGCGGTCAACAGTGCTGCCCCTCAACCTGATGAGCTGGCGGAACAATCGAGTCCTGATATTCCTGCCAAACGGCGACGGGGACGGGCACGGATCAAGCCACCGGATGATGCATTGTCAGCAGTATCTGAGTCTGGGAGGATGACTGCTTCACCGTCACCATCAAGACCCCTGACTCGAGTCAAACGCAGGAGGATAGAATCGCCTGAGTCGGAAACCCCTTCAGAGCGTGTGGAAGACCATGCTGACCCGCCTGGTGGTCCTACCCACTCTAACGGTCACATTAACCCCGTCAGTGAGGCCCGTCAGGAGGAAGATGTCTCTCATCATTCATCCGGATCATCTGGTTCTGTTAAATATGGCGCTCAATCTCCTCGAGTGGAGACGACCTCGTCTATGTCAGAACTAGATACACGATCCTCACCTGCTCAGTCGCAACCACCGGATGACGAGATTAAGTCGGAGGAAGCGGATACACCTCTCACCGGCATAACCAGTCGACACAGCGTACCAAGCGACGACACCTTGTTTGTTGTGGAGACTGCAAACAGGGTAGGGAGTAAGGACTCTGGAGGCTCTGATATCATCAGAGTCGTGCACTCACCCACTTCTCAAACTACCGGGAGGGAAAGTGCTGGACAAGACTCAGTGCCCATTTGTTCCGCTCCAGCACTATCCAACGATCTCGACCAATATTCTGATCTGGATGCGGAGGGCGAGCCGGATGACGAGGTTGAATGAAAAGTTATATAATTCTGGTCTTTACTGCTACAATATCATGATCTCTAGTACTTCGTATTGCTACATACATTGTTTGTACCTTACTTGCTTTTGTCGGAATCAATCGGAAGAATGTGAACTGGAACTGCGACCTAACCTGGGCGAACTGGTACATGATGATTTCTTGCGTGACCGGTTTTGTTTGGCGGCGACTTTAGAACCAAACAGCCCGCCCTTTCTCAAGCCGAGCCACAACACACGCACGAGCGGTTCACGCCGGTTCATTGTGGTTCACAGCCTGGCCTATGGAATATGGAAACTAACAAGTGAGTGCTAATCTCGTCATACCCACACCCCTTCCACTTGTTCGCGGTCACCGATGATGTAGAGCTCAACAATGTTTATACCTGCGGCAGCGACCCAAGCATGGCTTTTGGCCATCTTCAACGAGACCCAAACTTGCAGACTAACGTCAGCAATGTCTCGGTACGCTGTGTATTGCTTCGAAGAAGCTTTAAGCCACTGATATCATATCGACTCCAATGAATGACAATGCAGAGTCTGAATCAAGCGCTGGGATCGCATCTTAACCCTACCATCAATGGGCGTCCCCAATTCCATGACGGCACAGCATACAGGCTGTCTGATTCACCGCCGACAATTCTAGATCAAAATTGTGCTTCACGGTCTGCCCAGCCAATAGTTGGTGGCCCTTCTCATGCTTCACCCATTCACGAGTTTTCGGTACTCCCAGCCAACGAAACTCAAACTACCAGTGGGCCTAAACGTAAGCAGACCGATGGTTTGGCTCCCAGTGGTAGTTCGCAGTCGGGAAAAAGACGGAGAGAAGGGGACGACATGAGTGATCCCTTTGACATCGATGGTGCGCACGGTTCTAAACACTGGACTGACGACGAGAAGACGAAATTATTTAATTGGCTCATGGGTGTGGGTGAAGACAACCACTGGAATGCGCTTCGAGCTACCAAGAACTCGTGTCTTCGCGAGGTGTGTATTCACTTGGGATGGTACACTAATTAATCACTTACTTACTCGGAGACAGTGCGCCGTTGAGGTGTTTGGTGGCAAGAAGACTTATCAGGCGCTAAAGGGCTGTTATGAGCGAAATTTCAATATATTTAAACAGGTCTATGCATTCGAAAGTTTCCACACGCAATTGGGGAATGGTCCTGTCAGCTTTACGAATGAAACAGACAGGTTGCGAGAATATGAACGGCGACTACAAATTGCTCGCAAAGGCGGTTGTGACGTTGGCAATGTGGGTGCCAAGACGATTGACCATTGGCATAGGTCAGGCTGGTATACTTTGTTCCACAGAAGGTGTGTTGCCTTTCTCTTGGTTATGGGACCATCTAAGATGTCATGATTAGATGGAACGGCGATCCCGCCACTACGCGGTCCGCAAACCGCCAAAGTAACGTCCCGGGGGCAGCCAACTCCCACGGCGGCGAAGATGACGACAACGATTCATTAGAAGCAACGGAGACAATTCCAACTCTTCAACCTCAAATTCAACCTCAGAGCGCACCATCTCATCCTCAACCTCAAGTTCAACAAGTTCATTCACAAGCACGCCCTCCTACCTTCGTTTTTACATCACAACCCACCATTGCAAATAAGACTAATAACAGCGAGCTTCCTATACAGGAAGCTGGACCATCAAATACCCCAAGTCGAACAGTCTTCCCCAACATACCGTCACCAAGTAGTGATGCGTCTGTCGTCAATTTTGCTTTACCACAAAACATGATGGCTGCATGCTTGCAGCTTTTGCAAGCGCAGGTTCAGCACAGCAAACTCAAACTAGAATATCTTAGGAGAAGAGAGGAAAGGGAAGAAAGAGACTGTGTTGCTCGTAAAGATGCCGAGCGTGCTCGACTGGAAAGAGAAGCCGCCGAGTGGGAGCACACAAAGGAGACAGCTAATGTCAAGCACAGAGCCCAACTCGCAACAGATGTATTGGCGAATCCAGTGGTAGATGGATCTGTGCGCCAGGCTGCGGCTGATTATCTTAAAAGACTATTTGCTTCAGACTGATCCGGACTTATGGACATCAAGTACTATATAATACTGGATCGTGAATTCGTTCGCCACCGTATCACAGACGATTGATTATGGGTCATTTTTTGTCAGTAAGTAGTTCGCCGTTTGGTCAAATTCGTATTTACATGGTTGTATTGTAGCTGAGTGTGTTTCATCATGAAATACATAATTTTCATCCAAGATAAAGGTATTTGTTTAAAGAATTGATCGCTGGCAAATATTGTTAGCATTACGACTAGCAGATGATCCAGGAAGTATCCGGCTAGTATGTATACTCTGACGCAAGAACAGATGAAGCTGTATCACCCGATGATCACACGAGGCGAGCGGACCCCCGACCACACGGAAAACAGCCCCCACAAACGCTCAGACATTGAACTCCAGAGACCACCAGCAATGAGAACTTGATCGAACATCTAATGACGACTGGTGGGTACTGGACCTCATCTATTTCTTGTCAGCTTTTGCGTCTTGTACAGAATCTTTTCCAAAAAAAAAGGTGGAAAGTTTTCCGTCAGAAGTACAGCATCGTAGAAGGACAAAGTGCACCCACAACCAGGCTAAATCGGAGGACACCGCTGTCAAATGGAGCAAAGACAGGTTGAACAAATGATTTCTTGTAGAGTAATCAATGTTGATGCGATCATCCGCAAGAACGGATGCTGATTTCTGAGAAGTTCCAGGAACTCACTTCGTCACTGCGAGGATTTACATAAAGTTGCAATTGCCAGTTAGTGCATCTTATTGAACGGGTTTAACATGTATGCAATTGGACGAACTACCCTTTTTACAGTTTACAGTTTCGAACCAGCTGTGTATTACTGCTCGTCCCCGCATTACCAAAAACAATCGATTGATGATAATGTCATTCAGATGACTCCCTCTATTTCAATTCATTCCCCAATTTTTTCTCGGGCCTTAGAAGCTAAATGGGTCGTCATGGGTGCCCATGATGTGGGGTGCATAGATAAGTCGTTACCTGCCTGGATGTGACATGTTGAAACATGTCACTGAACTGTTCGTTCTCAGGAGTTAGACATAATGTGGTAACTTGCAGGGACCTGTGAAAACCTGTGTTTTCTTTCTGTCAAGTACGTATCAAAAAGACTTAACATAGCTTAATATGCGAGGCCGCATTGCCCGCGTGCCCGCGTCTCGCCGGAATCTCTCTATGGGGAGATCTGAGACTGTCGGATCAACTAGCTTCAACTTGGACCCTCTATTATCAGGCCACTGTTCTCCGGTCTTTCCACTGGGGCATATTTCCATGCGTACTGATAAACAGTCCAGCCGTCGGGAAGTCATATTCCCACAGCCGTTGGAGCACAAATGTACTAAAGGGACGTATACTGACCTTTTGGCAAGGGGGTCGACTCAATCTGTAAACATGATATCCGGTGCAGTTATCTGCTTGGTCACATTTTTTGCCTATATAGCTTGGCGTAACACCCGGCGGTACACTCTGAAAGACATCCAAGGACCTCCTTCGCACTCATTCTGGCTAGGTGATACCATATATTCTTTTCAAACCGTGGACCTCCCTCATTTACATCTGCAGGTAGCGAGAAAGTACATCGACACGCCAAACAAGTGGGGGAACTGGAATTTCAATGGGCTCGCGAATATGGTCTAACTTGGATGGTTAAGGGATGTTTGGGGGTAATGTTACCAAGTCCTCCGGCATTCCACTACTCACGAGTTGCCTCAGGAGGAAGTTCTCTGGACCGCTGACCCCCGTGCCCTGCAATATGTCTTTCATACATCTGGTTATAGATTTTCAAAGAGAACCGTCGCCACTGAAACGACGCGCCTCTTTACAGGGGAGAGTATTTTGACTGCAGAGGGTGCGTCTTTTTACATTTACTATCTTAGTAGTACACAGCTCATATCTTTCAGCCGTTGATCACCAAAGGCACAGAAAGATCATGAATCCTGCTTTTGGTGCTGCTCAACTTCGAACATTTTTGCCTGTTTTCCGCCGTTCGGCAGCTCGGGTAAGATAGTCAAGAAGTCTCATAGAAACTTGGTCGCTCATGTTTTTCTTTAGCTCTCACAGAAGTGGAAAGACATGATCCAGTTAGGAGAAAACTCTGATGGATGCACAATGAATGTCAGCGAGACTTTGTCCAGAATGACCTTAGATGTCATTGGCGAAGGTGTGTAATCGACATTTGTCTCATATGTATTGAATTCATGTTTGCAAATTGAAGTCGCTTTCGACCACCGCTTTGGAGTTCTTAACGACAATGGAGTAGACAACGAGTTGGTGCAGGCGTTCAACAATCTCTTGTATGTCTCGCAATCCTTTGAGCCAGGTCCTATGTTAATACACGAACTTAGCATTGATACGCTATTGAACCCATCTTCATGGGATCTCATTTTTAAGTCAACCTGGAGATTCTTTCCTGGACCAGTTTTGAGGTGCTTGAAGTATTTGCCTTACAAAGAGTACCGCCGTTTCTCGACATATCTGCAAACTGCCATTCAAACAGGAAATACCATCATCAACGAAAAGGCGGCTAGTACAGAAAAGGGCAGCAAGGACATCATCAGCATCCTTGGTATGTTCTCCGCCGAGGCATGATCTATGTATAATTGCCTCACGAGTCTCGGTGTCTTAGTACAATCCAATCATATGGAGGACGCACGAGCTCAGCTGAGTGAAAGAGAGATACTGTCGCAGATAGCGTGAGTAGTAATGAATATTATCACAAATGATATGCCAGTCATTGATTGCCACATTCTAGCACCTTGCTGGTCGCGGGTCATGATACTACCGCCTCATCTCTCACATGGCTGCTATACGAGCTCTCAAAGCACCCGGAGGATCAGCGGCGCATCCGTGACGAGATTAAAACAGCAAGATTAAATGTGGAAGCTCGCGGCGATGATGATTTGCTGCCCAGTGATTTTAATAATATGGATTTCACCAATGCAGTTATTAAAGTCTGTCTACCACTTATTTCCGACATTCTATTCTCACCTTCATTTGTCTCGTAGGAGGGACTCAGATTGCATCCCATAGTTCCTACATTGGTCCGGGAAGCAGATTCAGACGATGTTATACCACTTTCTCAGCCAATTAAGACTAGGTCAGGCAAAATTATTAATGAAATAGCCATCTCGAAAGGCCAAGGCATCACAGCATCCATTTGCACTTATAACAGGTTGGTTCCATTGGTGCTTGAGTGGTTGTTCCGTCACATAGATTAAACTTTTCAGGCTGCAAAGCATTTGGGGAGAAGATGCGGACGAGTGGAACCCAAACCGTTTCCTGGACAATGGCAGGGAAAAGTCATCGTTGGGAGTTTTTGCCAATCTGTGTGTATCTTCTTTCATTACTCTCTCATGAGCTAAATCAGTCCGGCACTCAGAATGACTTTCTGTACGCTATTTGAAATTTTTTCTTCCCCGGAAGTCACTCACGTATTTTAAACTAAAGCGGCTGGTCTCCGTGCTTGCATCGGGTAAGTGAAACAGTCAGCGAGTGGTATCATTGATTCCCATCTTCCTGTGACTAGCTGGCGTTTTGCGTAAGTTCATGATCAGAGATACTGACCATTAGGCTTACTCGTGAACTACAGAGTTCTTGAGATGCAAGCTGTGCTCGTGGAGCTTGTCGAAAATTTCGAGTACCGATTCCCCGAAGGTGTCGAGATCATTCGATTGAATGCTGGACTCATGGCCCCTATGGTTGAGGGCAAGATGCATGAAGGTGTTCAGATGCCTTTAGAAGTCAGTATCATTGCATAGATTGGGATGTCTTTGACAGTGGTGGTGGATACGGAAGATAACACTAATACCTTGGGTATGCTCAATGTTAGCTACTTACCTCTCGTATCTCTTGGTAACCGCGCGAGACAATCTTGTATGACTTCTGTAGAAAAGATAATGCGGACTATCATATACCGGACTTGCGGAACAAAAAAATTCCAGATTATCCAATAAAATATTCTATACAAAAACCAAATCGTAGGTCAACGTAATATCATGGACGATATCATATGTCAGTATCAAGCGCCGCAAAACAGACAGAGATGGAAGTATTAGAGGGAGAGTTTGAACAACAGGATAAAGCTGCGAGATGTGCGACGGACGTCCAACCATCCCAGGGTGTGGTCGCCACGTCCCAGTTCGGTCGAGACTGTTTGCATTGCCAGCACTGTCGTAGTGTGATTTGGTCATGAGCATAGAACTTCAATGGAGTGTGTAATTAGAGGGAGCGAAAGGACCTAAACCAACAAATGCCCAACTTGTACTTTGTCAGGAGTTCGACAGCTGTCGGCCGTCGTCGTTCGGGACCTTCATAACAACATATTGCAATGCAGAAGGCTTTGGCATGGCTACTGTCCAACAAAATGGCACAAATACAGAAGGTAGGGTTTAAGAATAAAAATTTCTTGAGGATGCGGTGCGGGAATACTGAAACCAGTGTGAGATGACGGATCCATGAAACATGCCCAGGCTGAGAGGTTGCAGAAAGTCCTTGTGACAAAATCTGCGGTTGGCTTGAAGCTGAAGCTGCCGACGCTGTGGCGTCACTCGCTTGTTTGCCCCCAAGAAGTTTGGCTGACTGGCAGTGTCAGGATTTCCTGCAAGATGTTCTTTGATTCGTAAAGTCAGTTTAGTCATTGTACGATCTCTGAGTAGCGAAAAGAGCGCTGGCAATAGTGATGGGGTCGTCCTTGCGCTAGCATGATAATAGCGAACCGTCACTGATCTTTGCTTTGTTGGCTTCCTCGATCTTCCCCTTCAGACGGCTAGACTTGGCGAAGTCCCTGACATATGCAGACCCTTGCTCCAGTCCTTAACCTGTAAGAGCCTTCTAGTAGTACCGCGCAATCTGTACAACTAAATTAGTATTGCAGGAACTCGAGAAATACATAATCATACCTTGAAATATTCTTGCAGGTGCCATGTACGACGTCCGTGAGTGCAGTATAGATCCTGGACTCGTAGTTACTAGGGTTGGTAAGTAGATGCTACCATTCAAGTTGCTATTAGATTTTAATGTCCGACACAACTTGTCTGCAGGTGACGCTGTACTACCGCTGAAAACATGATCTTCACCATTTAATTACTTTATTTCACTTAGAATATGCTATGTGGTATTGCATGCTCAGTAAAGTAGCTTCACTGCTTTAAAATTGAGACAAATTACGAAATGGTAGACCGTCTTGACCGACAGTGCATGACTTGATAATTACTTGAGTGACAGTTGTTCTCCTCTCCCAGCCGCCGCGCCGCGAATTCGAACTTTCAAGTTGCTCCGAATCGCGGATGTCTCTCCCAGTATTCTCCCTTCCGACTTTACCTGATGCGCCGCCTAAATCTGTGCTCGCTTTACAAGGTCTTGATCAAGCTTTAGTTGAAGCTGAAGTTGTCAATCCCTCCTCTCGACTACCCATATTACCCGAAGGAGATGATGTTCGCACTGGTTTATCTGAGAGGACAAGAAGGCGCCTCATAGAACTAGGGATTACTGAGCTATTTGCTGGTAAGATTCGTCGATCCACTTGCACACATAACCTGACGACCTCACAGTTCAGACTGCACTTCTTCCTTTTCTGCTAGGTTCTTCCGCCACGCGGAGATCACTGTACGAACCGTATGACCTATTACAAGACGTATGTGTTTCCGCGCCAACTGGAAGTGGGAAAACACTCGCATATGTACTCCCAATTGTTGAGGTAACAAGTCGCGCAATTTTTGGAATTCTTGATTGATTCAATGAGGTCAGATTCTGTCGACAAGAATTGTCACTCATCTCCGTGCTCTCATCGTTCTTCCGACGCGTGATTTAGTCATGCAAGTTCGGGAAACAATAGAGGCGATCGCAAAAGGACGAGGTTTGAAGGTTTGCTTGTTTTTGTCTGATTATCAGTCAGTTTACATTTCGAATCTGCATCTAGATTGGTTCAGCCACTGGACAGCATTCGTTCGCTCATGAGCAGTCGCAACTAGTTGCGGATATGTCAGCCAAGTACGTGTCAGTCCGTGTTTTGTGACCGTATTGACGTTTGCGAAAGACTCTCTGGTGGATCAAGTAAAGTTGATATTTTGATCTGTACGCCGGGGCGCCTTATTGATCATCTTAACGGAACACCCAACTTCTCGCTCCAACACCTTCGGTTCTTGGTCAGCCTCTTTGGTCATTTATCATATTTTTCTCGAATGATTGCTCGTTTTTCCAGGTAATAGATGAAGCCGATCGATTGCTTGCTCAATCATTCCAAGACTGGCTGGCTCAAGTTCTTTCTGCCACGCAACCATCTCCCAGAATGGCCTTTGAGACAACTGAAACCAAAACCCCAGTCCCCCTCTGTGATTCTCTTGCTCCCGCTTTTCTTCACCTTCACAGGGGAGTAGACCTACACACCGTCATCGACGAAAAGAAACACACCTCGTGTCAAAAATTACTGTTTTCCGCGACACTCACCAGTGACCCGGGAAAGCTTGCGGCTCTGGACCTCCGAAATCCAAAGTACTTCGTTGTGCAAGGTCTATCTGATGAATCAGAAATCGATGGCATTCCCAATATTATAGCAGAACGGTTCACTATGCCCGAAGCACTAAAGGTACACGACAGTAAATGCAATCCTGCCAGAAACTCACTCATGAATCATAGGAACACATGATAATTTGTGAGGCCTCCCAGAAACCATTGATGCTCTTCCATCTTGTACACAATCATTCTGTTCGCAATGCACTTGTTTTCACAAAATCATCCGAATCGGCCTCTCGTCTTGTTCGCTTGTTCGAATTCTTCGAGGCTGCTATCCCCTCCAGCGGAAGTGCAATCGTCGTTCGGTCGTATTCGAGTGATCTTCCGACTAACGAGCGCAGGACCATATTAGCGAAATTCAAGGCTCAAGAGGTCCATCTGGAAGTTTAACACATTTTGTTTGCTTGGCCTGATGTACTGACCAGACTTTAGGCTCATATGCTCAGATCTCATATCAAGAGGTATCGACATCAGCCATGTATCGCACGTAGTCAGTTACGACGCACCGGTAGACATAAGAAAATATGTACACCGGGTTGGTCGAACTGCTCGAGCAGGGAGAGCTGGAGACGCTTGGACATTGGTCGAAGAACAGGAGGTATGTCATGTCACAGACCTGCCTATGCCATTTTTGCTCATTGAACTCTCAGGCACATTATTTCAAAAATATGTTAAGAAACGCCGGTCACCTGGAAAGGGTCCAACGGATGAGAATATCGGAGAAAGACACGGTTTCGCTTTCATCGGCGTACGAGGTCAGTACACACAGTCTATTGTCATATACTGCAAAGATAGATGTGCGTCTTCCTAGATATCTCTGCGGAACCTCCGTGACGCGTACACACGATGACCCAGTTGAACCCTGTTGACTTGTCAAGGTCAAGGCCAGCAGGCTTTTGCGGAGGATGATGTGATGAACAGTCCCCTATTTGATTCCTTGCATTGTGGTCGATTACATTTGCATCGACTCAAGCCAAGTTTCACGGCAGCACTAGTAATCAAACGTTTGCTCAACTATTCTCAAGGGCGCCGAATTAGATTTCATGTCCTGCCCTGGGCCGGAACGTTAAATTAATAACATTAACCATAGGCTATTATATGATAGGCTCGTAAAGTTTTGTTTTAGTGACGGCCCGGGAATTTTATCAGCAGTATAACGAGCATGCGATTCGGATGTGACTGCACACATGGAATAGCCTCGGAACTCGTACTTACCGATTACCATGGTCCAGGACCAGACTCTTTTGGTCTGACTAGGCACATTCATGGCTATGTGCCAACAACTCAAATTTCTCTCACTATGCAATATTGTAGGAGTATGGACCCACGTTCAGATGAAGGCAGCCAAATGAACGGGGCGGCGGCAAGTCGAGGAAGGTCACAAATATTATTAAAACATAGCAAGATCACATTTGTTGTATCTAAATCATTATGCATCTCCACTCCTGTCGTAAATGCCTGAAGTATTTATGTTTCAGCTACCACCCTCCAGGGACATTAGAACTTGAAGTCCTAGGACTACCCGCTCTTCTGCGAGAAGGAAGCTCTGGGGTCGTAGAAGGCATCCGAGAACTCGTATTACCATCCTCCGGCCCAAGGTTTAGTTCCATGTCCAATTTCCTAGCCATTTCCCTGTCCATCTCCTCCACCCGCCTCCTACGCTCCTCCTCGCGCCTACGTTCCAACTGCTCTTCATGCTCCTGCTCACGACGGGCAAGCTCGCTGTCTAATTCTTCTTGCTGTCGCCGTTCCTCAGCAGCCCTGTACTCTCGCTCGCTCTCCTCCTGTGCACGCCGTGCAAATGCAAGATCTGCTTCTTCCTGTCTGTGACGCTCGGCTTCTTCCGCTTCAAATTGAGCACGAGCAAAAGCAGCGTCGGCAGCCTCCTGCTCAGCGCGCGCCTTGATGCGAGCAAGCTCAGCTTGCCACCTCCGTTCAGCTTCTTCTTCTTCTGCACGCTTGAGACGAGCCTCCTCTTCTCGTTTGTGACGGGCCTCTTCTTCCTGTTTGCGACGAGTTTCTTCTTCTGCACGCTTGCGACGAGCCTCTTCTTCTTGTTTGCGACGGGTTTCTTCTTCTGCACGCTTGCGACGAGCCTCTTCTTCCTGTTTGCGACGGGTTTCTTCTTCTGCACGCTTGCGACGAACCTCTTCTTCCTGTTTGCGACGAGCCTCCTCCTCTTGTTTGCGGCGGATTTCTTCTTCCCTTTTGCGACGTGCTTCCTCTTCAAGCCTCATCCGCTCCTCTTCGCGCTTCTGACGCTCCTCTTCGTCCCTTCGACGTGCATCCTCTTCGCGTCTCATCCGGTCCTCTTCCTCTTGTTTACGTCTGGCTTCTTCTGCTTTGCGCAGTTGTTCCTCGACTCTTATACGCTCCTCCTCTTGTTTGAGTCTCTCTTCCTCCTCTTGTTTCAGCCTATCTTCCTCTTCTCGCTTGAGTCTCGCTTCCTCTTCTAGTTTGAGTTTCTCATCTTCCTCTTGTCGCCGTCGCTCTTCCTCTTCTCTCTGCTTCTGCTCCATCTCCAATTTCAATCGCTCCTCCTCACCTCGTTTTTGCTCCTCAGCATCTCTCCTTCTCAGCTCTTCCTCCTCATGGCGCCTTCTCTCTTCTTCAACAACTTGAGACTGCGATTCCTCTGCCTCACGCTTCTGTGAATCTACCGCCTCAGCAGCCTTCTGTTCACCCACTGCCTTCCGTCGCCCTTCATCCTCGGTGCGTTCCTCTTCGCGTTTCTTTTGGTCTCCTGGGACTGTAGGTACGAAAGAAGAGGCAGGGGGCTGATTCGAGGGGTTCTGGGAAGGGGAAGCTGGAGGGGCTCCCAAATCAAATGCTGTTGAGGCAGTGGGTGCGGCGTTCTGATATCCTTGCACAGGGGGAGACTGTTGTTCCCCTCGTGCTACTGCCGGGGTCACCTGTGGGCTTCCAGGGAGTGGCAGCGGCGGCGGGGGAGGCGGCAAAAAATATGGTGCTCTGGGAAGAAGTTGAGATTGGGGAGGAGGGACTGGGGATTGCGCGGGGAAATAGGTTTGTTGTTGGTATGGCTGCTGCTGAGGTGGTGCGGGGGTGTATGTCTGAGGTTGCTGTGGGGTTGGATGAGTATATCCTTGCGACTGTGATGAAGGGGGATGTGATTGCTGGTTGGGAAATGGGGTGTATGACTGAGGTGGTGGAGGTGAAGGTTGGTATGGTTGAGCCAAGTGGCTCTGAGGATGAGGGGATTGTGGTGGCTGATACTGTGGTGCGGGAGGCGGAGCTTGATGAGGGGGTGGGGGCTGATATGGCGGGATGGGAGTCGGAGCCTGATGAGGCTGCGGAGAAGATGTCAAGTATTGCTGTGGTTGTGGCGAGGGCGGTGACGCATAATCATGGCGTGTGTAAGATTGCTGATATGGTTGAGGAGGCGGAGATGATATTTGTTGAGGAGGAACGTATCCTTGCGACAAGGAAGCGTATTGCTGGGGTAGTGGAGAAAGTGTTTGTTGAGGAGGAGGAGTGTATCCTTGCAACGAGGAGGAATATTGTTGGTGAGCTTGGCCTGACAGATAATGATTGGATTGCCATTGTCCTTGCTCGCGATGAGGCTGGGATTCTGGGATATGGGGTTGTGCCATATGAGATAAGGACTGGTAATGCTCACTCAGCGAATTTTCTGTCATAACCAAGGGTGTACGAACTCCTAGAAGTTCTGGGGAAAGCTCGTAGGGATGGTCTTGAACAGGAGTCTGTAACAATGATATTGGAGTCGGTGGAGTCGTGTAGAACGAGGACGAGTCGCTCGCGCCTCCATTATTCATAGGGAGAGTCCCAAAACGGCCTGTACGCCCAGCCATCCCTGGGCGTAGAATGGTTGGTAAATGACCAGGCTTTCTCTGGGGTACTAAATCGTCCTCGGGAAGAGGGGGGAGGTCATCAGTCTTGCTCTTCGGGGACTGTCGGCCATGGGGCGAAGGGGATAGCGATGAGGCCTGTGGTTGACCTCTAGCAGGAAGTAAAGATGCAGGTAGCGTACTAGGGGGGATATAGCCTGGGTCACGGAGTTGCACAGTAGTGGGGTTCAGCACAGATGGTGATCCGCCTTTGTGTGTCACAGCATTATACGACTGCGGCCGTGTGAGACGATCTGATTGTTTGATCTTCGATGGACGACGATTAAGAGGAGGAGGACCATTTGCATAGAATGTCATCTCAAGATATAACTCGCCTCTCGCTCCGCCTGAGGTTTCGAGGGGAACCCAGTCTAATAAGATAGTTTAAGCGTACACTAAGCCAGGATTATAAATCTCTTACCATCGAATTCACCCGTTTTCAAAGTCGATTCAATATCGACAATCCCTTTGCCTAAGAGCTTGTCCTCAGATTTAGGCTCATGCTTCCAACAAGACACTTCCAGTTTTCTGTTGATCTTGTCCTTTCCAAGATCTACAAGGACCGGAAAGCGGAATTCTTCGTCCCACACAGGATGTTGCCCGCCCTTGGGATCTGGCTTAGTTTGTTGAGTCTGGCCCGAAAGGGTTGCTTGCGCATATGGGTCTTGCTTGTAGAAAGAAGGTTGGTGCAGATGACGAGCCTTGAGGATGACAACGACTAGCGTCCCAAGTTCCTTCGATTGTGACATAGAGCAATTTAATGGCCAGAACTGCGTTGGCCGTTTAAGTTTAGGTGCTGCTGCACCGCCTGCTAAGTCGGCTACAAGTGCACCGATGCTCACAAGTCTAGGTACGTCACGTAAGGTGTGACATGTGACACCACGCGTCTCTAGCGGAGTGGGAAAACGCGTCAATCGATCGCAAGACGCGCACAGTTCGAGCTCATCATCGAACACGTCCACCACAGCTCAATGTCAGACAGAGCAAAGCGTGCAGATAGACTTGCTGCTCTTGCAGAACTAAAACGAACTCGTGAAGGAGGCGCGCGCAAGTGGAAGGTGCGACATCATTGCCATTTGGCTTGAAACCGTATCTCGAACGCGTCTTCACAGGCTCAAGAGGATGTGGCTATTTATGATGAGGTCACTGATGATCAGTATCACAAAATTGTGCGAGGAAGGCTGCAGAAAGATGACTTTGTCGTGGACGACGGCGTGAGCGGTTACATGGACAATGGGATGGACGACTGGACGGGCGCTGAGAAAGACGAGGAAGACGAAGACAACGAGTACGATACAAAGAAGAAGAAGAAAAAGAGTGAGTTTGATTGTATATTTACATATATAACGTCTGATTTTGGCTTTTCAGCGAAGAAGGGTAAGGATGCTGCATCCAAGGCTAAAGCGAAGCCGAAAGCACCACCGCCCATTGCCAAGCCCTCTATTAGCGTGTACCGTCCAGCTGTCTCGGAAGAGCAGGAAGAAGATTTTATGGCCAATCTCCTTGGAGGCTTAGATGCCGTCCCAGCCCCAGTTGCAAGGAGGCCAAAGAAACGCAAGCCCACTCCATTATCAGATCACGAAGACGTCAACTGCGATTCCTCAGATGGTTTCATGGACGATGCTGCTTTCAATCTGTCATCAAGTGACTTTGAAGACGACTTTTCGACTATGATGAGTCCTAAGAAGAAGCCACGTACAGCGAGTGGTGCTGGAATCACTCCTGCAATCGAGCGAATGTGCAAGTTGGATGTTCATAGTGGATCGGAAGACGGTTTTGACAACTCAATGGATTTTGAGGACATAGACATGGATGCCTTCATGGATGTCGATGACGAAGATCTTGATATCAAACCGGCCAAGGGGAACAAATCTATTCTCGATGACCTAGAAACTAAGCCCAAAGTCAACATGGCTTCGGCACCAAGCAAAGCAGAGCCGCCCTCAGCGCCAAGTTGGCTATCTACCTACGATTCCCTTGCTATCACTTCCGATGAAACCTTAGGTTCTAGCTCTTCCTCGACTTCTAAATCTTCTGTCGACGCTCTTGAATCCGATGGTATCCTCCACTTTTTCTGGCTAGATTACCTTGAACATAATGGCAAGCTCTTTCTCACTGGTAAAATCAAGGACAAAACCTCTTCGACTTGGGTATCCGCATGCATCTCCATCGAGGGGCTTCAGCGTAATTTGTTTCTGCTTCCGCGTCCGCTACGCATTGAGCAAGAGGAGACCGAAGAAGGCGAGTATGTGATGCAAGAAACTGACGTCGTGCCTAGCAAATCGGATGTGTACGAAGATTTTGAGCGGGTACGGAAGAAGCTTGGTATCAAGGGGTGGAAGGGGAGATGGGTTCGGAGAAATCATGCATTCGATGAGAAGGACGTACCAAAGGAGGGCGAATGGATGAAAGTTTTGTACTCTTTTGAAGGTAACACTCAGTTGCCAAACTTTTGCAAAATACTCACTGTATGCGGATAGAGCCCCAAGTCCCTATGAACGCCTGTTCGCCTAATATTGCTAGGATATTTGGGACGAATACGAGTGCGTTTGAGCTTTTTGTGCTCAAGCGCAAGATCATGGGGCCGTGCTGGCTTACCATAAACAATGCGGTTGTCGAGAACAAGGGTGTAAGACTATTCACGGAATGACCCTGAGCTTTCAGCTGATGATATATGAACGCAGATCTCGTGGTGCAAGTTCGAAGCTACTGTTTCGGACCCCAAGAACGTAACACCCATGGGAGACAGCGCTCCAGAGCCTCCCCCTCTAACAATAATGAGTCTCGCAGTACGCACCGTTGTCAATCATCGCGAAAACAAACGGGAAGTCGTTTGTGTCACGGGACGCATATGGCGAGATGGTCAATCATCTTGCACCTCTGCTGGAGAATATTGCTAACTTGATAGCGTATTATGTAGTTCAACTTGATGATCCTACACCCCCCGAGCAACTCCCGTGCTCTGTGCACACGCTCGTCCGTCCTCTTGACCGCTTCCCTGCTAATTTTGAGGCTCAGGCGCGAGCAAATGGACGGGGCATAATCTCACCAATGAAGAACGAGCGTATGCTCCTCAACAACTTACTTGGTGGGTCTCTCCTTCAATTGCAACTCTTCTTGATCGTTGACCAGATATCTTACAGTCACGCTGCACAAAGCAGACCCCGACGTCATTGTTGGTCACGACTTTCTCGGTGTTTCTCTTGATGTCCTCCTCGGCAGAATGAAGGACCTTAAAGCGGAGCACTGGTCACGCCTCGGGCGGTTCAGGCGCTCGAAATGGCCACCTATAGGACGTCAGGGCACAAACATGCGCTTCCTAAATGGGCGCCTGCTTTGTGACCTCGCCAGTGATGGTGCACGAGTAGGTTTCCCACTGGCTTCTGTGAGACAGTGACTGATGAATCGCCATCAGAGTATGATTGCCTCCACAACGTGGTCGCTTACTGAGATGTGTAAAACCCATCTCAAATCGGACAGGCAGGACATCGACCCAGATGACACCGCAACCTACTTTGACGATACTGTATCAACCCCAGACACACTCATGACGTTTGTGCGGCATTGTGAGCTCGACGCTCATTACCAAATGGCCATTGCATCGAAGGTTCAGGTTCTGCCTTTGACAAGACAGCTCACAAACCTTGCTGGCAATGCATGGTGAGTTCCTATGGTCGGTGATTTGGCCATTAATTAAGCTTTGTCTCAGGAACAAAACGCTGAATGGTGGTCGGGCTGAGCGGAACGAGTACATTCTTCTGCATGAGTTCCACCGCCTGAAGTACATCTGTCCTGATAAGACCTACGGAAAGAAAGCGCAAAAAGCAGAGCCCGAAGCAGATGACGCGGACGGCGAAGGGGGCGGCAAGTCGAGCAAAAGCAAACGTGACAAGTTCAAGGGAGGTCTCGTATTTGAGCCGAAGCGTGGACTTTGGGACAAGTATATCCTCGTCATGGACTTCAACTCGCTGTATCCGAGTATCATCCAGGAGTACAACATCGACTTCACTACCGTCGAGCGCTCACAGGAGGATGTAAATGATTAGACTTGTGTTTATGCTTCGATGCTGACACTCGAGTGCAGGACGACGATGACAAGATACCAGACCCACCGCCACCTGAGGTGCCTCAGGGTGTCCTTCCACGGCTTATTGCAACACTAGTCAATCGGCGGCGTCAGGTGAAATCACTTATGAAGGATCGTTCTATATCGCACGCAAAGCTACTGCAGGTTTGATAGTCGATGCCGTCCCTTTTGACTACTTGCTCATACTCATCTTTGACACAGTATGACATCAAACAACAAGCATTGAAACTGACGGCGAACAGTATGTACGGCTGTCTTGGTTTTGAGTACTCGCGATTCTACGCCAAGCCTCTCGCTGCCCTAACTACCTTCAAGGGTCGTGAGATCCTGACACATACCAGGGAGCTTGCCGAGAGTTTACAACTAGACGTGAGTGTAATTCTGAGACATGTTAGTGGATTTCTCTGACTCGTCATAGGTTGTCTACGGCGATACTGATTCGGTGTTCGTCAACTCCAACGTGACAGAGCTTTCCGAGGCACTGAAAATTTCTGCTGAGTTCAAGAAGGCTGTCAACGACCGATATAAACTTCTCGAGATAGACCTTGACGGCGTCTTTGCGCGTCTCTTACTCTTGCAGAAAAAAAAATATGCAGCCTTGAAGGTGGAAGAGGGATCGCGGACATCTACAGAAGTTAAAGGTCTAGATATGAAGCGCCGAGAATACTGTGCTTTATCGAAGAGCGTGTCCCAGTAAGTCGTGCTTTGTGTCTGTGTTGACTTGGTACCCACACCTTCCAGATACGTCCTGGAGCAAATCTTATCTGGCGAACCAACGGAGGTTGTAGTAGAGAACATTCACGAGTATCTTAATACCATTGGCGAAAATGTTCGCGGCGGAAAGATTAAATTGGAAGACTTCATTGTATACAAGGTACCCTCCAAGAACTCCTTTCGACGTTTCTTGGTCAATCTCACACATGACTCAGCGCCTAGGCAAAAACCCAGAAGACTACCCCGATGCTAAATCTCAGCCTCATGTGCAAGTCGCTTTGAGATTAAAAGCAAAGGGTGGAAGCGCCCGTAACGGCGACGTCATACCCTATGTGTTCTGCGTCGCTCCTGGTGAAGAGACCGTGAAGACCGCACAGGCAGATCGCGCAAAGCACCCAGACGAGATCAAGAAGGCTGCAGGGGAACTCACCGTGGATTACGAGCACTACCTTGCGAACCAAGTCCTGCCACCCATTGAGCGATTGTGTGAGCCTATTGAAGGGACAGACAGAGCACGGTTGGCTGAGTGTCTCGGTGGGTGTTGCAATACCGATGCCTGCGAAGTAAACTCATTGTTTTTAAAAGGACTGGACCCGGGACGTTATCGCATTAGTGGAAGCACACCGGCCGCATCAGCGCTCACAACATTAGACTCCCTCGTCTCTGACGCAGAGCGGTTCCGCGACGTGGCTCCATTCCTTGTACGCTGTCGCGGGTGCGCAGGACAGATGGCATTCCCCCCGGTTTACGATCGCGATGTATGTGAATGCATCACAATTTGTGCTTAAGACCGTCTGACATCAAACAGGCGTCAATTCTGTTGTCATCAGGGCCAACCTGCCCCTCGTGCAGCGCCCCGCTGGGTTCGGCGAGCCTGCAGACCCAGCTTGAGGTGCAGATTCGGTCGTTTGTGGCACGGTACTATGAGGGATGGATTGTTTGCGATGATCCAGCGTGCGCGTACGAGACGCGGTCGATGCGAATGTATGGCTGGCGGTGCGGAGCAGCTGGAGGCTGTAAAGGTAGAGTGCAGTTCAAGTATGGGGACAGCGAGTTGTACACCCAGCTCCGGTATTTCTCGACACTGTTTGATATCGAGAAAATCGTCAAGGCTGCACAGGGCAGCACGAGAAAGGGTAAGCGTTAGTGCAGTTCGTCAACCGACCGAGATATCTGACATTTTTGCATAGAGGAAATCGTGGCTGTTGCAACAAACAACGACCCATTCCTCCGGGCGATGTCGAGGGTAGTGGACAAATATATGGAACAATGTGGACGATGCTGGGTTAATCTCGGTGCATTATTTTCTAGCATGAACCTCTGAGTTCATGTCTAAACAATCGCGCGCGGATATGATAGTCATATTGCTACAGTACAATAGATTGGCCTTCCTGTATCAGTATTAGAACAACGCTGCAACTTACAAATAGTATTGCCTCGATACCCGATATCGATGTTATTCTATACAAGTACGATAAACCTCACAAGCCAAACATCAGCTGTGTAAGTAAAATATTGCTGGTAAACGGCTCACCCTTTGGGAGTGCTCTGATGTCGGATAAAGCAGCTCGGAGCTACACCCATTTATCAAATCGTGCAAAGGCTCGGGCAACCGCAGAACGAAAAAACATTTATAAAAGTGTCCTCGAAAATCCATTCCGAATACAATGGTTGTTCTGATCTCCTCCAACCTGCAACGTGTCTAACATCTCGAGCTAGGCCCTCAATCCCATCAAATGCGCAAAAATTGTTCCTCGCGAAACTCATAACCACTTTGGAGAGCGAGGTGAGGAACGGAAGTCGAAAATCCTTCAAGGCATGCGCTAGGAAAGCCCTACCACAATCAGAAATTGCAGATTCGGTGGAAGGAACAAACCCGAGCTTAGGCTCGGTGGTATGTTCCAAAACCTCTGCATGCGCCGTAGGTTCCACCTCTTCGCAAGCTCCGGTCGTTAGTGAACTTGCTCCATCGTAGGGTTACATGACTGTCGGTATCAACGAAGTGACAAAGAGACTTGAATTGCAGTTGAAGTACTCTGTCCGACATTCAGTTACACTCACTACCACGTCTCCCGCCAATCCAATATTCCCCGAAATGTCTCCCATCGCTGTTGTCTTTGTGTGCCGTGCCGATGTCAATCCTCCGATTTTATTGGATCACATCCCTCACCTTGTAGCAGGATGCAACTCTACACGCCTTGGATCCAACCCCTTAGGAGCTCGACAGCCCCTGAAATTGATCGTCTTACCAATGGGCTCAGAGTCCGCACTCGCGCAGGTGCTTGGTCTGAGGCGAGCGTCCGTAATTGCCATTCATGTAAGCGTTTCAGATGTCATGATCCTTACTTCTGATGCCCTCGATAGAATGATGCCCCGTATTTACCAATCTTTTGCGATATGCTTCAATCTGTACCTGTAATCAGCGCACCTTGGCTTGTACCTCCAATCCAGCATAATTCTCCGAAATGTTTGATTCCCACTCATATCAAACAACTCCGCACCACTGCACCCAAAGATATGAAATCTGCAAAAGAACAAAGGGAAAAAGCAAGAGTTACAGCTAAGAAGAATGGTACAAAACGTAGGCCCATCCTTACGAAGGCTACGCCAGACGCATAAACTCGCGATACACAACGTCACGCTCCATGTATTGGTGAGTGCTCGTCTGCAAGTACCGATTAATTGCTCATCTTATCGTGACATAGTTTGTTGTTTATGTGTACCATCCTCTTGCTGGGGCTTGTATCAATTCTATGCAGCAGTTCTGTATTTGATGGGATTGAGGGTTGGCTTGATTTTCATCTGTTCGCCGCTTTGATCGCACCAACATCCCAGAGGATGTCTGGATCACTTTACGGGGCAGGGACAATGCTGCTCGCGCAAATATGATCCTCCCGCACGCCGAGAAGGTTTCCAGTCACCCAGAGTTCCAGCCCGGTTCCGAGCAGTTTTGGCTGGTCTACTCGGAGCCTACAACTTCCAACATCAGATTCATACTATCCTGCACGGAGGGACCATTGGGCACATACCCCCTTTTCATTATTCCAGTATCCCCCATTGAACTGAGCCTGGAACTCCTCCAAGGTTCCATGGAGGCATTCTGCGATGCGCTTCTGAAAGATGTTGACTTTAAAAGGCAGAGGGTCTTCTCTGTCTTTTCTGTTGAACCAGTTGCCGAAGCTTTCGCTAGCGCATGGGAGAAAATCGCAGAGGTCAAACGCATCAATAAACCGTACTATGATGCATTTTTTTTCGATTTGTACTCCTGAGACGTTCAAGGTCTGCGACAACCCTCCATCAGTGGATGAAGTCATCGAGCTACGTCTTGCGGTATCACAGGATGCCGACAAATTGATAAATTGTGTGAAGAATTTTCCGATACTTCGGTAGGTCTGCTGTATTACTGTCTTTCAAGCGGACCTTTATTGATGAAAATCTGTAGCATCCATTCACTCTCTCTTCCGAGCGAGCTTCTGAAGAGGCCAGGCTCATGATCGAAAACGACAGGTTTGGGTATGCGAGATCGAGAAGGATGGAGAAACTGATATCGCGACTATTGTGGCTGCCACGCGGCAGTCAGACACTGTTGCTACCATCACGAAGGTCTACACGCCAAACAAGTGGCAGCGTCAAGGATATGCTAAAAGATTGGTTCGCCGCGTCTGCAGAGAGTGAGAGCTATCAACTATGAGATTGTACTATGATACTAACTTCTGCTCGACCAGGTTGTTGATGACCCACGAGCAAGTTGTGTTATACGTTGGCGCTAGTAATTGCTCAGAAGTTGTACCAACAAGTGGGCTTCCGGACTCCTTGTAAAGAGACTCCTGAGCGTTGGCTTGAAATTGGTTTTGATAGAGACGAAGTTGAACTCGGTGACTGGTAGACTTTAGGATATCCTGATTTGCTCTGCTTGTTTCCTAATTTGTCTGATATCTTACATCTTGTCTGTAGCATAACCCTTGTCTCTAAACTGTATTGTCTATATCGTTGGCGTTCCGATTAGTATACATAGTTTGTTTATACACATCCTGAAGCTTTCTGCATGCATGCCCTCCGTGGTAGATCAATCGGGACGGCCACTCAGAGATTGTCTTGGATACACGGTACTGAAATATCAGATTGACACATCTACATATTATAAGGACGGAGCGAGCGAAAGTGGAGCCCACACATGGCGTCGACACCATATTGCCAATCGCTCCGTCCTAGATTGATAACAGATGTGAGGTCTTTGTCTTACTTCGCTTCAATTGAGCGCTATTCACAATGAGCAATGAGCAAATCAAGGGAATTTATCCGGGGATTTGAATCTAGGCTGCGAAGCAACAGCTCTTGCCAAAGTTCGGTATGTAGCTCATGGAGATCACTTAATTCACTCCCCTCCAAACACTAACATTGACGCATACTAGCACCAACCCCTTGGCAAAGTCCATACGTCAGTTTCTGGGAAAAGTCAAGGACAATGTAAATGGTGATGCTTTGAAGTTCGAGATTGCTATTTCTTCTCAAGATGCCGTTATATTTCGCTGATAATTATTTATTGATTGACATACTTGGGAAATGCCTACTTGTGCCAGGACGATGGACGATCTCGAAAGCTGATACAGATGTCTAGATATCGACATTGGAGATAGATGTACATTTTGTCCGAACCAAATGATGAAAAGCAGGCAGGCACGTCAACCCAACAGTCCTTTGACGTATTTCAATACCTCTCGTGGCTGCAAAATATGCAATTAGTTTTCGCTCGAGATTGTCTAGTTGCGCACATAAACTCACCCCTTGGTTCTTTACCTTTGCTACCATAGCTTCTACACCTTCAAGCTCGTCGTCAACACCATGCACTATTTCATTATCCCCTCCGGAAAGTGATAAGCGTGCATTCCGCTGCCGCTCGCTCAAGCCATGGCGAAGCACAACAGTCAGCACAGCACGCCACCCATCGGTTGTGCCGTCTGCCGCTGTATTAGCAGAGACAGGCGAGGTAGAAGGCATGGGCAGTTTCGGTACCACCGTCGAAGGGACGACGAATGGGCAATACGATCGATGTTCATTCAACACATCAAACTCTCTCTTCTTTGTTGATGAATGTGATAGCGGGCTGCCGCCTGGCAGTAATGAAGGTGTGAATGCCCAAAGACCGACGCGTCGTTGGCACAAGTGACAATGTAGAAGAGATGCATCCCGGGCGCTTTTCCCGATGTCGCTCATCCGTGGCGTGCGCATGCGCACAGGTGTACCTCCCAACTGTGAGATACCAGTAAGGGGCGAAGAGAAGCTCGGAGACGGCGATTCCGCCCGCTCCCATCGAGCTGTGCGTGAAACTGATGAAGATCTGGACAAAGATGGGGAAGCTGGTCTGGACATCGTACTTATTCGAGAAAGTGACGAAGTTCGATTACGTTCCGAGGGAGGAGCAGGCGGGGCCAACGACCAGCCGAAAAGGGCAATCACAATTGCGGTATCAGATGGCTCAGGGTCTGCATCAACCTGCATTGCCGACTCATTGTCAGATTCTGACTGTGCCTGAGGAGGCTTGACTGAGGCGATTGCTGAACGAAGCAAGGCAAGCTGAGAGGCCGACTGATGAAATGAATAAGCATCACAGGAAAATGTTGCAGTCCAACTCACCAATGGATGTTTGATCACGACGTCTGTCAACAGAGGGTCTAAGGAGAGCGCATTGGATTTGATGTCCCGTGCCATGACAGTCGGTGCTTGCAGCGGCACGCGGTAAATCGACGCTAATGAATTAGGTGAGGAAGGAGACCAGGTACAGCTCGACAAAAAAAAAAAGACTCACAATCACACTGTCTAGTATGCCAAGGGCATCCATCCTTGTGCATCTCTACTAACTGGATGCGTTGCTTCTCAACAAGCGCATTGGCTATTGTACGAAAGAAAAATGCTCAGTGAAGTAGCTTGTCATTTACCTACCTTCTAAACCTTACCGGCTTCTCGTGTCATGCCGTCCCGCCCCACAACAACCCATGAAACATCACAAATCCCACACACTAGCCTGTCTTTGCCATCGTTCACCCAACCGCACTTTGCTGCAGCTACAGCATCAATTTGAGGCGGCTTATTTGCGTATGTCGCCAACTTGTAGGTCGACAGACGGAATAAAAATGACTGGGTGGATGATGGTCGGTATTGCGAGGAGAGCGAAGCTGCTGGAAGGCTGGGGTGTGCAAAAGGGGTAGCTCCCTTGCTCTTGGAGCGTGCCAAAATCGCAGCCAGGTGAGGAGCAGACTTAAGAATATCATGCTTATCCGGAGTACTGTTGAGAATGGAACAAGACGAGAGCAAGTTCAGAGGATTCCAAGTTGCAAACCGCGAAATTTGACTGACTCGATGGATGGTTTTGGTATGTTGGAATGGATCCCATACTTGGCGAGCGTAGAGTACAGAGAGCGGGTCATGTGTGGTCGTTTGGAAGCTGTTGGCCTTTCAGGTAAGGGTTTTTCGGGAGCTACTGCACTGTCAAGGCTTTGGAGGGCATCATCGAATTTGCGCTGAGACATGCTGCTCAGTAGGGGCCTGTTAAGTTTGAGTGCTCTGCTTACCTTGGTAGCTCGGATAGATATCAGTGAGCTCGTAGAGCTCGAGTCTAAACCATTGACAGAATTCACAACTTCTGTAGTCGACATGTCGAAAAGTGAAGTTGAGCGTAGATGGTGGTCGTTGATCAGCGCTTGGCCGGGACCAACACCGTATTAATACGGCAAGCACAGCCACACAATCTGCTGTGCAGTGGATACCTTGTGTGAACAACTACTTAATCAACACAATGAACAAAAGGCGGAACATTTTTTAACAGTTGCTCTTCAAAGTATCAGCCGAAGTCTATTATGATCTATCATTATGAACATGAGTCGTGTGATCCCTATTACTACTGTCTGCCTTCATCCACCCTCTCAAACGCGCCATTGAGCGTCGCTCTCTCTGCAATCTAGTGTTTTTCTGCTCGATTTTCAAAATCTTTACTACCGTACGTGCAGCCTCCACATCATTCCGAAGATAAAATGCCTTGATAAACATCTTGAGCATCGGCTTCGTATGCTTCTCAAATGATATGTAAGGTGGAAGCTTTGACAGCGCGAGTGTTCCAATAGTGCGCAGAGGTGGAGTGCTAAAAGGTGGATGGGAAGCGGAATAGATCCCTGCGGGGTATCCACCACGAACCATGTGGTCGAACAGCGCACGTAAACGTTGATGATCGAACGCAGTCCTCCAAACTATCAGCGCCTTCAGAATGATATTGACAGTTATTCTGTCAGGCGCAAACTGCTGGTGCTTCACGAGGTTGTCGAGGAGTCCCATGAGCTTCCGGACACGTCTGCCGTTTCTTGGGACCGCACGTATAACGACACCGTGCAAAAGCGTGTTGCCTAGGATCGTCCGGCTTTTGGTGTCCACCTTGCTTGCAACACGACTAAACGCGACCTTTGCGGCATGCGGTCGCCTAGCATATATTAAACCTTGCAGAACTCTGTTGTATGCCGGGCCACTGCTCGTAAGGCTCTTGATTAAAGTCCCCGCTGGCCAGAAACAGCCACCTCGGAACAGGGAATGAGACTTGCGCCCTGTGACAAAAATATTCCTGGATAGGCGTCTACTAGTTGTCGCACCGAGGCGTGTAGTAATCACGTGACGTAGGTTGATAGCACATCCCCTGCGAATGCCAACTAGAATTTTCTGCATTCGCAACGCGCAACGAAATTGCTTGCGGCGCAAAAAGAGGCGAACCAGCCGCAGCAAGAACGAGAATTGAAAGAAGGCCGGATGAAATTTGATGACGTTAGAAATAATAGCCGTAGTCTGGAACCCACTGCCCCGAGTGCATAGCTCGGCTAGAAGAAGCTGGAGATGCCCACGGAAGTGAATGGGGGGAGGGGAGATCGAGTAGAATTTGCGGAGGGAAATCCCAATGTCATCGATCAGATCAGTATCGTGATGTTGATGCCTCGTCTCCCTGAGAAATCGAGCAATACTACTCAGGAGGCCTCCTACTTGAACTCGAGAGAACTGTTCGTGCTTTAGAAACCCCACAGCATGAGGAGCTGGGAGTGCCCTAGCCAGAGTATATGCGGTATCGACATCAATGTCACGTCCACTGCGGACACCAATGTTGTACAATATGCGGGCGAGCTCAACATCACGATGAATGAGGTTCCTGACAGCCGCAGACGCCACAACACTTTGGTGCTGCATGTCAGTCGAGTAAAAATTCAACGTCTTTATGACGAGTTCCACTCCGCACCCACGGACTTGCATCAATGCAGTAAGATGCATCGCCGCCATTGCTGCTAATTGGGTTCCCTCTACGGTGTCTGAAAAATCGCCGGTCCAAAGTCCGAAGTTTATACTCGACTCCAGGCATGCTGCGAATAGCTCCGGATCCACTACTGCACCGGAGAGGCGAAAAAGAGAAGTCGTTATAGCACGTGAAATGAGGGTGGGGTGTGATTCATTAGGCATGAGGTGCAGCCAGGACTCATGAAGAGAACGTATCATCTCTTGAATACGTCCGCGGAGAGCCCGATGGTGAAGAAGGGCTGAACCCGCGGCTCGCGTAACCTCTTCGAGAATCGCAAGGGCAAACAGGGTCCGCCACAGGGATGTATATCCATCCAAAGGAAAATCAAGCGACGTAATGGGAGTTCCATTGCCATTGCAGCTATACAGCAGCGAACACAGAAGGAGATTGCTTCGCCGATGGACTATTGGAATGTTGGATGAAAAAGCCTCGTGCAGCAACTCTGTAATGGCTTTCACATGGGGGAAGGGACTTGGTACGGGTAACGGAAATACCGAGAGAGCGGACGTGAAAGTGGTAGCATCAACAGGTACAGCAATCGGAGACCCCGTAGTATCCCCACACGGCGACGGAAAACGAGTGACCCGGATTGAAATGGCTGACAGAATGGATTCCAAAAGTGCAGTGTCTGTGTCATGAACTATCCCCAGTAACAATTTCAACACTTTTGGATGAAGAATCGGATGAGTAAGAAGGATGGAGGTCATCGCATCAATGGCCCACTGCTTGTGAAGAGGGTCCGTGCTCGACAAAAGTGCTGTCAAATATGGAACGTGGACATCTGGATCGAAAACATGTCGCGAAAAGTGGAGGTATTGTTTCCGGGCGCGGAACAGAGAGCGATCAAATGCGCGCGGGTCTGCTCGATTTAATTTTAATTAGACCGAACTACGAATGAATGCGATAAATTATCTTACAACCGGGCTGGCCATCTTTGGAGGGGGAAAGGTTCGCCAACTCGGCTCGCATCATCCAATATCTATCCGAATGCGCCGGTGTCATGCCCCTCTGCTGCTTTAACGATACAACCTCCTTCACAAATGCCCAGTAGTCACGAGTTACAGAACCCTCTTTCACATAAGGAAGGAGTGAACTAGTATACACACATTTTCTTGTTGAGTCAACAGACAAGGACCCAAAAAGACCAATCAAAGCGCTAAGCATTCCTGAGTTGAGCTGCGATAATTGGCCCCGTGCTTTCGCGGAGATATAAAATGAACGAATAGTATTGGGTGTCGGCCTGCTGGAAGGGTCCGGAACCAGGGTATGGGACGTCAGGACTTTCCGGAGAGCACTTATGGCGCGAGTGCTATTGGATGGACCAGACTCCTGAGGATTATCTGATGTCATGAGGGATCGCTTGCTCTTGTTCTGAGTCCCGGTACTGCGCGGCAAGCATTCTTGGATATGGGCGCTAGCAGAAGACAGTAACCTAAAATTGAACGACAGTCAAATTCACGCATTGGGTATTATGAAACTAAAACTAAAAACCTGATTCTTTGAGCACCATCGACGCCGCCCAAAACTCGGACGGTCGACAGACAGCATCGCAACATTCCATGGCATGGACGAATCGGGAACACGACGCGTTGCACGTCACGTTACAAGGTGAACATAGAATCGGAATGTCCCGGCGGACGTTGAACCTTGTTTTTTGAACTGCAAGGCATTTCCCGGTCAATCGAAACTTTAGCGGGAAGGCCGGATACACATATATTCACAATATCCTCATTCAGTCGGTCGCCTTGAAAAATCCATTGGCACACTGCTGGTGCGTAGTGCTAGATAGGAATGTGTGATTTGACTGATGGGCATCTAGAGGTCAATCGGGAGGCACTGATTTTTACTTAAAACAATCACATCTGTATATTCATGTGAGTAACATAACTTATCATCTTGTTTGACATTTCAACGGGTAGTGTATCAGAAATCACAATGGGTGCTACTCGTGCGCAAAAGGAAGTTTACTTCGTCAAACTAAAGGAGCTCATCGCCAAATATCGTGCGTTTCAATAGTTTCATTTATGTCATACTTCTTGTTTTAATAACGCGCCCGCAGCCTCCATCTTTATCGTCAACGTTGACAATGTTAGCTCCAACCAGATGCACCAGATCCGTGTTGCTCTCCGTGGCAAAGGTGTCGTCTTGATGGGCAAGAACACCATGGTTCGCCGTGCTCTTCGTACTATCCTTTCGGAGAACCCCCAGTTCGAGCGTCTTCTTCCCCACGTCAGGGGTAACATCGGTTTCGTCTTCACCGATAAAGAGCTCAAGGAGGTCAGGGACATCATTGTTGCCAACAAGATTGCCGCCCCTGCTCGTGCCGGTGCTTATGCCCCCAAGGATGTCTTTGTTCCTGCCGGAAACACCGGTATGGAGCCTGGAAAGACCTCCTTCTTCCAGGCCCTCGGTATTCCTACCAAGATCGCTCGTGGTACTATTGAAATCTCAGCCGAGGTTCAGGTCGTCACCGCTGGTAGCCGTGTCGGTACATCTGAGGCTACTCTCCTCAACATGTTGAACATCTCACCATTCACGTACGGTATGACTGTCGTCCAGATTTTCGACTCTGGAAATGCGTTCGCTCCTGAAGTTCTCGATATTGACGAGAAGGTGCTCATTGACCGCTTCTTGTCTGGTATCCAGACCGTTGCTGCCATCTCATTGGCCCTCAACTACCCCACTGTCGTCTCTGTCATGCACTCACTCGTCAACTCGTACAAGAACCTCATTGCACTGTGCTTGTCCACGGACTACATGTTCGAGGGTGCCCAGAAGGTCAGCTCAAATTCGATTCACCTAATATTGAGATGCTTTCAACACACACTGAAAATGCTGACTTTCACGGATGCATAAATCTTGTTTCTGAATTTTTGTCGAGCTTATCATGTTGAGCAACGAAGCTGATTCTTTACGCAGGCCAAAGAGTACTTGGAGAACCCTGATGCATTTGCTGCTGTCGCTGCACCTGCCGCCTCTGAGGCCGCACCCGCTGCTGCTGAGGCTGAGGCTGAGGAGAAGGCAGAAGAGAAGGAGGAGTCTGACGATGACATGGTAAGTTGCCCTGGGTTTGCACAAATGGAAATAAACCCTTACGCGCTGTTCTGCAGGGTTTCGGTCTGTTCGACTAGATTTTACGTCGTGTCATGTTATTTACTGTCACGTACATCATCTAATGCACATGCAAGCTGATAAGAAGACTCACTGAGCCTCGTGTTGATGAAACGATCCCCATAAATATACAAGTCAACCGGGAGATTGCGAGGCGCCTATCCATGCATCTACGTAGACTTTACATATATAGCTGAGAGATTATCGTCCATTCACCGCTACACGTTGGTCGATGTGTACGTTTCTCACTGGCTT